CCCTCCCAAACCTTACCTATAAGGCTTATGCAATGGAGAATACTGAAGTGTTCTTTCCAAAAATCTCGTAGGGTCAAGTGAGTGTCTGAGGTCACATTCAAGCACCTTTCAAACATTGCTTTGGTGTAGAGTTTTTAAAGTTTGCAATGACCTGTTGGTCCACAGGCTTGAAGAGAGAAGTGGTATTCGGGGGCAAGAACTTTACTGCGATGAGCCCAAACTCCTTCAGAATTAGGTCATCCAAGTTTGGAGGATGAGCAGGTGCATTGTCCATTACTAGGAGGCACTTGAGATCCAATTTCTTTTCCAGGAGGTAATTCTTCACACTAGGGCCAAACACTACATTGAACCACTCGACGAAAATGTCCCTTGTAACCCATGCCTTACTATTAGATCTCTAAAACACACACAATTTACTCTTCATAACATTGTTTTTCTTGAACACTCTGGGATTTTCAGAATGGTACAATAGTAACGGCTTCACTTTGAAATCCCCACTAGCATTAGCACAGAACATTAGCATCAGCCTGTCTTTCATAGGCTTGTGTCCTGGCAGCGCCTTTTCTTCCTGAGTAATGTAGGTCCTCTTTGGCATTTTCTTCCAAAAGAGGCCTGTTTCATCACAATTGAATACTTGTTCAGGTTTCAGTCCTTCACTGTTTATGTACTCCTTGAATTCATGCACATATTTTTCAGCCGCCTTGTGGTCCGAACTGGCAGCCTCACCATGCCTTACCACACTGTGTATGCCAGTACGCTTCTTAAATCTCTCAAACCAGCCTTTGCTGGCCTTAAATTCACTCACATCACCACTAGTTGCAGGCAATTTCTTTACCAAATCGTCATGCAACTGCCTAGCCTTTTCACAAATAAGTGACGTCATAAGACTATCTCCTGCTAATTGTTTCTCATTTATCCACACCAATAATAACTTCTCAACATCTTCGAGTACTGGTGATCTCATTTTTGTCAGCATATTTACCCCCTTTGCAACAACAGCATCTTTGATTTCCTTTTTCTTGGCTATGATGGAAGATATGGTTGTACGGGATTTGTTATACATCCTGGCCATCGCCCACATGTACGCCACTATCATATTGTTCAATGATGTTTTTCTTAAATTCAGTCGTATTTCTCACCTTCCTTACCAAAGAAATTCAGTCGTATTTCTCACCTTCTTTACCAAAGGCTTGGCACTAGGAGCTTTCTTTGGAGCCATGGTAGCTTATTAGCACTTAAATAACTTTCAAGCACTAAAATAAATGGAATATTATGAAATATTTCACTGGAGCATATAAGGGGACCGTCGCTCACTAGTAAACAGTGGCACACTGGCTGGGAAGGAAAGGCCGAGGCAGCTCAGAGCATGAGTACGTGTCCGGGATGAAGGACTATTAGCGAGTTACCGGACCATTTGCGAGCCAATATTTTGATGAAAAAAACAGGACTATTTCCGAAATGGACGACTTGCAGGCCGGACGATTATTGAGGGACCACTGTATTAGTCAGAGGGCTGAAGAGGGTTGTTGAGGTGGTTTGGTCATTTAGAGAGAATGGATCAAAGTAGAATGACATGGAAGCATATAAATCTGTAGGGGAAGGAAGGTGAGGTAGGGGTCGTCCTCGAAAAGGTTGGAGGGAGGGGGTAAAGGAGGTTTTGTTGGCGAGGGGCTTGGACTTCCAGCAAGCGTGCATGAGCGTGTTAGATAGGAGTGAATGGAGACGAATGGTATTTGGGACCTGACGAGCTGTTGGAGTGTGAGCAGGGTAATATTTAGTGAAGGGATTCAGGAAAACCGGTTGTTTTTATATAGCTGGACTTGAGTCCTGGAAATGGGAAGTACAATGCCTGCACTTTAACCCTTTGAGGGTTTCGGCCATGCTAGTATGGCTTACGACCCAGGGTTTTTGACGTACTAGTACGCCTAAATTCTAGCGCCCTCAAATCTAGTGGGAGAAAGCTGGCAGGCCTACATATGAAAAAATGGGTCTATGTGGCCAGTGTGCACAGTATAAAAAAAATCCTGCAGCACACAGTGCATAATGAGAAAAAAAAAACTTTGACCGTTTTTTTGGAATAAAACAGTGACTTTGCACAGTATTTTCGTATGGTATTTATTGTTGTATTCTAGTTTTCTTGGTCTCATTTTATAGAGTGGAAGACATATTACAGAAATTGAGATGATTTTGACTGGTTTTACAATGAAAAGTACATTGAAATTGAGCTCAAATTAGCAGAAATGTTCGATTTTTACCAAAGTTCAAAAGTAAACAAATCATGCCAAGCGTTCAATACACATCAACTGGTGAGTCTAATATTCTTTTGCAAGTGTGCCAATATTATTTATACCATTTTTTACACTAATGCATTAGTCTGCATAACAGTAAATCTTCTATTTTTTGTGAGAATAAAAATTCAAAGTGGAAAGCAAAAGAATGTAAGAGGGGCCTTGAGACGAGACTAATGAACAGAGGAAATGTCATTTTAGTGCCAGGAATGTCTTTCTTGTTTATTCTGGACCCTATTCGGAAATTGGCATCTTTTGAAATTTGTGAGAAATTGGCAAAATTGCTAAATTCTGACCACTGTACTGGATAGTTGAAATTGATAAATGAGTGATTCCTTGCACTTATTCGATAGAAAAAATGGAGTTCTAGCGAAATATTCATGTTTTTTGTCGACTAGTACAGTGGAATTGGCCGAAAATGGGGCACAAAGTGGGCAAAATCGCCGATGCGTGAACATCGCCGAGACCGCTAACTTCGCGAGAGCATAATTCCATAAGTTTTCCATCAAATTTCATACTTTTGGTGTCATTATGATTGGGAAAAGATTCTCTATCTTTTCATGAGATTTTTTTTTTTTTTTTTTTAAATTTGGGCGACCCTGATAACGAGTCTCGGAGAGGGCCTGTCAACCCTCAAAGGGTTAAAGGAGGGGTTTGGGATAGTGACAGTTTGGAGGGATATGTTGTGTATCTTTATACTTATATGCTTTTAAACTGTTGTATTCTGAGCTCCTCTGCAAAAACAGTGATTATGTGTGAGTGAGGTGAAGGTGTTGAACGATGATGAAAGTATTTTCTTTTTGGGCCACCCTGCCTCGGTGGGAGACGGCCGACTTGTTAAAAAAAAAAAATTGGTTCTAACAATTAACCTACTATAGACATCAGATTTATTGGGCAGTAATTTGGTAGAATTGACCTATTCTAGTTAAAGGTAGGAATTACATTTGCCATATTCCACATCTCAGGCATAACACTCTTTAACCCTTTCAGGGTCCAAGGCCCAAATCTGGAGTCATGCACCAGTGTCCAAGAATTTTCAAAAAAAAAATTTGTTATTTTTTCTTATGAAATCGTAGAGAATCTTTTTGTGAAGGTAATAAAACAAAAAGTACGAAATTTGGTGGAAAATTGACGAAATTATGCTATCGCGAATTTTGATGTGTCAGCGATATTTACGAATCGGCGATTTTGCCGACTTTGACTCCCATTTTAGGCCAATTACATTATTCCAATCAACCAAATTCTTAGCTATTTCACTAGTATTACTTCTATTCTATGGATTGAGCACAAGAAATCGCCAAGTCAACTGTTTCAACTACAAAATAAAGTGATCGGAAATTGTTAATTTGGCCAATTTAACACAAAGTTCAAAATATTCCAATTTCAAATAGGGTCCAGAATGAACAATGTAGGCATTCCTGGCACTAAACTAACATTTCCTCTGTTCATTAGTTATGTTTTGAGGCTTTACAAATAAATTCCATTTTGATTTTTTATTCACATAATGAATTTTTATTCACACCAAAAAATAGAAGATTTACTGTTATGCAATACTGTAATAATTGTATAAATATCATCACCATATTTGTGAATGTATATTAGACCCACCAGCTGACGTGTATTAGACGTGTGAGGTCGTTTGTTTACTCTTGAATATCGGCAAAAAATTAACATTTCTGCTACTTTGAGCTCAGTTTCAAGCCATTTCCAGTGTTAAAACCAATCAAAATCATCTCTATTTCTGTAATATGTCTTCCATTCTATCAAATGAGACCAAGAAATCGCAAATACAACTATAAAAAACATACGAAAAAACACTGCAAAGTTGCTGTTTTAATCGAAAAATCATGATTTCATTTTTTTCTCTCATTATACACAGTGTGCTGCAGGATCTGTTTTATGTGGTGCACACATACCACATAGATGTATTCTCTCATATCTAGGCCCAAATGTATCACTCACAGTTTATCAGAGTGAGCTGAGCGGTTTGGACCCTGAACGTAAAGCCGTAGATCTACGGGACGGACCCTGAAAGGGTTAAGGACCCTTGAAAACAGTTTATCAGGGCTTGGGGACTTATTTTGTTTTAATATGTCTGCTTTTTTTGTTAACTATGTTCCTTTTGGCTGTAATAGTACTTACTTTGTTTTCTTCAGTTCCTACATAATAGTATTTGCTGGCATATCATTTATGTCTTCTTATGTGAAGACTGACATGAAATAACTAATAGAGAGCATATTTTCTGCTCATTATCAGATGTCTGGACCTAGTTCTCAGAGGGCATACATATTTTTTCACCTGATCTTTGTCCTCTACACTTGAAAGAATCCTTTTGGATTAGTCTTTTATTCACGAGCTACTTTAATTTTATAGCTGCATTTAGCCTTTCCAATCCCTTTCTTTTAATATGGACATATTGCTCAATGAGGTTACTCTCCTTTTGATATGCCTATAAATTTACTATCTTCTCTCCTATCTCCTATTCATCTATCTCGGATCATATTTATTTGACCTAATTTCTCTCTGGGGGAATATATACTTTGGGAAAATTGGACAGTACTAAGAAAAAATCATACTTGTGGCTTCTTTCATTATTTTAAGGTCTTTATTAATAAAATCATTACCCAGATGTTTGCTGTTATTTACTGTATTATTAATAAATAATTACTCTTTGCCATCATGGAAAACTTGATTGGATTTTTTGCTTGCCAGATGCCAGTTTGATGCTTGTGGGTGTGACACAGGTGGAGACTGTAAGTGTCTGTGTACAGCTATAGCCACATATGCTCATGAATGTAATATTCATGGAGTTTACATAAAGTGGCGTACACCCAGTTTCTGCCGTAAGTACTTTCCATACTCTGTATTTTCCTTGAATTTTTAACTCACTGTAATTTTTATTTTAGAATATGTCATGTCCTATTAAATACAGTTTTTGCAAAATCTGAGACTATTCTTTAATTCTAACATTGAACTATCAGATAAATAGTTTAATGATCTTGCTTTGAACTATCAGATAAATAATTTAGTGATCTTGTTTTTAATGGATTATTCCTGTCTTTAAATGTTTTTAGGGGTAATGCATAATTACATTTGTGAGGTAAATGTTTTGTTTTTGAATCTTGTCCCAGTTTAAGATTTTGTGGTCTTGCAGCCATGCAGTGTGAGAAAGATTGTGAACATTATGAGCCGTGTATTCCCACCTGTCCTCAAGAAAACTGTGACACATTACTTGATCCCAACTCTCCAATGTGTACACAGGATGCCTGTGTTGAAGGTGAGATACAAGCAATATCAGTGTTATCTGTTAGGAAGACAGTACCTTCACTGTTCACTAGTGAGTGGTAGCAAACTCATTAGGAGCTACAGTCATGTCTTATTATGCACAACTTTTGCATTCACTTGTGTCAATCTTTCGCAGATAGAGAATGTGTGAAAGTATTGATCTCTAGCTGGTTATTATGATGATCAGCAAGAAGCTGAAATGTTCTCATATTCCCTTCACACAAAGACCTGGATGAAAAAGCATTGGAAGCAGAATTCATACATATCTTTAAGAGTAGGTATGATAAGGTTCATGAGGCTAAGGAGTTAGTGACCTCAGTCACAACCAGTTAAGAAGTAAGCCAGTATCTGAGACTTGACCCCTGCAATCACACATGTACTTACAATGTGCAAAATAACCACGCTGGAGTTGTTTAGCATTTTGTATTATGTGTTCGCAATTATTGAATGTACTCACTAATTGATAAGTACACAAAAATACAGTGAAAATTGTACAATATTATTTAATGCTCCATTATTTAACCAGCAACTTGGGTTATGTAGCTTCCCATATGCTTGACAGTACAGTATCAATTTCAGTTTAATGAAACAAATATTAAAAACCTATGTCCATGAGACTGGTGATGTGTTGTATCTGGGATTAATACCTCACAGCTTCAAGTCATCATTTCCTGTGAATTGACTTCATCCAGTTAGCTTCCAGAGCAGAAATTGGTGCAAAAGGATGTTTAAAAGTAAAAAAAAAAATTATTCATTGAAAATACATAATCTTTAATGCAGTGTTGTAATACTGTACTAATAATTATTAGGCAAATTTGTTAGAAAGCTGTGCACATGAGAAAACATTTTGTAAGAAAAATAAGTTACATTGCACTGGCTTGAACAGTTCATGAATAACCCACAATTTGGAAAGAATACTTTAGATGATATTTCAGTCCTTCCTTTACTGTTATTGAATTGTGATTGTCTTGATAATGGTAATTCATGCAAAAATAATTGACTTATAAAATCTCCATGAGTAAATGTAAATCACTCCATAAAGTGTATTATTTTTATGAGGGGATGAGTTCCAGTTTACAGTCTGCCATATTAATTGTCTTAACTTCTGTGGTCTTTGATGAATGAGTGAATGTTAAGAGAATTCAGTGGTGGAATGCTTATTGTCTCAGGCTGGTAATTTAGTGATCCAAAATTAAAATGTTCACTGAAAATCAGTACTGTATTATTTAATAATTTAAGGTAGTTAGTGCACTATAGTCAGGACACCAGCTTAAAGTGAGTACTGTACTCAGGTGAAAAGATTCAGGCTACTGAAGGAAACATAACTTCTTCTAATGATAGTAACCTAAGACCAGCAACATTGCCCTATTAGGAATCTAATTTATTGAAAAGGCTAAATGTTAGAAACCTGTGTGATATATCTGTAATCAGTTTTGAGAGTTTTTCTATTCTTGTAGCCCAACATGAGTGCAAGCATCCCTGATCAGCCAGGCTATTGCTGTCCACAGCCTGCAGACATGTACGTAAGGGCAGGGCAACCACGTTGTAATATCTCGTAGGCTTGTAGGCCACAGGCAGCTATAACGTGATTGAGCAGGCTTTTAACAGGGAAATCTGGCTTCACAGTAGCTTGCAAGAGTAATACCCTTGAAACTGGCCATAGTTATATCACAGGCAAGCCTGCATGAGGTCCCTAAGTTGATGATTAATGTGTTTTTCTTGGTGCATTTTAGGTTGTGCCAAAGATATTTGCCCTTCAGGCCAAGTCTATAAAAGTTCCACTGACCTAGAATGTGTACCTAAAGCTGACTGTGAAAAGAAGTGCATGGAAATTGAAGGAAAAGTATACTTGGAAGGTGATGTTATATCTCAAGATGATTGCCACACTTGGTAAGTTATAATAAATCCTAATGAAGTGAGTACAACTTGACTTTATGTATAAAATCAGTGTACACTTGGATTCTGAGATATCTGGAATCCCTTAAATTTTATAAAACATGGATCACATTACACAAATAACCCACACATAGAGAGGAGCTTACGACGACGTTTCGGTCTCCTGTGTGCAGGTTATTTGTGTATTGTTCCAGTCATGGTATTTTGCCTTTTTGTTCTTTATGGATCACATTTTTTTAATTCAATCCTGAAATTTGGATTTTTAGAGCAGGTAGATGATGTCAGGGATGTGCACTATGCTTGTGTCAATCATTGTGTCCCAGGCCTGTGAAATTCAGTTATTGTCTTCATCTATAATAGACTTCATCCTTGATGGCATTGGCCTTTGCCAACTCATCAGTTTTATCTTTCATTTGTAGAGTAATGTGTAAGGGAATCCACAGAAGGTGGATTGTGGTAGTTTTTCATCATCTTGTGCTAGGCCGGGTCACCACTTGGGAAAGGCCCGGACCGGGAGAATACCGGCGAATCTTTAATAATAATAATAATCTTGTGCTACCTATGCTTGGTTCCATGGAGTTTTGAGTATTTAGTGATAGCAATGGAGGCACTTATAACTGAGGTTCAAGGTTGAATGTATGAGCATGTTTGTGTGAAAGAAATGTAGCAAGTAATTCAGTTGGGAGAGTACTAGGAACTGCCTAGTATGGGCCAGTGGGCCTGTTACAGTGTTCCTCCATTTTTATTTTTTTGTGTATTCTAAGGCCTGCACTATCTCGGTAGGAGTCATTACTCTATTTATTGATAACACTCAGCTGTACTAGTGAGTTAGCAGAGGGAGGTGTCAGTGTATTAAGTTTATGTGTGAGAGAGAGCAAGAGTGCTTTTTGACTAGTGCATCGCTATAACTTCCAGCTTGAATTGTGATTTAATTAACTTCTTAGGAAAATAGGCAGAAATACTGAATTGGAAAAGGATAATTTTGTGTGGTACAAGTAAGTACTGCTGTTGTCTTTCAAGGTATATACCATATTTTGCAGCTTATTAGATGCATTTTTTTCCATAAAATGTCTCCAAACACCACCCTGCATTCTATAAACTGAAGGTCAGTGACAGGAGCTATAAGTTTAGGGTATGGAGTGGGCTGTAGCTCTCCCAGTTATGTCCAATGCTGAGCCACTGAAACTAAAACAAGTCTTATAAGCCACGAAATGTGGTATGTATACAGCCTCTCCTCACTTAGTGACGTACTTGTTTACCGACGACTCGGACTTACGACAGGCTCTCTGACCAGTATGCATACCTAAATAATGTATATTAGAGCTGATTTCCTCTATTTTGTTTATTACAATATACAATACACTACTGTATAAATATTTAAAAATATACCAGAAATGTTATAAATGGTTCAAAAGTGACATTAAAACAATATCAAAGATGGTTGACACAAGCCCACTACCATTATAGTATGCTCCTCACTTAGCGACGAATTTGTTTACCAACGTGGTATTAGGAACGGATCTCCATTGTTAAGAGAGGAGAGGCTATATTGTATATAACATACAGTGATAGGTTCCTTCCTTCTGATGTCCATCCCTAGCTTCATTTCCTTCTTTAACACTAGCAGTTGCTTCCTTTCAATTTCATAATCTTGCATTTCTTAGTGCTGAACTCGACTATTCTTTTGAAGCTTATTTGTGCCCTCCTGCAGGGTTTTCAAATCCTCTTCCAATTCTATTATTCTCATAGGTTTTGCATCATCTGCCAAACATCATCACAAAGAAATTTATCTATTCAGGTAGGTTATTCATGTACAGGATAAAAAAAATAGTACTGGACACAGGTACTAATCCTTGACTAACTCAACTTATATTTTCCCTCTATCTCAATGTCTCTTCTGTCATTGTGAACATTACTCATGTTTGTCAGCCACTTTACTGTCTTATATATTAGAGTACTCTTCTAGTTATCCTAATATCATAAGGATACAAGGTAGTGTAAGCCGGTACTACATAAGAAGCATCTAACCCTTAAACTGTCCAAACATAGATCTACATTCACATGCTTTGTGCTCCAAAAGTAGATCTATGTTTTTTTACATTTTTCAAATATAACAAAAACAAAATGTAGATCAAAGTTTTTTTACATGCTTTCAAATGTAAAAGAAAAAAAGAAGATCTACGTTTTTTTTACATACTTTCATATGTTGAAAATATGTTTAAGGGTTAAAAACAAAATATAACATGTGCTGTCATTTATTTATTCTTATTGAAATAATGTATAAACCATTAGGAAATGAAATCATGATCATGATAGGTCTTTTTACCTCTAGCCCAGAACCATCTTCAAAAACAAATAATAAATGTGCGTATTATTTCAGTTCCTGTTCACGTAAAAAGAAAATCTGTCGTGGAACTCCTTGTCCAGAGCCGACCTCTACTACCAGTACTCATACCACTCCCCGAGTTACCATACCAATTAGCCTCTTGACTTCTACACCTTCCACTACTATTACTACTGAAGCTGAAGATGGAGAGTGTAGGGATGGATGGACTGAATGGTTCAGTGAGGACAAGCCTATCATCTTCAGACAGAACTCAGACACTGAGAGAGTGCCTCAGAAATTAAAACAAGTGAGTAAATACTATTTAAATTAAAAATATTTTTAAGGGAGATTTAATTGTATAAGTTTGCAAGGTCATATAATTTGTGAGATCAACCACAGAAATTCTTTTTTGACAGTGATTGTATGTGAATGATGGAGAAAGTTTTTTTTTTTTTTTTTTTTGTGTCACCCTGCCTCGGTGGGAGACTGCCAGCGTGTTGGCAAAAAAAAAAAAAAAAAAACTAATGATAAAAGAATAAAGATTTTATTTCTTTGCAAAGTTACAATTTTGATTTGTTATGTACAAAGAAAGTCACTATCATGCTAGGGCACTTCAGGCAGACTATTTATTAATATTACCTGTGACTTATGTACTTGAGGCATTAATATTCTGTTTGTAATTATAGTACAGTGTAGGTATTACAATTCAGTAATTTAAATAGTACAGTGGACCCTCGGTTATCAGCCGTAATCCATTCCAGAAGGTCAGCCTAAATCCAAAAAGGTCAAAAACCAAAATAATATTTCCCATAAGAATTAATGTAAATACTATTAATCCATTTCAGACACCCAAAAATATTAAAAAAAATACATTTTTTAAAGATTAACTATAGTTTTACATACACAAAACAATGAGAACTAAATAAAATGACTAATGAAATTGATAAATGAACATTTAACATCACTTTTACCTTTGTTAAAGACTCTTGTTGGTGCTAATATCTACTCTATGGCTTATTTATCTATCGCAGTTCATCGAATATGACATAACAAACAATATTAATAACAGAAACATGATATATACTCTAGACTGAATAAAATATGTCATTACGTATGTGGCTAGTGGTGGTGTGGTTGTTGTTGGGTTTATCTGGGCCACTGACAACATAAGCTATATAGTGGTGTGGCCACCACCACTAAACACACTACTAGTCACACAGAAACACCACTAGTCACACTGAAACAGTGTATGTAATTTATAAATAAGAAATATTGTAAAAAAAAAAATAATAGAGAATGTAAAGAAATACAGTGGTTATTGTGGAGAATGTAAAGAAATAAAGTAGTTATTGAGATGCTGGCAGAGGTTTAGGGTGGTGGAAGATACGCAGGGCGGCATATGTTGTCAATAACCCTATATACCTCTAATAACATTGGAAGAGTTTTATGTAATCATTTTTCTATCGCTTAATCTATTAACTTACTTGCTTCATTGTTAATGCTGCACTTTATCGCTGGCTGGTGCTATAGCCTTTATTGACTCCTGCTGCTTTAGTATCGTACATATTGTAGAATCACCGAATCACTGAGGAAGGCACATTCTCCCCTCTCTCTCAGCCCTTTACAAAAGGGCTGGCACTAGGAACTTTCTTTGGGGTCATGGTGGCTTATTTCACAGTTGCACTCAATAAACAACCACAAAAAGCAATGGATTATAATGAAATGTTTGGATGAATGCCTGGAGTGTTGCTCAGTCACTGAGAGACACAGCAAGACTGACTCACAAACGCAGTAGAGTGGCAAGCGGATGCATCCAATACAGCCGATTTCTGAGTTGACGGCTGAAATCTGGGATAGAATTTCAGCCAAAAAAGCAGCCAAAATCCAAATTGGCTGATATCCAGGACGGCCGATAACCGAGGATCCACTGTATTTGTTTTACTAAGTCTTTTAAAAATAAAAAACTGACCAAACAGTATTGTATAAGAATTACAAGAATGGGCATAACTCCAGCCCTCCCAGTGGAAAGTGTTTTAACATAAACTGAACATTGTTTCAGAGCAAAACAGGCAAAGGTTTCTGTGCACGTAGCCAAATGGTAGATATTCTGTGTAGGAGTGTAGGGACCCACCGTCCCCACACAGAGCAAGAAGATGTAACATGCTCACTGGAAGAGGGGTTGCTGTGCCAGGGTCGGAATGATGCTACGGGAGCTGATACTTGCTGGGACTACGAAGTGGCTTTCTTGTGTGACTGCAGTTAGTGTTTTGAGCTTTTTTAATTATTAGTCATATAAGGGTCATCTTAATTGTAATGAAGTTGCACTTCTGGCATAAAAGCTGTTGAATGGATAACAGTGAATGTTTTTCTCTGGGTCATCCTACCTTCGTGGAAAATGGCTAAAGTGGTAAGAATGGATCTTAAATACTGACAACTTCTTTGTCTTGTGTGTCCATCTTTGCCCTTGCATCACACATCAGTTACCAGTTTCATGCTCTCTGCATATCAACACTGAAAATTTTCATTTGTTAATGCTTTTGTTTATTTGTAATTTTTCTTTTATATTTGAGTACGTAGATGTATTTTTTCAGCCTTTTTTCTCCTTCTTGTGTTAGACAAGAAAAACAGGTGCCCTGGCTTAATGACCTTCATGACTTTCGGTGGGGTGCAGACCGTTTAGGTCAATAAGTCTGCATAATAGATTCTCTGCCATACATGGTGTCTTATTAACATGTTCATCTGAAATTAATGTTGTTGAAAAAATTAAAGCATGTTCCTGGGACTAAGTTGCATTTATTTCCAAAAGTAATCACTTGTTTATGCTTTAAAGTAAACTAAATTGAAAGCTGTCAAAATAGTTACAGAATAATTATATTGTTTGCAGGTCGTTCAACTGTTGAAACTTCATCTGCTACCACCCCAGTAACACCAGTCACACCTCCAGTAGTGGTGATACCTTCCATGTGGGTATTCTATGTAAACAGTATATTTTATTTCTTTGGATGTTGCCAAGTGAATTTTTATTGTTCCTCTTTATATCCTTATTGATATAAGTACAGTAGAACCTCTCCTTAACCCTTTCAGGGTCGACAGTCCCTCTCCTAAACTTGCTCTCAGGGTCGAAAAATATTAAAAAAAAAAAATGAAATGATAGTTTTTTTGTGAGTATTATAGGCAAAAAAAAATTTTTTTTGCGATCAATACTTACGGAGATTTGGAGGTGTGAAGTTGACAGAAATTGAACTGCATATGGCAACATCACCAACTGCCAGTCACCTGGTGATAGTTTATTTTGTTTTTTCTACTTTTTTCTTTTATTTTTTAATATTTTATGTTTTCAAGTAACTTTCATGGCCTCTGAGACCAATATAAAGACTATTTGGTATATATTCACTCATTGTATACTACACAATAAAAACACAAACTTTGCTGTCATTATATTGTTTACAAAACATGTTTACACAAACCAACAATAAAAAATGTTGTTTATTACTATTTTTCTATCATATATATACACATATAGAGTCACTGGACAAGTTCCTATAACTACAAGAGGTTCTGAAAGCTTGTAGTTGTGTGTGGGTAAGCTTGTAAATATGCTGAGTCACCAGTGTGTCTTGTGTCACAATGATGCATCATACCACCACTTACTAACCCTCACTGCCTTCCACAGCACATCCCTTCCTCCCCACAAACCTACCTTCTTTCTTTCCTTCCTTCCTTCCTGTCATCTCTTCCTACCTACCTTCCCTCCTTCCTTCCTTGCTTTCTCTCATCTCTTCCTACCTACCTACCTACCTACCTTCCTTCCTTCCTTCCTTCCTTCCTTCCTTCCTTCCTTCCTTCCTTCCTTCCTTCCTTCCTTTCTTCCTTCCTTCCTTCCTTCCTTCCTTCCTTTTTTTCTTCATTCAAGTAATTTTATGGCCTCTGAGACCAATATAAGGTATATTGAATGTATATTCACTGAATATATCATTGCTTAGTGAATCTTAAGTTAATTTTAAGCCTGCACACAATGCTCTGCATATAAGAGGCTTTTGGCATGTACACTCAACCACTGTATTTCTTTTGTACAACTATGTATCATGTCCAAATAATAATAAATAAAATAAATAAATTTGTATGCTACACAATGCCAAGTAACACCAGCAGGCATGCGTGAGCGTGTTTGATAGGAGTGAATGGAGACAAATGGTTTTTAATACTTGACGTGCTGTTGGAGTGTGAGCAAAGTAACATTTATGAAGGGGTTCAGGGAAACCGGCAGGCCGGACTTGAGTCCTGGAGATGGGAAGTACAGTGCCTGCACTCTGAAGGAGGGGTGTTAATGTTGCAGTTTAAAAACTGTAGTGTAAAGCACCCTTCTGGCAAGACAGTGATGGAGTGAATGATGGTGAAAGTTTTTCTTTTTCGGGCCACCCTGCTTTGGTGGGAATAGGCCAGTGTGATAATAAAAAAAAAATCATTATATTGTTTACAAAACATGTTTACACAAACCAACAATAAAAAAATGTTGTTTATTACTATTTTTCTATCACATATATACACATATAAAGTCACTGGACACTTCCCAGAACTGCTACAGCTTCTGTAAAGCTCGTAGTTGTTGTGTGGGGGTGGACTTGTAAATATGCTGAGTCACCGGTGTAATTAGTGTCACAATAACAAATTCAATTCAATTCAATTTAATTCAATTCAATTCAAACTTTATTCTCTATTAGTATTACAATGCTGAGTTTACAGAATTTGGTTATTGTGTGGTTTACATGTAGTAAAATAATAATTACAGAGTGTACCACTAGAACGCCTAGCATGGCTAGGCATTTCGGGCAGACTTATATTAAATCTTAGGTTTAAAATGTTACAGAATTATGAGATAAGTTGGTATTATGGCTAAGTGACTAAATACTAGTTGTGAGTTTAGCAATGTGAATGCTTTTGTTTTGGCACTATACATAGTTTCAGTATTGGAGTATCACAGGCCAACTTTTGACTAGTTAAGATTCATTATTTTGAGATTGAGATTGATATTTCTGTTTATGGTCAAATGAGTGAGTGAGTGTAAGTCTGAACCACCAGGTGGTATTTGTATTATTAGTTGACAGGGTGTATTAGGGAGATAAGATGTTTTCTGATGGTAGTTTTGATGGTGATGAATGTGTCTGCAGTTTTGGAATTTTCAGGTAGGGTGTTCCAGATTTTAGGGCCTTTGACATACATTGAATTTTTGTAAAGGTTTAGTCGGACACGGGGAATGTCATAGAGATGTTTGTGTCTGGTGTTGTGCCTGTGGGTTCTGTCACAACTCTCAAGAAAGTGTTTTAGGTCAAGGTTAATATTGGAATTTAAGGTCCTGTAGATGTAGATTGCACAGTAGTAAGTGTGGATATACTGAACAGGGAGTAAGTTTAGATCTATGAAGAGTGGGGGGGTGTGTTGCCAGGGATGGGATTTAGTGATTATTCTTACTGCGGCTTTTTGTTGGGTTATTATTGGCTTTAGGTGTGTTGCTGCAGTTGAACCCCAAGCACAGATAGCATAGGTGAGGTATGGATATATAAATGAGTGGTATAGTGTGGAAGGGCAGTTTGCGGCACGTAATATCGTATCTTGGAGAGGATCCCAACCGTTTTGGATACTTTTTTGGTTATGTGTTGGATATGGGTGCTGAAGTTCAGGTTGTTGTCGAGGTATAGGCCTAGGAATTTGCCCTCATTATGCCTGGTAATTAGAGTGTTGTCGATCTTAATGTTAATTTGCGCATCTGCTCTGCTACCAAACATAATGTAGTAGGTTTTGTCAACGTTAAGCGTAAGTTTATTGGCTGTCATCCAAGTCGATAACACCATCACTCACCATGCTCACTGCCTGTCAACTTCCTCCCCCCACCCCACCAATCCACATGGAAATAAGTCAGTCTGAATATTTTGGGTTATCTTAGGTTGATGGTCTCCTTACTTCCTTCCCTCCTTCCTTCCTTCCTTCCTTCCTTCCCTCCTTCCTTCCTTCCTTCCTTCCCTCCTTCCTTCCCTCCTTCCTTCTCTCCTTCCTTCTCTCCTTCCTTCTCTCCTTCCTTCCTCTCATCTCTTCCTTCCTTCCTTCCTTCCTCTCATCAATCATTCAATCAATCAAGTTTATTCTCTATAAGGATTACAATCCGGGGTTTACAGATTTTGAATATTGTGTGGTTTACATGTTTTGAAATACTAATTACAGAGGGGGCCACTAGGACACCTAGCATGGCTAGGCATTTCGGGCAGACTTAGATTAATTCTAAACTTTAAATTATTGCAGATTATGGTATTAAGGCTAAGTGACTACATTATAGTTTGTAAGTTTAGTAATGGGAATGCTTTTGTTTTGGCACAATACATAGTGTCTATATTGGAGTATCATAGGCAAACTTATGACTAGTTAGGATTCATTATTTTAAGATTAAGATTTGTATTTCTGTGTTTATAGTCAATGGGTGAGTGAGTGTAATTGTGAACTACCAGGTGGTTTACATGTAGTTAGTTGACGGGGTGTATCTGGGAGATAAGATGTTTTCTAACTGTAGTTTTGAAAGTGATGAATGTGTCTGCAGTTCTAGAGTTTTCAGGTAGGGTGTTCCAGATTTTAGGCCCTTTGACACACATTGAATTTTTGTAATGGTTTAGTCAGACATGGGGAATGTCATAGAGATGTTTGTGTCTTGTGTTATGCCTGTGGGTCCTGTCACAACTATCAAGAAAGCATTTTAGGTCAAGGTTAATATTGGAATTTAAGGTCCTGTAGATGTAGACTGCACAGTAGTGTGGATGTTCTGAACAGGGAGTAAGTTTAGATCTATGAAGACTGGGGGGGGGGGGTGTTGCCAGGGATGGGATTTAGTGATTATTCTTACTGCGGCTTTTTGTTGGGTTATTATTGGCTTTAGATGTGTTGCTGCAGTTGATCCCCAAGCACAAATAGCATAGGTGAGGTATGGATAAATGAGTGAATGGTATAGTGTGAGAAGGGCAGTTTGCGGCACATAATATCGTATCCTGGAGAGGATCCCCACCGTTTTGGATACTTTTTTTGTTATGTGTTGGATATGGGTGCTGAAATTTAGGTTGTTGTTGAGGTATAGACCTAGGAATTTGCCCTCATTATGTCTGGCAATTAGAGGTGTTGACGATCTTAATGTTAAGTTGCGCAACACCTGCTCTGCTACCAAACACAATGTAGTAGGTTTTGTCAGTGTTAAGTGTAAGTTTATTGGCTGTCATCCAAGTTAGAATTTTGAGCAGCTCCTCGTTGAAAATGGTGTTGAGGGTGGCAAGATTAGGGTGGGAGATGGCGTAAGTCGTGTCGTCAGCAAAGAGAATGGGTTTCAGGTGTTGGGATACGTTTGGAAGATCATAAATATAAATGAGGAAGAGCAGGGTACCAAGGACACTTCCCTGCGGAACTCCAGTATCAAGTGGCCGTGTTGATGAGGCTGTGTCTTTAATGGTGACATACTGATACCTGTTAGTAAGGTAGGATTTGAAATATGCAAGCGCATGGCCTCTTATACCATAATGGTCAAGTTTGTGGAGTAGAATGCCGTGGTCTACTGTGTCAAACACTTTTCTTAGGTCAATAAAAATTTCTAGCAGATATTCCTTATTTTCCAATGCTGTGTAAAGCAGGTCTAGCATTTTTACAATTGCATCATTAGTGCTTTTATTTTTCCTGAATCCAAATTGGCAGGGGTTGAGTATGTTTTGTGACATTATAAATGAATATAGTCTCTTGTGTACGAGTTTCTCGAAGATTTTGGATAGCAATGGTAAGTTTGATATTGGCCTATACTAGTTGTTTACATCTGTAGGGTCACCACCTTTATGTATTGGTGTAACCCTTGCTGTCTTGAATAGCGTCGGAAAAGTGCTAGTTTCTAGTGACTTGTTAAAAAGTAATGTAATAGCATGCGAAAGGACATGGGCCGCTCGCTTGTATAATAATGGTGGGACATGAGACAGATTCCCTGAGTTATTTTTGAGTGACTTTATAATCGCGGTGACTTCCATGGGCTCAGTTGGTACAAGATAGAGGGAATTTCGAAAATTCCCATCTAGGTAGTCCCCGGCACAGGCGTTGGTACGTGGGATTTTACTGCCGAGATCAGATCCTATGATCCTTCGTCTCTTTCTTCCTACCTTCCTTTCTTCCTTCCTTCAGGTTTCCTGGGCATTGCTTTCGGTCACAAACTCCTCAAAACCGTGAAATTCATCTTCACTGACACTTCCATCTGTGTTTGAACTGTCACTTGGGAACAAAAGATCCCCAATTAGCCGAGGAGTGAGGAGTTTCTTAGCACTAGACATGGTGAACAAGGTGTAATAAAATGGCTTTCCCACAATGCACCACTGGATCCCCGATTTTTTTTGTACCGCGCACACTGACCATGGAGACCCATTCTCTCACTTCTATGCATACCAACTGTTTCCCGCTTAATTTGAGGCCGGTAGAATTTACACGTACTAGTATGGCACCAGTCCTGGCATGTAAGCCATACTAGTATGGCACCAACCCTGAAAGGGTTAATGGACTAAGAGGGGGAAAGAGGTGTATGACATTGCTGACCATTGAAATAATTTTTTTTATGATTGTCCATTTGTTTTCTGAACTATTGTAACCTGTAATACAGTGCTGTACTGTATAGTAATTTGTCATTTTTTTCTTTTATTAACACATCATCTGATTCTCACCAAGGCAGGGTGGCCCAAAAAAGAAAAATTGTCATCGTCATTCGCTCTATCACTGTCTTGCTAGAGGGGTGCTTTACATTACAGTTTATAAAACTGCAACATTAACACCCTTCCTTATGTAATTTAATATACTGTGATAAATAAACAAATAAATAAATTTTATTTCTATGAAGTGGAGTATAATATATTATGCAATTAAGGTGATTGACATACAGTAGGACTCCCGTATCCACAGGGAGTACTTTCCAGTGACCTGCCGTGGATATCGAAACTGTAGATAGTAGCAAACCCTCTATATAAGTCTTATACATACCTATTATAAAGTTTAATTGATAAATTATGCACAATAAGTGGAGAATTAATACTTTTTCAGTGATAGGAAGCACCGGTGGCCTGGTAGCTAAAGCTCCCGCTTCACACACGGAGGGCCCGGGTTCGATTCCCGGCGGGTGGAAACATTTCGACACGTTTCCTTACACCTGTTGTCCTGTTCACCTAGCAGCAAATAGGTACCTGGGTGTTAGTCTACTGGTGTGGGTCGCATCCTGGGGGACAAGATTAAGGACCACAATGGAAATAAGTTAGACAGTCCTCGATGACACACTGACTTTCTTGGGTTATCCTGGGTGGCTAACCCTCTGGGGTTAAAAATCCGAACGAAATCTTATCTTATCTTATCTTATTATTATGCAAAATTATGAGATATATTTGGGCCACAGTAAACTGTAGATACCGAATCAGTGGATATGGGGATTTTACTGTATGTAACTACTTTATAGAAGGCCCCCCTTGTTATGTAACAAACTCAGCATAACATTTCAGAAAGCATGAGTGAATTGATGCTTGGGTAGTGGGTGTTAAAGGTGAGAGGTGGGTGGTTATGAAAGTGTGAATATGGGTGGGTGCATGAGAGAGGGTGAGTTTGAGGGATTGGTATGAGATGGGTGCGAGGATGAGTAGGTGGGTGCATGAGAGAGGGTGGGCTTTAGAGGGTGTATGTTTGTGTGACTCTGGGTGGTATGTGAGAGGGTGGGTGGATACATGGGTATGAGGATGGGTTGGTAGGTGGATAAATGTGAGAGGGTATGTGGATATGAGGGTGGATGGTTAGAAGAGTGAATAAGAGAGGGTGGGTGAATGGGTAAGTGACTGTGGGGGGGAGATGGGGAGGTGTGGGCAGGTGTGAGTGTGTGAAGGTAATGGAGACAGATGAATGAACTGGAACATCTCTCCTCGGCTCCCACACCTGCCCACCCACTAACCCACTCACCTGCCCACCTCCCTGCCTTACTAACAACACCCCTCCACCCATCCTCCCCTGCCACTTAATAACTAATGTAGTGTAAATAATAAATCTATAGTACAAATCATTGACAATATATATAAAAAAGTTTTGAGCTCTTTATACATGGAAAGAGGGAAGCAGTGAAGGATGGAGAGGCCTCACTCCTCAGCTTTCAGTCAACACTTCCTCTTCCCTTCCTTTCCTCCTGTCTCACCAAGGGCTGGCTCCATCATTGACTCATGGCTATCCAGCCACCAACCCACCCTCCTGTCCTCCTCCAGCCTGTCAGTCACTAACAGCTAACACAACGTAAATAATAATTCTTTAGTTCTTTATCAGTTTTTACCAAATTACTGTAAGCATTTTACACATACAAGGTACATACACAAAGTATGGATGCATTTGTTAAAAAATTAACTGAGATATAAAATATTTATTAGTCATCATTAATAAAAACCATGCTAATAGACAAAATGTGGAATTACAGACCTATTCTATTTTGTCTTGGTACTTTTGTTTGTCTGGGAAATTTTTTTTGTTTGTAATTGCCAAAAACCATTAATAAGAGGTTTTACTGTACACGTTTCTTAGTAGTGCTTCGTATAACCTGCCATGTATTGAGAGTGAAATTTTTATTTCCAAAAAAGCTGAAGTGATTAAAAAAAATAAGTGGCACGAATTATAAGCCTAATGTCTACACATTCCCTACTCTTACTAAAGCCTCCTTGTTCATTTGCAATCCTACTCTCCATCTTGCCCTTAATTCTTTCAATATTAACACCCCCATAACACTTTACATGGTATACTCAACAGACTTATTTCCCTATAATTTTTATACTGTTTTGGCCCCCTTTCCTTTTTTTACAAAAGAACTATGTACACTCTCTCCCAATCCCTAGGCACCTTTTCCTGTTTTATCTATTTATTGAACAAAAATACCAACCACTCTAAAACTATATCCCCACCTGCTTTTAACATTTCTGTCTTGATTCCATCAATCCCAGTTGCTTTACCCCCTTTCATTTTACCCACTGCCTCATACACCTCCACCACTCTCATATATGTCTGTTATATTTTTTTCTTGTTAGTATTATTCCAAATTTAAGTCTGCCCAAAATTCTATGCATAACAATGGGCTTTTCTTTTTTAAGAAATATACACTGTTAACCTGCTCTTGTAACTCTAATATATCTTCTTGGGAAGTAAATCTAGCACATTTATGGAATATATTGGATGACAGAGAAAGTGAGAGAGGTGAATTATAGTTTGAAGATGTTTAAGAGAATTACTTGCTTTGAACATCTGGAGAATAACCAGTAATAGGTTATTAAAGATGATATGCAAGAGAATATTACAGTGGTTAGGGTGTTTGGTAGCTAGCCTATTTCACAGGAAAGGAAAGTGAAGGTTTCTTAAGGGATAGGTCAATAGCATAATGAGTATAGTACTGTATGCCAGATCATAGATAAGGCACTCTGCTGGCTTGTCTGTCATAACCAGTCTGATGAAGAAGAGTTTTGTGAGGAATGATTTATAATACATTGAGATAATTAGATAGAAAATATCTGAAAATATCCACAGATCAACAAGAAAAGTTGCAGTGTAATAATAGCTGAAGAAAAAGAATGATCAGGGAGATGTGACATTTTGCTATAATTTACCTCCTGCTATGTAATTACAAATAATAATGTGTGTTCATTTATACATCTATGATAAATCTGAGAAAAAGTTGAATTGGGTATGGAAGTATCTAAGACCAACTAGTTGGTAAACTAAAATGGTCAACTTTCCCAGTCCACCAGAGGTTCAGCCCAAACCAATGACTTGTGATGAAGAAGGATGGAGTGAGTGGTACAACGTACACGTCCCTGATCGAGATGGTGAATTTGAGTCTTTGTCAGAGATTCGTAAGGTACGTTTACAGGGAAAGTTAGGAAGTACATTTTACAAACACTTTTCATTTAATTGCATTAAATATAGAGGCAAATTTGAAAAGGCATTCATGATTAATGGGACTCATTTTATAGCTCAGATTGGGGCATGTGTATTCCGTCCTCTCTTCCTAATATCAGTGTACTTTTGTACACAATTGAAGGAAGTAGGGAAAAACAATTTTGGCATTTTGAGCACTTTTTTTTGATGTTCTCAAATTTAGATGACTTTTTCTTAATGTTAGTGTTTGTTTGTTAAGGTAAGGTTAATATAAATTAAACATTTTTGAAAGATACCCAAAAAAAAAAAAAAAAAATAGGAAACTAGGGAGTATGTTTTTGTAGTAACAGTTACTGGATAAACATTAAGAGAATGTATGATGAGAGTGAAACCTGGAGAAGCAACACTGTCTTCACTGGTAAATATTGACTATTGCAGCTTGAATATACAGTGGACCCCCGGTTAACGATTTTAATCCGTGCAAGAGGGGTAATTGTTATGCGAAATAATCGTTATGTGAATGAATTTTCCCCATAAGAAATAATGGAAATAAAATTAATCCGTGCAAGACACCCAAAAGTATGAAAAAAAAAAATTTTACTACATGAAATATACATTTTCCCACACACAAAGAGAAGGATACATGCACAATAGTAGAGTAGTACATGCACAGTATATATTGTGCATGTACTAGTCTACTAAATGAAGAATAAATGACACTTACCTTTATTGAAGATGCAGCAATGACTGATGAGACACTGTGTCCTGGGAGTGCCTTTTCCTCCTGAGTACTGTAGGTCCTGTTTGGCATTTTCTTCCAAACAGGCCTTATCACACTGTGTATGCCACTACGATTCTTAAATCTCTCAAACCAACCTTTGCTGGCTTTAAATTCACCAATATGAGCACTAGTTCCAGGCATTTTTTCCTGTTCACCTGGGTGTTAGTCGACTTGTGTGGGTTGCATCCTGGGAGACAAGATTAAGGACCCCAATGGAAATAAGTTAGACAGTCTTCGATGACACTGACTTTTTTGGGTTATCCTGGGTGGCAAATCCTCTGGGGTTAATTGTTTCTTGGTATTCTCAATAAGCCACACCAACAACGGTGCTACAGCAGCAGCAGCAGCTGACAGTGCAGCAGCAGCAGCAGCTGACAGTGCAGCAGCAGCAGCAGCTGTACCACCAATAGTAGCGATGGTTGATTGGGGTTTATTATACAACCTGGCCAGCTCGGAGACATGCACTCCACTTTCATACTTATCAATGATCTTTTTCTTCATCTCTATTGTAATTCTCACCCTTATTGCTGTAGGGTTGGCACTAGAAGCTTTCTTGGGGCCCATGGTCACTTATTTTCCAGAAAAAGCACCGAAAACACTGTAATAATACGAAATATTCCGATTGTATGCTTGGATGTTACCGCGGAGGCTGGCTGGTAAACAATGCCACCGGCGGAACATGTGAGCGTGGCTCAGGCCGCACATTGGACGCGTCTCGGACGAAAATCGGTAAGCGGGTTTTTAAGCGGTATGTGAGGCAAAATTTTTGCGATTAAAGTAAGCGGTATGCGAAATAATCGCTATGTGATGCCATCGTTATGCGGGGGTCCACTGTATACAGTACAGCACAGCAGGAATTTGCTAGTCTGCAAAATAGGCTGTTGTGCAAGAATGGTATATAATACCGACAAGATGAAATTAAGACACAGGTGCAACCCAGATGTTGCACCTATGTTTTAATTTCAAAATAGGCTGTTATTAGTCAACAAGCTTTGCTTTCTGGGTGTCTTATTCATTTTTTTAGTGGCTTCTTCCAGAGTTTTTACAATGCTACTAGTTATTAAGACAGGCCTGTAGCTTAAAAAGTACAGTGGAACCTTGGTTTACAAGTGCCCCACCATACGAGTTTTTCTGGATACAAGCAGTCGCTCAGTTGATTTTTTGTTTCTGGATACGAGCAAAGATTCAGAATGCGAGCTACCCCCTCAAACAACTTTTATTTAGACCTCCAGATCTTACAAAAGTAAAAATGAATATATAATTGTAGTTCATTGTTGTGATGTATTATGTTGTTTTTTCTGCTTAAGACTATAACTGCAACAGAAATAATAGTATTTCTTACCTTAAGTTGTGGGTGCTGGTGTTTGTCAATGACTGTATAGAGAGTGGAGAGTTATGTTGTGGTCCTACTGGGCTGAGGTGGATGGTAGAGGTTCTGGTACTGAAGTTGATGGTTGTACTGGAGTGTGCTTAAATTCTGTAATGGATTTCTGTTCTATTTTACCCTGCAGTACATTATACAACTGATGGTAAGGCATCAGCGGCTCTAGACACCGTTTCAGGGTCCTCTTCAGTGAAAAAGTCTAACTTTAAGTCATTCAGTAAGTCAGTCAAGTCAGTAAGTCAGTCAGTCAAGTCAGTCAGTCAAGTCACTAAATCATTCAATCAAGTCAGTCAGTCAAGTCAGTACATCAGTCAGTCAAGTCAGTAAGTCAGTCAGTGAAGTCAGTCAGTGAAGTCTGTAAGTCAGTCAGTTAAGTCAGTCAGTCAAGTCAGTCAGTTATTCAGTCAAGTCAGTCAGTGATTCAGTCAAGTCAGTAAGTCATTCAGCAACACTGGTATGCCTACTGGGTGTCATGATTGCTTGGTAGATACAAGATATGGTAATTAAAAGATCAAAACACATTTCACAAACACAGCTGGCCTGTAGGAGAGAAGTGGAACTAAACATGTAAGCTGGGATGGTGATATCGGGGGATGGCAGGGGATGGCGGGAGGTCTTCCCTGCTGACCCGCAACAAGGCGGCCACTTGAGGTAGGGAATGGCTGCCACCACTTCCCACATAATGACATATTTAATTCGTTGTTCATTACCTGTGAATATAAAAGAAACACTGTCTGTTTATAAATTCAAGTCTCTTCTCAAAAATCACTTACTCACCCACAACTAAATAAATACTGAATAATTGTATCTCATAAATTTTATCTCGTAAATGTTTCTCATTATTGTATCTCATAAATGTCTAACCTGTGACCCAATCAAACTTTATTTTTTAATTACATTACCTAACAGAATACTCCAATCTACCGAATGCTCAGCAACACAGTAAATAACCATATGACCTGTCTTTGTAATACTCATTTGTGCTAAATTGTTGTCTGTTTACAATAATGTATTTACCACTGAATATATCATTGCTTAGTTAATCTTAAGTTAATTTTAAGCCTGCCCATTATGCTCTGCATACAAGGGGCTTTGGCATGTTGCACTGTAATAACTTTGTACTTCACTGTATCATGCTCAAATTAATAAATAAATAAATAAATTCTAGAGTATATATCAGGTTTCTATGTTATTTATATTGTTTATTATGTCATAATAGATGAATTGTGATAGATAAATAACCCATAGAGTTGATATTAGCATCATATCCTTGCTTCCTGAGAGCAGGAATTCCTGTGGAACAGATTAATGGCATTTCTGTTAATATAAATGAGGAAAAGTGACTCAGCATACAAGCAGATCGAGATACGAGCAAGGTCACAGAATGGATTAAATTCGTAAGCTGAGGTGCCACTGTACGGATTTCCAATTCACTTCTTGAATATCAACACAGTGTCTACTGGTTTATATTCATGTAATAAAATCCAAAAAAATTTCCAGAGTAGATTGTATAGTCCTGCACACGAGGTTGCACATGGACCCACATTTTGCTTTGTGAATTTTTCCAGGTGAATTTAGAATTATAACAATTTTCATTTCAATAGCTTTTGCAGGTGATTACCTATTTATGTAGCAACAAGAGCAGAGCTAGGTTCACGGTGTTCTACCCTCAATATTTAGTCTGCCTTAAAGTTTGTTTTGAAGTTTCCAGTGGTTGTAAATCTTAATGCCATGTATTGTAAATTGTTCCAACTTTCTAAAACTCTCTTTGCAAAGAAATGTTTTTTGACTTAAATTTGTTTGTGAAGAAATATTTTTTTTTGACAAATAAGTTTATTACTCACTGGCTGAATAATTTCTTATATGTTCTGCACTGCAGTTAAGAGATATTAAAGTTATTGCTCTTAAAGTATACATGATGTTAGACTTCCTAAAGAAGTGATTGGGGTTTACATAGTCAAGATTATTCAGTTTCTTGTATGTTGCTATGAGCTGGCTCTGTTTTGGCATGTTTGAAGGGATGTCAGTCCTCTTACTCACTACCAACTGGTAAGTTGGATGACAAATTTCTGGAATGATATCTGGTGCTCTTCATTGATTATCTCTTGATTTTCTATGTTAGCTTTTGTTTTCATTGCTTATTATATTCCTTGGTTGAATATTTACTTTAATGGGAAAATATAGTTTTAATATATTGTAGCTCTAAGTGGGATCCACACTGTTTTCTTGTCTCCTTTATTTAATAATTAGATACAAAATATGTAGTTATAGAATATGTCATACCAGTACATTACTTAGCATTCATGAAATATGTGTGATTACAATGTAATTAAGTGGTAAAATCATATTCTTTTAATTATTGGATTAGTTATAAAATTTGATTCATTTGCTTTTCTGTAATATGATAACACTTATCTATTTATAGACTTACTCACTGTGCCCTGACCACTACATTGCTGAGGTAGAGTGTCAACCAGTAAAAGGAGGGGGCGTGGAATCTATCGTCACTTGTGATAAGAAAGGGGCTAGTTGTAGGAACAACGGTGAGTTCCATCATACTCATTAAAAAATATTTTTCCTTTATCACTGATGTTCTGACCTTGTTAAAAATCCAAACAAATCTTATCTTAATGATAGTATTATTACTGTACCACCCCATCAGAATTCATGTTCTAAATTTATGAATATACTGATTTGTAAGTGGCTAGGTTATTTGATTCCTCAGTCATATAGAGTATTATTGAGTTATCTTCAAGCCTGATTCCTGGAACCATGAATTCATTATATTGCATAGCCATAAACATAGCTGTGTGTAATACAGTGGACCCCCGCTTTACGATCAGCTCCCAATGTGACCAATTACAGTGGACCCTCGACCAGCGATATTAATCCGTTCCTGAGAGCTCATCGTTAATCAAAATTATCGTTAGTCGAGTTAATTTTCCCCATAAGAAATAATGGAAATCAAATTAATCCGTGCAAGACACCCAAAAGTATTGAAAAAAAAATTTTTACCACATGAAATATTAATTTTAATACACACAAACTGAAGAAGACGTACAATTACATGACACTTTCCTTTATTGAAGATCTGGTGATGATTGATGGGATGGGGGGAGGGGAGAGTGTTGATGGTGTTAGTGTTTAGAAGGGGAATCTCCTTCCATTAGGACTTGAAGTGGCAAGTCTTTTTTCGGGGTTACTTCCCTTCTTCTTTTAATGCCACTAGGACCAGCTTGAGAGTCACTGGACCTCTGTCACACAACATATCTGTCCATAGAGGCCTGTACCTCCCGTTCCTTTATGACATTCCTAAAGTGTTTCACAACATTGTCAGTGTCACAATTAAACACTTGTTCAGGTTTCAATTCTTCACTGTCTATGTACTCCTTGAATTCCTGCACATATTTTTCAGCTGCTTTTTGGTCCAAACTGGCAGCCTCACCATGCCTTATCACACTATGTATGCCACTACGATTCTTAAATCTCTCAAACCAACCTTTGCTGGCCTTAAATTCACTCACTTCACCACTAGTTACAGGCATTTTTCTAATTAAATCCTCATGCTACTTCCTAGCCTTTTCACATATGATCGCTTGAGAGATGCTATCTCCTGCTATCTGTTTTTCATTTATCCACACCAATAACAGTCTCTCAACATCTTCTATTACTTGCGATCTCAGTTTCGAAAACATAGTTGCACCTTTGGCAAGAACAACTTCCTTGATTGCCGTTTTCTTGGCCACAATAGTAGCGATGGTTGATTGGGGTTTTGTGTACAACCTGGCCAGCTCGGAGACACGCACTCCACTTTCATACTTAGCAATGATCTCTTTCTTCATATCCATAGTAATTCTCACCCTTTTTGCTGTAGGGTTGGCACTAGAAGCTTTCTTGGGTCCCATGGTGACTTATTTTGCAGGTGCAATCACTAAAAAGGCTGTGATAATATGAAATGTTCCAATTGTATGCTTGGAAGCGACCGCGGTGGCTGGCTGGCTTGCAAACACTGGCCAGAAGTGGACGCATCTCAGACGGAACGAATAGTGTTGGTCGAGTTTTTTAGTGCTAGTCGAGGCAAAATTTTTGCGTTAAAATGTATCGCCGGTCGGATTTAATGTTAGTCGATGCCATCGTTGGTTGAGGGTCTACTGTATGTAAGTGTATTTATGTAAGTGTGTTTGTACGTGTATGTTTGGGGGTCTGAAATGGACTAATCTAATTCACAATATTCCTTATGGGAACAAATTTGTTCAGTAATGGCACCTGAACATACTTCTGGAATGAAATATCGTAAACCCGGGGTCCACTGTATAAGCTTTGTCAAAACTTTACTTTCCATTAATTTTTCCCACTTTCACACCCATGAAATGTGTAAAACATTCTAATACCATGTACATAAACCAGTTGTTTTACAAATCAGTGTATTCATAGATTTAGAACATGAATTCTGAGGGGGGGAGGTGCAGTAATAATACTATCATTAAGATAAGATTTGTTTGGTTTTTTAAACGGTCCAGACGTATATATACGTTCACGTGCGTAGCACCCCAAACGTATATATACGTTTTCTTTGTCATTCATTCAACACTGCCACGATAAGCCTGAGTCACCTAGACATGAGAGAATGGGTGTGTGCACTCACTGTGCACCATATTAAAATAATTGGGGATGCCTGGGTACCATATGCTCTTTTTTCCTATAAAAAAAAACAATTTTTTTTTCTCAAAAAATTTGGGGCGCTACGCGAGTGAACGTATATATACGTTTGGACCATTTAGGGGTTAACCTGGAGGGTCATTCAGCCAGGATAACCCAAGAAAGCCAGTGTGTCATTGAGGACTGTCTTTCTTATTTCGAGTGGGGTCCTTCAATCTTGTTCGCCAGGATGCAACCCACATCAGTCGACTAACACCCAGGTACCTACTTATTACTAGGTGAATAGTGACAGCAGGTGTAAGGTAACATGCCATTTGAACTGTGATGTCCAGGCACTTCTGGAAAAGCATCTAGAAAATTAGTGAGGGTGAATGTGTTTCTTTCTTTGTGCCTGTCTACCTTGGTGGGAAACAGCTGATGTGTTAACAGATGTGCATGCATGGTAGTAGGTAGCCCACATGCAGATAAAGACCGAGTTTTCCACAGTGATTGACAAGTATTCATGACACCTTGATGCTACGTTATATATATATACATACATGTTAGTATTTGTACTTGGGTTGTATTGCTGTAACTTTGTTATATTAAATTTCTACATAGTATTGATTTCTTAAATTATGAATTAATGCTAAATTAGAATATACACATAAACCTCTCAAGGCATGAATTTAATTAATTTTAGGAATGGCATGATAAATATTGTAGTCAAGAATTTTTGAAAATAGACAATTGTCATGAATAAATGAGAGTCAATATCTCATGGGAGAGGATTTTTTTGTTGTGCATTTAGTTTGATAAGTTTTAGGTGGTGACTGGTCTTTAATATACATGTACTGTATGTCACATTAGCCATTTTGAAATACTGTAGGTGTTCAGCTTGTTATGTATCTAAAATGTCTCCGAACTATAGTCTGCTGGGCAATATTTGTGAACCATAACATTTTGGTTAGTAGTTAAAGATCCTGACACTAGGCAACAGTGTGCTGGGACAATACAGAAATAACAAGGAAGGAAAGACTGAAAATGGAGGCATTGGAAAATGACCAAAAGGCAGATGTGATTCACACAGATTTTGCAAAGGCATTTGACAGATGCGATCATGGAGTGATAGCACACAAAATGAAGGCCATGGGCATTATGGGGAAGGTAGGCAGATGAATTTTTGGGTTCCTAACACACAGAACACAAAAAGTAGTAGTGAAGAGGGCAAGATCCAGCATCAGCGAGGTCAAAAGCTCAGTGCCCCAAGGTACTGTCCTGGCACCTCTGCTGTTTCTCATCCTCATAGCAGACATAGATAAAAATACCCGTCACACTTTTGTATCATCATTTGCAGATGACACTAAAATAAACATGAAAGTCACTATGGTAGAAGACACTGAAAAAGTACAGGAAGACGTAAACAGAGTTTTCCGTGAGGCATTGGGGAACAACATGACATTCAATGGTGATAAGTTCCAGCTGCTTAGGTATGGAAAGAGTGAAGAACTCAAAAGGAACACTATATACATAACTCAAGTGGGTTACCAAATAGAACGTAAGGAACACGTAAAAGACCTGGGAATAATTATGCCAGCGGACCTTTCTTTTAAAGACCATAACAAGACAAAGCTCATGACAGCCAGGAAGATGACGGGGTGGGAATTGAGAACTTTCAAAACAAGGGAAACAATGCCGATGGTGACACTCTTCAAATTTCTAGTGCTCTCTCACTTATAATGTTGCTTAGTGCTGACAGCTCCATTCAAAGCAGGAGAAATATTGGAGCTGGAACAAATACAGAGATCATTTACAGCTCACATTGAGCCTGTTAAGCACCTAAACTACTGGGAATACCTGCAAGTCTTGAACCTGTATTCATTGGAGTGGAGGAGAGAGAGATACTTGATAATATACACCTGGAAAGTACTCGAGGGCCTGGTCCCAAATCTGTACACTGCCATAACAACATACTGGAGTGAGAGATATGGGAGGAAGTGTAAAATAAACCCAGTGAGGAGCAGGGGTGTGGTGGGGACAATAAGGGAACACTATATCAACATCTGGGGTCCCAGACTATTCAACATCTTACCAGAAGATATCGGAAACATGGCTAGGACAAGTGTAGAAGCCTTCAAGAGGGAACTGTGCAAGTATCTTCACAAGTATCTTCAAGTATCTCACCCCTGGCTGTCTTCAAGAAGGCACTGGACAGGCACCTAAAGTCAGTACCTGATCAACTGAGCTGTGGTTCATATGTCAGCTTGTGTGTGGCCAGCAGGGACAGCCTGGTTGATCAGACCCTGATTCACCATGAGGCCTGGTCTCAGACCAGGCCGCAGGGGTGTTGTCCCCCAAAACCCTCTCCAGGTAAACTCCAGGTGCCGGATCAACCAGGCTGTGATGGATATGTGGGGGCAGCGGGCCTCCAGCAGCAACATCCTGGTTGACCAGGCAAGCACCAGACGAGCCTGGCCCATGGCTGGGCTCAGAGACAAGTTTATGCCCATGTGGCTGAGGAAAAAGTGTGGTTGAGCAAGAAGTATTTGCTAGTTGATAAATGCATGTCACCATGCCTGTTAAAATTATTTCAGTTATCTGTAGGAGGCATGTATTATAGTATGATTTTAATGAATGTCTGTTAATCATCCAGCTGGACAAATGTACTGCCAAGACTATGAGATTCGGGTCTTATGTCAGTGTGAGTGCCAAGATGGTCTTGGCATGGAGGACTTCAGCATCACTAATGACCAGATTACTTCCTCATCTCTCATGACTCCTGATGACAAGCCTTATGCAGCTCGCCTCAACTCTGACTGGGCCTGGACCTCACACCCTGTTGATGAATTCAGTGAAAGGAATGCAAAAGATGAGTGGCTACAGGTGGGATATCTTTTATTATTTATTCAGTTTCAGGCTTTGTAATAGCAGTAATGTCTTGTACAGTGTGGTAAATAAGTTACTGAAAACTGCAAATAGCCATAGTTTCTTCAAGGTCTAGGAACAGCAGTTGGTTGCTGTGTTTGAGTTAATGCTAAATCTAGGCAGGTCATCCAGCTCCAGTAGTGAAGATCTGTTTGTACACCCACTATTGGTTGCCCAGGTCTCTTAATAGCCAGACTATTGATGATTGTACTAGGTAGTTATAATTAAATACACAATTAGTGTTATAAGAAATTTAGGGCTCACTTGCCTTGGGCTCAGACTACACCCATTTCGTGATTGTTTTAAATTAATGTTTATAAACTTTGCTGCTCTTTATGGTGGCCATCCTAGGAACATTTGAGTAGTTGACTGGGTACTGCTTTAGCCCTTAACTCTTGATGTGAAAACACCTGTTTATTTGGCACTTCATCATAACAATGTGACATCATTTGTCTTTGCTTTGATAAACTAGGAGAGGCTAAGAACAAGTAAAATGCTTTGAAAAAAATAAAATGAGACTTGCATGAAATTGACTGTGTAAAACTGGGCTATGCTAGATACACCACTGTTATGTATTTTCAGTTTTGAATGGCAGATTTTGATGTATTTAAATTTGCTTGCATTATATCAAGTAGAGATGGACTATACAGATGTGAAAATAAATTAATGACTCATACAAATTTGTAATAATTATGCACAGGTGGATCTGAAAGAAGTGAAGGAAGTGACAGGCGTGGTGACTCAAGGACATCCATACTTCGAACAGTTTGTGGAAACATTTGCTGTCCAAGTTTCAGAAACTGGAGCAGTTTGGGAAGATATTAAAGAGAAAGAGGCCTCATTTGCTAAGGTCGGTATATAAAGAAATATTCTCAGTTAAGTTATTTTCTGAGTTATATTATATATTTTTTATGTATTTAAATTAATTTAAAACAGCAATTTTTAAACATTAACACAAACTGATAAATATTGATATTTACCTGTGTGTGTTTGGAGAGACAATGTGAAAAACAGACTCTTGTATCAGTGTTGCTCCTGTTATCATTGTTATTCTTCGTTCCTCTGGCTCCTGTTATCACTGTTACTTTGCTTCTCTGGCTCCTGTCATCACTGTTTCTCTGGTTCCTGTCATCACTGTTTCTCTGGTTCCTGTCATCACTGTTACTCTGGTTCTCTGGCTCTGTCATCACTGTTACTTTCCTTATCTGGTTCCTGTCATCACTGTTACTCGACTCTACACAGTAATGCTGATGCTGACCTAAGACACTTCCTGGATAACTATAATAGAACACACAGACATCATGCTTGAAACAAATGCTGCTTTGTTATTTCCTGTGCTTGCCTGAACCTTCATAGAAGCTCACTGCAAATAAAAGGGTTGAAAAATGTGGAGTAACTTGCCAGATGAATTAAAAAATTGTAGTTTAACCCTTTCTGGGTCCAGAGGCCAAATTTCAAAGTGTGCACCAGGGTCCAAGAATTTTCCAAAAAAAATTTTTGCTATTTTTTCTCATGAAATGGTAGAGAATCTTTTTCTGAAGGTAATAAAACAAAAAGTATGAAATTTGATGGAAAACTGACGAAATTATGCTCTCGCGAATTTTGATGTATCAGCGATATTTACGCATCGGCGATTTTGCTGACTTTGACCCCCATTTTAGGCCAATTCTATTATTCCAATCGACCAAATTCTTAGCTATTTCACTAGTATTACTTTTGTTCTGTCGATTGAGCACAAGAAATTGCCAAGTCAACTGTTTCAACTACAAAATAAAGTGATCGGAAATTGGTAATTTTTCCAATTTAATGCAATGTTCAAAATATTCCACTTTCAAAATAGGGTCCAGAATAAACAATGCAGGCATTCCTGGCACTAAACTAACATTTCCTCTGTTCATTAGTTACATTTTCAGGCTTTACAAATGAATTCCATTTTGATTTTTTATTCACATAATGAATTTTTATTCAAGCCAAAAAATAGAAGATTTACTGCTATGCAATATTGTAATAATTTTATAAATAATATCACCACACTTGTGAACGTATATTAGACCCACCAGTTGGCATGTATTGGACACATGACATCAATTGTTTACTCTTGAACATCGGCAAAAATTTAACATTTCCGCTACTTTGAGCTCAGTTTCAAGCCATTTCCAGTATTAAAACCAATCAAAATCATCTCTATTTCTGTAATATGTCTTCCATTCTATCAAATGAGACCAAGAAATCACAAATACAATGATAAAAAAACATACGAAAAAACACTGCAAAGTTGCTGTTTTAATCGAAAATTACGGTCTCAGTTTTTTCCCTCATTGTGCACTGTGTTCTGCAGGATTTGTTTTATGTGGTGCACACATACCACATAGATGTATTCTCTCATATCTAGGCCCAAATTTACCACTCACAGCTTATCAGAGTGAGCTGAGCTCATGGCATAGATTTACGGTTTGGACCTTCAACTCAAAGCCGCAGAACTACGGCACGGACCCTGAAAGGGTTAATAAATTCAAACAAAAGCTTAAAAAAAAAATTGTGTGCTTAATGTATCTCACTGAACTTTTTATAACTCCTTAAATTGCCATTAATTTTTACTTACAATTTATAAATTACATTATGATCCTTAATTACATATCTGAAATTAAATCATATATCTCCTACCATTATTACATCATTGCCTCCATATTTGCATTTTAACTCTCTTGCAGTTAACTTTTAATTTAATATTAAATGTTAATTTAATGTTCACTAAATTCCAAATTGTTACTAAAATGTGTATTACAGTATTATGTAATTGTATATATTTATTTTATTTAGTGTGTATTACATTCATTTACCAATGTCTAATATATGTATTTTATATTTATTTGTTGATTGTATTAGTTATAGCTTAAGTCTGTGCAAAATTCTGTGCATAACTATTGGGGTTTATATGGAAGAAACATTGTCACAAGTTCCTCTCTCCTCTGTGCAGGTTATTTATGTACTAATGTATCTTTGGCTATAAAGTAATTATTATCATGAATACATACTTCTGAATATTCTGTAAGCACTGAATTAGCTCTTTATTCCTTGTTTTTTACTATTAACCAACAAGTGTATTGCTGCATCTATCATATTTACATTTAAATTCATGTTTATTTAGAGTTACATTGCTTCCATGCATGTGTAGGAAGAAAGGTCACCACCTGAAATATAAATTACTCAGTGTTCTTGTAATTAAAGGTGCTTATTTTATTGGAATTGTTTCTTCAACAGCAATTCCCTGGCAACACTGACCAGTCCACCCCTGTGACAAACTTATTCCCCGAGCCTGTGTTTGCTCGCTACGTCAGGATTGTTCCCATAGATTTCCACTCTGCCATATCCCTTAGGGTGGAGCTTAAGGGCTGTGACTCCAAAGGTAAGAATGTTACATACATTTTGATAAGGAAATTATGCATTTCTACAAAGTCAAATATTGAAAATAATTTGAGGGCAGGGATCTTATGTGCTACTATGATTATATTTTTTGAGCAAATGGGGTGAATGATCATTGATGGAATTCGTAATGGAAATGAGTTATAGTGACAACAGGCCACACAAGGAATAAAAATGTCTTGGCCACTTGATAACATATTAATATTGTTGGATAGATATTTAGGACATAATGTGTTCTTCTGGTGAGATAAAATTGTCACCAGAAGAACACATTAATAAAACTGAGAAGCTCATATGTCTCACTGGGATAATGCTAATAAATGTTGCAAGTTAAGTGTTAGTAACACTGCACTTGTCTCTCTGATGATGACGATGATCAAAGTATTTTCTTTTTGGGGATTTTCTTTCTTTTTGGGTCACCCTGCCTTGGTGGGAGACGGCCGACTTGCTAAAAACAAAACAAAAAAAACTTATCAAATTATTTTGAAGAACTTCTTCCCTTTACCTTACACAAGATATTTAGTAACGTGGTAGTGAGATGTGATGGTAGTGAGATGTTATGGTAGCGAGATGTTATGGTAGCGAGATGTTATGGTAGCGAGATGTTATGGTAGCAAGATGTTATGGTAGCGAGTTGTTATGGTAGCGAGATGTTATGGTAGCGAGATGTTATGGTAGCGAGATGTTATGGTAGCGAGATGTTATGGTAGTGAGATGTTATGGTAGCAAGATGTTATGGTAGCGAGATGTTATGGTAGCGAGATGTTATGGTAGCGAGATGTTATGGTAGCGAGATGTTATGGTAGCGAGTTGTTATGGTAGTGAGATGTTATGGTAGCGAGATGTTATGGTAGCGAGATGTTATGGTAGTGAGATGTTATGGTAGCAAGATGTTATGGTAGCGAGATGTTATGGTAGCGAGATGTTATGGTAGCGAGATGTTATGGTAGCGAGATGTTATGGTAGCGAGTTGTTATGGTAGTGAGATGTTATGGTAGCAAGATGTTATGGTAGCGAGATGTTATGGTAGCGAGATGTTATGGTAGCGAGATGTTATGGTAGCGGTTGTTATGGTAGTGAGATGTTATGGTAGCAAGATGTTATGGTAGCGAGATGTTATGGTAGCGAGATGTTATGGTAGCGAGATGTTATGGTAGCGAGATGTTATGGTAGCGAGATGTTATGGTAGGGAGATGTTATGGTAGCGAGATGTTATGGTAGCGAGTTGTTATGGTAGTGAGATGTTATGGTAGCAAGATGTTATGGTAGCGAGATGTTATGGTAGCGAGATGTTATGGTAGCGAGATGTTATGGTAGCGAGTTGTTATGGTAGTGAGAGTTATGGTAGCAAGATGTTATGGTAGCGAGATGTTATGGTAGCGAGATGTTATGGTAGTGAGATGTGATGGTAGTGAGATGTTATGGTAGTGAGATGTTTATGGTAGGCGAGATGTTATGGTAGTGAGATGTGATGGTAGCGAGTTGTATGGTAGTGAGATGTTATGGTAGCAAGATGTTATGGTAGCAAGATTGTTATGGTAGGAGATGTTATGGTAGTGAGATGTGATGGTAGTGAGATGTGATGGTAGTGAGATGTGATGGTAGTGGAGTATATGATGGTAGTGGATGTGATGGTTTGTGAGATGTGATGGTAGTGAGATGTGATGGTAGTGAGATGTGATGGTAGTGAGATGTGATGGTAGTGAGATGTGATGGTAGTGAGATGTGATGGTAGTGAGATGTGATGGTAGTGAGATGTGATGGTAGTGAGATGTGATGGTAGTGAGATATGATGGTAGTGAGATGTGATGGTAGTGAGATGTGATGGTAGTGAGATGTGATGGTAGTGGGATGTGATGGTAGTGAGATGTGATGGTAGTGAGATGTGATGGTAGTAAGATGTGATGGTAGTGAGATGTGATGGTAGTGAGATGTGATGGTAGTGAGATGTGATGGTAGTGAGATGTGATGGTAGTGGGATGTGATGGTAGTGAGATGTGATGGTAGTGAGATGTGATGGTAGTGAGATGTGATGGTAGTGAGATGTGATGGTAGTGAGATGTGATGGTAGTGAGATGTGATGGTAGTGAGATGTGATGATAGTGAGATGTGATGGTAGTGAGATGTGATGGTAGTGAGATGTGATGGTAGTGGGATGTGATGGTAGTGAGATGTGATGGTAGTGAGATGTGATGGTAGTGAGATGTGATGGTAGTGAGATGTGATGGTAGTGAGATGTGATGGTAGTGATATGTGATGGTAGTGAGATGTGATGGTAGTGAGATGTGATGGTAGTGAGATGTGATGGTAGTGAGATGTGATGGTAGTGAGATGTGATGGTAGTGAGATGTGATGATAGTGAGATGTGATGGTAGTGAGATGTGATGGTAGTGAGATGTGATCGTAGTGAGATGTGATGGTAGTGAGATGTGATGGTAGTGAGATGTGATGGTAGTGAGATGTGATGGTAGTGAGATGTGATGGTAGTGAGATGTGATGGTAGTGAGATGTGATGGTAGTGAGATATGATAGTATTGAGATGTGATCGTTGTGAGATGTGATGGTAGTGAGATGTGATGGTAGTGAGATGTGATGGTAGTGAGATGTGATGATAGTGAGATGTGATCGTAGTGAGATGTGATGGTAGTGAGATGTGATGATAGTGAGATGTGATTGTAGTGAGATATGATGGTAGTGAGATGTGATGGTAGTGAGATGAGATGATAGTGAGATGTGATGGTAGTGAGATGTGATGGTAGCGAGATGTGATGGTAGCGAGATGTGATGGTAGTGAGATGTGATGGTAGTGAGATGAGATGATAGTGGTTTATAGTCATGATTTAATGAACTATTAACATTCTGTTGTGTACTATTTGGCATCAGATTGAAGATTTCTTTCTCTGATTTATTCTTTTCCTCTCAAAAAAGTTTTCCTGAATGGCACCAAACTTACGCCATGAAGTGCACATAAATAATAATAAAAGCAGCCTATGCTCTACTTACAAGCATAAATGTATTAAGAAATCTAAGTCTCCTTCAATTCACTCTTAATATATGTTGTACCAGCATTTTTAATACATAGTACCAGTGGAGAACCTTTCTCTAGTTAAACCTAGTTAAATAAAGTGAAGTCAGAGAAAGTTCAAAGGTATGCTTCCGTACTGATGCAATAGACAGTATCTTTGAGGCTTGAGCTACAATTGCATGAGCTAGATCTCTTGATCCTGACATGGAAAACTAGAAGACATAGATGTAGTAGACTCCTACCAGGGTAGGAGTCAGAAAAAGGGGACAGAGGTGGAAACTGTACAGTCAGTCAAATCACAGACTTGGGAAGATTTTTTTATTGTACACAGAAAGGTGGAACGAAGTAGGCAATAACCTGTTAGAAAATGACTTCATAAATGCAGTGTACTAGAGCTAATTCATTGGAAATTACACCTACAATACTTATGCTATGTGGGTTTACCAGGTAATTTATTGTCACACTGCTTTTTTTTTTAAACAAGTACTGCAGCTCATAATGTAAAAATATTCCTGTAATTAGCATAGAATATTTTATTATTCTTGCCTGATTAGAGATATAAGTCTTTACATGCTGTGCCCTAGGGTGTAAAATAAATTTTTATTCTCATTTCCTTTTTTCTTTCCAACAGAGACTACAACACCTGCTCCTGGTAAATATAAAACAATTCATGAAACTTTACATAATACAAAATATGATACAGTACCATTCACCTTAAAATGAAAATGCAAAGTTCTTTGACAAAATCAAACCCCACCCAATGCACTGTAAATTGCAGCTTTGCTTTTCTCTGCAGGTGTGACTCTTCCCACGGTACAAACACCTGAAACCTTCCCTGAATCTGTATGTATTAATGGCTGGACCTCATGGATGAACACACATACACCCAGACCTGGAGACTGGGTAAGCTTGTATTTAATTTTGAATTATTCACCCAAAACTTCATGAAAAAACATACAGATCCATATCCCCTTGGGGCCAGCAGTGTTTCAAATTTCAGAATGAAGGTGGGGTCTAGGGCAACACCCCATAATCAAACATTACCACTGTAGCAAAAACATATGAATACTCGCACTTGGTGGGATAAATAAAGACTACAAATACTGTTCTACTACAGTTTATTTATAGAGTAATATATTGATAAATGAAATAATGGGATAATTATAGACCAGGAACATGATTCTCAAGACGATTGACAGATGGCATTTTTGAAGACTTCATGTGACATCTGTCTTAAGAACATAAGAAAGGAGGAACATTGTAGCAGGCCTGTTGGCCCATACTGGGCAGGTCCTTCACAAATCCAACCCACTAACAGAATATTTGCCCAACCCACTTTAGTTTTACCCTAACAATAAGCACTGATAAATCCACTAACTCATGTGCAAGTCCTACTCAAATCCAACCCCTCTCACTCATATATTTATCCAACCTAAATTTGAAACTACCAAGGTTTCAGCTTCAATGACCCTACTAGGCAGACTGTTCTACTCATCAACTACCCTATTTCCAAACCAGTACTTTCTTATATCCTTTCTAAATCTAAGCTTATCTAATTTGAATCCATTATTGCAGGCTGTCTCTTGGAGAGATATCCTCAAGACCTTATCTATACCCCCTTTGTTAATACCCATCTTCAACTTATACACTTCGATCATGTCTCCCCTCATTCTTCATCTTACAAGTGAATGTAATTTAAGGGACTTCAATCTTTCTTCATAATAAAGATTTCTAATGCTATAAATTAATTTTGTCATTCTTCGCTGAATGTTTTCTAACGAATTTATGTCCATTCTGTAATATGGAGACCAGAACTGAGCCGCGTAATCTAGGTGAGGCCTTACTAATGATGTATAAAGCTGTAGTATTAACATAGGTTTCTGCCTAAGCAATCTCTCTTTAACTGAGTAAATTGCCATAATCTCTTTCTCACTGATAAATGCACGTTATTCAAGGCCAGCAATTGCTTATTTGTATTTAACACCATTTCAGCAATTTCACCATCACTCGAGGAATGCACAACAGGTGCATCATTGTCAATGTTCAGCATTTCTTTGATGTCAGTTTTTTGTAACTCCATTATGTTGCATAAGTGTCTCAATCAATCTTCATTTTTTGTTTTTTGCCCTATGCAGTGTTTTCCTATTTTTCATTTTCATTAGTTTTTGGTCATCACTGTCACTATAATACTCTATTAATATTGGTAGAATTACTGACAATATGCCACATTAGTTGCAATTGTGTCCTTTTACTTAACACACTATCAGACTTCAGTAACTTGTCTTTGTGTTTCTTTAAATCATAAGCAATGGTAGTTCCAACACCATATTCTTCAGTAAGAAGCCTCACTGACACACCACGATCAAGCTTTTGCAGTAACTCTACTTTCTGCGTTATTGATAACTTCAGATGCTTTCTTTTTTTTTCTCACTGTTACCCATAGGGGTATCTGCAGCTCTTTTTGACATTTTCACAGTGAAATTAAACACAGTCACAAAATAAAAAATAAAATATCAGCAAACAGCAGACGCACGTGTGAACACTACAAGCACTGAGACACGTGAGTGAATAGAATTGTCAGCACTTATTGCTTGGGTACGTTTATTCTGTTAATGGGTTGGATTTGTGGAGGACCTGTCTAGTATGGGCCAACAGGCCTACTGAAGTGTTCCTCCCTTCTTATGTTATTATGTACCCATGACACCAATCATACCCAACCCCGCCCACTCACATATTTGTCCAATCTCATTTTAAAGCTTCCCATGGTCCTATCAAAGCTAAAATCTTGGTTAGTTTCAAATTTAGGTTGGATAAATACATGAGTGAGAGGGGTTGGATTTGAGTTGGACATGCACGTGAGTAAATAGAATTTTTTATTTTTTTTAACAAGTCGGCTGTCTCCCACCGAGGCAGGGTGACCCAAAAAGAAGGAAAATCTCCAAAAAGAAAATACTTTCATCATCATTCAATACTTTCACCTCACTCACACATAATCACTGTTTTTGCAAAGGTGCTCAGAATACAACAGTTTAGAAGTATATACGTATAAAGATAAGCAACATATCCCTCCAAACTGCTAATATCCCAAACCCTTCCTTTAAGGTGCAGGCATTGTACTTCCCGTTTCCAGGGCTCAAATCTGGCTATATAAAAATAACCAGTTTCCCCTGAATCCCTTCACTAAATATTACCCTGCTCACGCTCCAACAGCTCGTCAGGTCCCAAATACCATTCGTCTCCATTCACTCCTATCTAACACGCTCATGCATGCTTGCTGGAAGTCCAAGCCCCTCGCCCACAAAACCTCCTTTACTCCCTCCCTCCAACCTTTTCGAAGAAGACCCCTACCCCGCCTTCCTTCCCCTACAGATTTATATGCTCTCCATGTCATTCTACTTTGATCCATTCTCTCTAAATGACCAAACCACCTCAACAACCCCTCTTCAGCCCTCTGACTAATGCTTTTATTAACTCCACACCTTCTCCTAATTTCCACACTCCGAATTTTCTGCATAATATTTACACCACACATTACCCTTAGACAGGACATCTCCACTGCCTCCAACCGTCTCCTCGCTGCAGCATTTACAACCCAAGCTTTACACCCATATAAGAGTGTTGGTACCACTATACTTTCATACACCTTTCTTTGCCTCCATAGATAACATTTTTTGTCTCCACAGAATTATCAATGCTTATTGCTTGGGTAACATGTATTCTGTTAGTGGGTTGGATATGTGAAGGACCTGACAAGTATGGGCCAGCAGGCCTACTGCAGTGTTCCTCCTTTCTTATGTTCTTATGTTGATGAGTGGAACAGTCTGCTTAGTATGGTTATTGAGGCTAAAACCTTGGGTAGGTTCACTTTCACGAATTCTTCACTTGCCTAACCCTTGGGCACGACCTACTTCCACATTGGACAAATGTGACACCACCTACGACTGCTACACCTCTCCTGCCATACGGTTTATAAGCTGCTTCTCCGCTCATATGCCGTATTCTATTCAAGATTGATGGACTGACCGCATTGACTCAAGGTTGAGGGACTGATTACCTCATTCTCCTCCTGTTCTTCAAGTTTATCCTTTGTATGGACTGATGAAGCCACTGTGTGGCAAAACGTTTCCTCAATAAAGATACCCAAGAGTTGCACATGTGTCTAATTTGCAACGTGTCGGTTCTTTGAACCATTCATCTACACATAGTAACTGTACTTAAAACTAGACAAGAAGTAGTGGTTAACTGTTTTGCAAATGTTTTGTCGACTTGTTGAAAAAAAAAAAAAAAAAGTGAGAGGTAGTAAGATGGAGTAGGGTTTCGTAAAATAATCTTGAAATTGCACACAAAATCTACCTTACAAGTAATGGTGCAGATCACATAATAAAACTAATTAGCAGATGTTTTATCTGATTTGGTTAATATTGAGAGATAAGATGATTTTTTAGCAAAGTCCTAAATTTATAAGCTGTCAAGGGATCCTTGACCTGTTCCGGTAGCGAGTTCCAGATCTTCGGGCCCTTTATGTGCATAGTGTTCTTGCATAGATGATGAAAAGGGCCTTATGCCTTGTATTGTGGCTGTACATTCTGTTGTAACTGTCAAGGAGTAGTTTTAGGGGAGGGTTCACAGTGGAGTTTGATGTTCTGTATATGTAGTAGGCACAATAATAAGAGTGTATGTCTTGTATATCTAGCAAGTTGAAGCTTTAGAAAAGTGGTGGGGTGTGCTGTCTAGCAAAGGAGCTGGTTATCACCTGCATAGCAGCTTTTTGTTGGATTATTAACCCTTTGACTATTTCGGTCGTACATTACGTCTTACGAGCCAATGTGTTTGACATATATAGTATACTCAAAAATTCTAGTGGCTTCAAATCAAGCAGGAGAAAGCTGGTAGGCCCACATGTGAGAGAATGGGTCTGTGTGGTCAGTGTGCACCATATAAAAAAATCCTGCAGCACGCAGTGCATAATGAAAAAAAAACTCCGACTGTATTTTTGGATTAAAATGCCGAACTTGAGGTTTATTTTCGTATAGTATTTATGGTTGTATTCTCATTTTCTTGGTCTCATTTGATAGAATGGAAAACATATTATAGAAATAGAGGTGATTTTGATTGGTTTGAATATGAAAAGGACCTTGAAATGGAGCTCAAAGTAGGGGAAATGTTTGATTTTTGCCAATGTTCAAGAGTAAACAAATGATGTCATTGTCCAATAAATGTCCAACTAGCCTTTCTATTATGCAGTCATGAATGGGTTGGCATTATTTATACAATTATTACAATATTGCAGTAGTCTGCATAACAGTAAATCTTCTATTTTTTGTTTGAATAAAAATTCAAAATAGAAATAAGAGTAATATCAGAGGGGCTTGGAGACATGACTGATGAACAAACAAAATGTTATTTTAGAGCCAGCAAAATCTGCAGTGTGCATTCTGGACCCTATTTTGAAATTGGCATATTTTTTAATTTGACCATGTTATTGGGTAGTTGAAATCGGTAAATGGGCAGTTTCTTGTACTCAATCGATAGAACAAATGGAGTTCTAAAGAAATAGCGATGAGTTTGGTCAACTGGAACAATGGAATTAGCCGAAAATAGGGCTCAAAGTGGGTGAAATCGCCGATTCATAAATATCGCTGAGGTCACTAACTTCGCAAAAACATAATTCTGTAAGTTTTCCATCAAATTCATACTTTTGGTGTCATTATCATCAGGAAAAGATTCTCTATCATTTCATAAGAAAAAATAATTTGGGGTTGTGACAGTCAAAGGGTTAAGGGCCTAAGGTGTTTGGCTGTGGTTGAGCCCCAGGCACAAATACCATAAGTGAGGTAAGGATATATTAAGAGAGCAGTACAGGGTAAGGAGATTCATTTGTGGTACATAGTATCATATCTTGGAAAGGATTGTTACTGAATTGGAAATTTTTTTGGCTATGTGATGGGTATGGGACTGGAATTTAAGATTACAGTCAAGAAGACCTAGAAATTTGCCCACCATTTGTCTTGATATAGGGGAACCATTTAACAATATGTTAAGATGGATATTTAATTCATTCCAGAAGTATGTTCGGATGCCGTTACTGAACGAATTTGTTCCCATAAGGAATATTGTAAATTAGATTAGTCCGTTTCAGACCCCCAAAAATACACGTACAAAAGCACTTACAAAAATACACTTACATAATTGTTCGAGTTGGGAGCTGATCTAAGGCGGGGGTCCACTGTATTTGGGTAGTTGCCAGTGAGGTACTTGTTTGGCTGGGTATTTGAGCTAGGAATTTGACTTGCTAGCTTTGATCCTACAGTAGAGAAGAAGACATTAAATTTGTTGATGTGTCTATAGGTTGTATGTGAGGTTCATCTGGTTTACTTAAGTTTATCTCTCTATTTCCAGACAGTTTCCTAGAGCCCAAAATTTTGGAGAGGGTTTGCCAGGTACTTTTCATATCACCTTTTATTTTACTAAATCTATTTTCATAATACAGTTGCTTTGATTTTCATATTAGTTTTGTGATTATTGATGTGTATCTTTTAGTAAATTCTTTAGTTATTAGGCCTAATCTGAACTGTTTTTCAAGTTGGTGTTTTTTATTAATAGATTTGAGGATACTTTTAGTTAGCCATGGGCTGTTTAGTCTCTTTTCTGTGATCTGTTTTCTTTTTTTTTGTATGTAGTGTATGTGCAAAGAAGTATATTTTATACAGAATAGGTTCTAAGAAACAATTTGCAAGGGTCCATTAATGATTTTAATTGATAAGCTGATACTAGATAGTGGGTTACTCAGCTGCCCCTGAGTCCAGTTAACAAAAGAGAAAGATGAAAATGCATAGTAGTTATATTTTTCCACATGTCTGTGTATTATTGGTGAGTTCTTACTAAATGTTCATAGTGTAGTTCATTTTTCATCACTTTTAAAATTTAGATTATTGTACTTTTATAATGATATATAACTCTTCTTTTAATCACCTTAACTATGCATGCTTGCAAGGGACATTAAGACAGTGTTTACCAGACACTAATATTTCACTATTGCCTTTGCTGTCGTAGGATGACATGGATGATCTCCGCTCCTTGGCAGAAAAGTACACATTCTGTGAGCCCCACCAAATTATGGATACTCAGTGTCAGGTAGTTGGTCTTGGGTTGACACCTGAGGCATCAGGTCAGGTGGGCATCATCTGCAACACCAACACAGGCCTTCAGTGTAATGATGATCTACAAGCACCTCAACGTAAGTGTGGTAATACTTATGCATACAATGTGGCTTTAACTACACATGACAAATCTGTATATATATGCATGTGGCAGCTTTAGAAGTAAAATAATTAATTAATTGAAATAATTAGAGATTGATATGCTTATTCATCAGTTCAGTTTTTTATTTTTTAATTTCAGCATTACTCTAATTTTTGAAAAGGGAAGGGAATATATAAGAAGAGGTATTAATTTTATGCAGCTTTTTAACAAGATGCAATACTAGATTCTAGAATTTCAGTATACAGTAGATAGAACAGGGTTTAATAATAAAATAGCTGTTTTATTATTAACATATCCTCTAATGCAGTAGGAGGAATTTAAATATTAAGTACCGTAATACAATACCGCAGGTGCACCACCGATATCCCAGCATCCTTGCCTCTAAGATACTGCTAGAATATCAATTTTGCCAGATCAACAGAAGTTACATAATAATAATTCAACAGTACACCTCTGACCCACTAATCATACACTTCCCCTTATTCAATGTATTCATACTGTGTGTATGCTTGTTTTATGATGTATAGAGGAGCTCACATTTGTTTGGTAGAGTTTAGTCATGTACCATTGTATTGATGTAATATTTACATTTTTGCTCAGTTTGCATTATTAACAGTATTATTCCTCTTAATTTTTAATGAAATACATTCATACTTTGTTTATAATCACTCTGTATATGTGTAGAGAGCTCATATGTGTTTGGTGAAGATTGGTCATGAGCCAAATTTAATACGTAGTTTGAAACCATCAGTGATGAGAATTGCATATCACTAGCACAGTGTCTGGCCACATATTGAGTTGTAGTAAGGCCAGGCCAGGTGAGTTAATTGGCCATATACTGAGTTGCAGTAAGGCCAGGCTAGGTGAGTTAATTGGCCACATATTGAGTTGCAGTAAGGCCAGGCTAAGTGAGTTAATTGGCCACATACTGAGTTGTAGTAAGGCCAGGCTAAGTGAGTTAATTGGCCACATACTGAGTTGTAGTAAGGCCAGGCTAGGTGAGTTAATTGGCCACATACTGAGTTGTAGTAAGGCTAGGCTAGGTGAGTTAATTGGCCACATACACCACCCACCACCTTCCAACACTCCCTCCACCATCACTCCATTTGACCTTTTAACTGGATCAAGCATACTAGTAAGCAGGTAATGTGTATCCAACATATTGTATACACAATTTTTCATGCCTTCAAATACAGCACTTTCCAATAATTTTTACCTTAGCACAACTCTGTGGGCCTTCAATCTCTTCATGCCTTCGAAAAAAATCTAAGATCAGGTGGGTACACACAGTGCATCGGGGTTAATGCTGCCTAACAAACGTTAATAAACAATGAATCCAGAAACTGTTGTGCCACCTCCAGCTTTCCTACCAGCACACAGGGTGTGCAGCTGCCGGGTAGATGTTTTATTCATTCCATATTTATTAAAATTTAATGATTGTAACAGTAGAATTCAGCCACAAAGCACACTATTTAGATTTAACCCTATGATAGCCCAATAAAGTTAAACAGTGTAACTTATTTCCATGTTTCCATGAGCATTACACTTTGAAACAATTATAATTAAAGTTTAGGGTAGTGCTTAAAGAGATATTGTTAAAAAGTCAAGTGGTGCTGAGCCTGGATGACTGCAGTTTATACAGACCATGGTGAATTACAAGTAGAAATAGAGTTGCTGTATATGAAGAGAATTTGCACAAAGCCAGAAACTTGTATCAAGGGAAACCTGTAATAGCAGTAATAATTGTAACAGGATTTTGAAAGGGTCTCTCTTAGTTTTTGTGGGAGATAATGAAAATAAGTTACAAAGGTTGGTGGAGGACTTCAGGAACATGTGTAAAAGAAGAAAAATTGAGGTGAACATTGAATCAATCATTGATGGAAGTAGAAAAAAAAATCTAGGCAATAAAAGGTTGGATATCAAATTGGAGGGAAAGCATATGAAGGAGGTGAATATACAGTGGACCCCCACATAACGATCACCTCCGAATGTGACCAATTATGTAAGTGTATTTATGTAAGTGCGTTTGTACGTATATGTTTGGGGGTCTGAAATGGACTAATCTACTTCACAATATTCCTTATGGGAACAAATTCGGTCAGTACTGGCACCTGAACATACTTCTGGAGTGAAAAAATATCGTTAACCGGGGGTCCACTGTATTTGGATATTTGAGAATTGTTGATGTGAACCATAATATAAATGAGGGAGAGAAAAGTAGGTGGAGTGTTGAGGAACCTATGAAAGTGTATGAAAGGTATAAGTCAGAGGGCAGAGAGGAGTTGTTGAGGTGCCCTAGGTATTTAAGGTAGGAAGAAGAAAGGGTATGAGTCATCCCAGGAGAGATTGGAGGGAGGGTGTGTAGAATGTTTTAAGTGGTAGGGGATTGAGAATCAAGCAGGATTGTATGAGCATGTTAGATCAGAGTGGACATCAACAGTATTGAAAATTTAACATAGTGTTGGAGTGTAAACAAAGTGACATTTATGAAGGGAAAGGGATTCAGGAAAACTGATTAGTTACACTTGAATTCTAGAGATAGCAAATAGAGTGGCTGCACTCTGAAGTAAGGATGGGATGTTACATTTCAGAAAGTCATCTTAATCATGATGTATATGCATCTTTGGCAAGACAGCTCTTGCTTTAATGATGGTGAACATTTTGCTTGGTTGGAGATCGCTTGTGTGGTGAAAAAAAATAGTTCATGGAAGTAGCTTAACAATAAGTGCATTTGAGTATTGTGCACATGGTAACTATTCTGGTTGCCATTTTAGATGTGAAATATTATTTCTAAGTAAAGGTGATTGCTTAGTAAATTTTAACTCAAGTAGGAATATACTGTGGTTTTGATTGTATACATATGGAATAAGAGTTCAAGAGAGGGAATATTGTATGTTTTATTCTGAGTATATAGTAGTATACATGTATTTGTTTTGTTTGTAAACTGGAGCATAGTCTAGGGTTTGATATGAGCATATAAACTGTTTCTTGCTCTGAGACCTTTTTTTTTTTGTATCTAAAATTTGTATTAATGAGTTTTCTAATTTTTGAAATAGTATTAAAAAAATAAACATACAGTATTTAAGCGGCATAATATAATGAATAAGATATTTAATTAAGTTGTGTTAACTTTCAGATTGCTATGACTTTGAGATCAGGTTCTACTGTGACTGTTCACTGAGTACAACACTGCCAGCAGTAGTATCAACTGAGCCCACAAGTATTACTACCCTACCTTCTGAATATTGCACTCAGTATGATCCACAGTATAAAATGCATGATGACGATTGCCGCAAGTTTTATCAGGTAGAGCATATTTTCAAAATTGTCTTTTAATATTTTAATGTTTTTGATACAGTGGTAGCATGCTATACATATTTATCTTTCTTATTATGCTATACAGGTTTCCTCTCTTATTATGCCTTACAGGTTTCTCTCTTACCTATTATGCCGTACAGGTTTCTCTCTTACCTATTATGCCTTGTAGGTTTCTCTCTTACCTGTTATGCCTTACAGGTTTCTCTCTTTCCTATTATGCCATGTTTCTCTCTTTCTTATTATGCCATACAAAGTTATCTCTCTTATAATTTGAATTTGATATTTTTGTAATAAGAATTTTAATTTGGGACATGTCTGCATTTTATAATTTTCCTAATATCGGTGTATACTGTTGTTTCAAAAATTTTCTCTCTGCATACCTTTAGACCTGGCAAGAATGGAAAAGTCTGGAAAAATGTTTTGGAACACTGAAGCAGGGAAATAAAACTGAATTAATTTGCTTGCAGTGATGATGGTACAGGTGATACAGAGGGCAACAGTGAAGCCAGAAGAATGATGTCACTAAAGAATCTCGGATACTGCCTCTCTTGCAATCTTAAAATTGCATAATCTGTACTTTCTTTTAAACTTATAATGAACATCTTTTTTTAAACTTATCATAATTTATACCTTCTTTTAACTAAACATAATATGTACCTTCTTTAAAACTTATCCTAATCTGTAACTTCTAAACTTATCCACTCAGCCTCTACTGCTAGACTGTGTAAGACTAATATAGTATATAATTCCTTTACATATTGTAGGGGTGTACAATAGATTATTCCATTACTGCATGTACTCAGTCCACAAACACACACTTTTTTTTTTTTTTTTCAACAAGTCGGCCGTCTCCCACCGAGGCAGGGTGACCCAAAAAAGAAAGAAAATCCCCAAAAAGAAAATACTTTCATCATCATTCAACACTTTCACCACACTCACACATTATCACTGTTTTTGCAGAGGTGCTCAGAATACAACAGTCTAGAAGCATACACATATAAAGATGCACAACATATCCCTCCAAACTACCAATATCCCAAACCCCTCATAAATAAATAAATCCTGTGCCATAAACCTACTGGAGTTTTGTGACAAGGTAACAGAAATATGTCACGAGAGAGAGAGGTGGGTTGATTGCAAGAAAGCCTTTGACACAGTTCCTGACAAGAGATTAGTGCAGAAGCTAGAGGATCAGGCACGTATAACAGGAAGGGTACTGCAATGGATCAGAGAATGCCTGGCAGGGAGGCAACAACGAGTCATGGTATGGGATGAGGTATCACAGTGGGTGCCTGTGACAAGCGGGATCCCACAGGGGTCAGTCCTAGGACCAGTGCTATTTTTGGTATATGTGAATGACATGATGGAAGGGATAGACTCAAGTGTCCCTGTTCACAGATGATGTGAAGTTAATGAGGAGAATTAAATCAGATGAGGATCAGGCAGGACTACAAAGAGACCTAGACAGGCTGGATGCATGGTCCAGCAACGGGCTCCTGGAATTTAACCTTGCCAAATGGAAAGTCTTGAAGATCAGGGAAGGGCAAAGAAGACCACAGACAGAATATAGGCTAGGTAGCCAAAGACTGCAAACCTCACTAAAGGAGAAAGATCTTGGGGTGAGTATAATACTGAGCACGTCTCCAGAAGCACACATCAACTAGATAACTGTTGCAGCATATGGGCACCTGGCAAACCTGAGAATAGCGTTCTGATACCTCAGTAATGAATTGTTCAAGACTCTGTACACCGTGTACATCAGGCCCATACTGGAGTATGCAGCACCAGTTTGGAACCCACACCTGGTCAAGCATGCCAAGAAATTAGAGAAAGTGCAAAGGTTTGCAACAAGGCTGGTTCCAGAGCTAAGGGAAATGTTCTACGAAGAAAGGTTAAGGGAAATCGGCCTGACGACACTGGAGGATAGAAGGGCTAGAAAGACATGATAACAATATACAAAATACTTCAAGGAATAGATAAGGTGGACAGAGACAGGATGTTCCAGAGATGGGACACAGAAACAAGGGGTCACAATTGGAAGTTGAAGACTCAGATGAGTCAAAGGGATGTTAGGAAGTATTTCTTCAGCCACAGAATTGTTAGGAAGTGGAATAATCTGGCAAGTGATGTAGTGGAGGCAGGAACCATACGTAGTTTTAAGACAAGGTATGATAAAGCTCATGGAGCAGGGGGAGAGAGGACCTAGTAGCAGTCAGTGAAGAGGCAGGGCCAGGAGCTGAGTCTCAACCCCTGCAACTACAAATAGGTGAGTACAAATAGGCGAGTATGCACACACACACACACACACACACACACACACACACACACACACACACACACACACACACACACACACACACACACACACACACACACACACACACACACACACACACACACACACACACTCTCTGAGGTCAGTTTCCATTTTCACAATATTGGGATTATAAACATCTGCATTCATCTATGCACCACAGGAACCACTGATTGGATATCCAGTCTCTTTTTTTTCTACATTTACCATGTGGTTGACTAATTAACACTTCCAAAATTTCTCACCACTGAGGCATAAGGGCATCAAAAGTCACCACACTTGATAAACTATGCAACAGATGTTGTTACATACCTATTGAGTTTTGGACCATCTTAAAAGAGGTTTTGTGTGCAAGGGGCCTGGATGTGCAGCAGGCATGTCTGAGCATGTTAGATGGAAATAAATGGAGACAAATGGTTTTTGGATCCTGATGAGCTGTTGGAGTGTGAGCAGGGTAATATTTTGTGAAGGGATTCAGGTAAACTGGTTAGCACTTTAGAGGAGAGGTTTGGGATATTGGCTGTTTGGAGTGACATCTAAACTGTCATATCTGGGCACCTCTGCAAAGACAGTGATTAGATGTGAATGATGGTGAAAGTGTTTCTTTCTTTTTTGGGTCGCCCTGCCTCAGTGAGAGATGCCCAGCATGTTGAAAAAAACTTATCTTCCCCACTATTCTTGTACTTTGCAAGCATTATAGTTGAGTAATAATCCAAGGATAGCACAAAAATTTAGTGATTGAGGGCATTCATGTTTGAAGTAAAAGAACAAGAGGGAGAGACAAGATAAGACTTTGTTTGGATTTTTAACCCCCTGAGGGTTAACCACCTAGGATAACCCAAGAAAGGCAGTGTGTCACTGAGGGACTGTCTGTCATATTTCCATTGGGGTCCTTAATCTTGTCTCCCAGGATGCAACCCACATCAGTCAACTAGCACCCAGGTACCTACTTGCTTGCTAGGTGAACAGGACAACAAGTGAAAGGAAATATGCCCAGTGTTTCCACCCTTGCCAGGGATCGAACCGTGGACACTCGGTGTGTGAAACGAAAGCATTGCCTACCTGGCCACAGGCCACCTTCAATGAATACAAATGAGACAAACAAAACTCAAAACAAATATCTCGTCGTGAAGCTGTAGAATGTACATATCAGAAAAAGAATGGTAAAACTAGAATGGTTTGTAAGTAAAAGTAGTATTTTAAATTCCAATTATTTTTTTTACTCCAGGAAGACAGGACACTATGAACTGAGCTTTTCTCCTTTTGCTACAAGCAGGTACATTACAAATGAATAATTACAACACTTGGACTCACGATCAGAGTACCAGTTATTATTCACATGGTAGTGCAAGGTGAAACCACCTTGCAATTATTCTGGTGTGAGCTGCTTGTAGCAACAGTGTGATTGACTATGTAGTCAGCAATGGAATCTGGTTCTTACGCAGAATATCAATTTTGCAGACCAGTGGAGGTCACATAATAATTCAACAGTACTCCTCTGATTCACTAATTATACACTCCTGTGTCTCTGAAGAACCATGGACTGCTAGAAACATAAACATTAATATAAATGAAACAGGTTTATTACTGTATTTACAAAGAATGTTGCAGTATCATTCTGAAAGTGGTAGATTATTAATTTTACTGGAACTGAGGCAGATGTGATACAGGCTGGGCCCCATCTTTATCCTTTCAATGTATTAAAACAGCCTCACCTACTGTTGTCATAGCTATCTCACTCTTCCCAAAAGAATCCCTACAACACTCACAAGTGTCTGAAAGTTGAGAGTTGTCAGGATTATTGTCTTGTTTCATAGTAAGTTTATTCAGGTATATGCAAATACAGTTACATATACTATCATACATAGCAGCATATGTATAGAGAACCTAGGATAACCCATGAAAGTCGGAGTGACATATTTTTATTGTGGTCCTTTTAATACCTTATTATTATACTTTAAAGGATATATCTTATTATATCCTTTATAACATCTTATTTACATTTACATGAGTGTTAGCTAAAAAATAAAAAAAAATCATTCTTCTCTCTTTCTGTTGCTACATTCATTAGGTATCTTTTGGCACTCTTCTTGAACTGGTTCATACTGTGACTGGCTTTGAAATGTGCAGGCAATATATTCCATTCCTTTATTGCTGTACAATAAAAGGTGTTTGAAGCTTGGCCACTGACTGTGGGTACTACAAAGTTGTGCTCTCTCCCTCTCGTACTCTGATTGCTTCGGTTCCCAGCCCTGACAAAGTTAGCAGCCAGATATTCTGGACATTGTTTGCGAGCAATATTATGAACTTGATTTAACTTCAGTTGTTTTACTCTGTCTTCAATATTCAGAATATCCAATTGTTGTAATTCATCCTGGCCTACATGTCCTCTTGGACCCAGGTCCAGGATGAATCTTACCGTTTTGCTCTGGGCGATTTGCAGCTTATCTTTCTGTTTTTTTTGTCAAGGCAGAGTACCATGAAGAGCAAGCATAGTCCATATGACATTGTATAAGGGTTAGACATAGGGTCCTGCGAGCCTCGGTTGGTAGACATTGTGCTTGTCTGTAGAGGAACCTCAGTCTGGCATTTGCTTTCCTTACTACACTGTTCCCAATCAGTTCTCCTGACATGCATGGGTCAAAGGGGATTCCCAGATATTTTACTGAGGAAACTGAAGTGATGGGTTCCCCATTACACCGGACATTGAAATTATTTACTCTTCTCAGTTTTTGTTTCATGCCAGAGAGTATGGCTTCCGTTTTTCCGAGGTGTAATGATAGTTTGTTGTCTACTAACCATTTGCTGCAGGACTCCAGTTCTAGTGTTATTACATTAGCTATATCTTGTGGGTCTTTATCTGGCACTAACAGAACACTGTCATCTGTATACAGTAGGAGTTTGCATTTGACACTGATGGGCATGTCATTTACATAACATAAAAATACAGAAGTGTTATAAGAAGAGCAGAGTATATGGAGAGTAAAAGAAAGGTGAAGAGAGTGGTGAAAGAGTGCAAAAGGAGAGCAGATGAAAGAGTGGGAAAGGCACTGTCAAGAAATTTTAATGAAAATAAGAAAAAATTTTGGAGTGAGTTAAACAAGTTAAGAAAGCCTAGGGAAAATATGGATTTGTCAGTTAAAAACAGAGTAGGGGAGTTAGTAGATGGGGAGATGGAGGTATTGGGTAGATGGCGAGAATATTTTGAGGAACTTTTAAATGTTAAGGAAGAAACAGAAGCAGTAATTTCATGCACTGGTCAGGGAGGTATACCATCTTTTAGGAGTGAAGAAGAGCAGAATGTAAGTGTGGGGGAGGTACGTGAGGCATTACGTAAAATGAAAGGGGGTAAAGCAGCTGGAACTGATGGGATCATGACAGAAATGTTAAAAGCAGGGGGGATATAGTGTTGGAGTGGTTGGTACTTTTGTTTAATAAATGTATGAAAGAGGGGAAGGTACCTAGGGATTGGTGGAGAGCATGTATAGTCCCTTTATATAAAGGGAAAGGGGACAAAAGAGATTGTAAAAATTATAGAGGAATAAGTTTACTGAGTATACCAGGAAAAGTATATGGTAGGGTTAGGCTGGTGGCCCGGTGGCCTGGTGGCTAAAGCTCCCGCTTCACACACGGAGGGCCCGGGTTCGATTCCCGGCGGGTGGAAACATTCGACACGTTTCCTTACACCTGTTGTCCTGTTCACCTAGCAGCAAATAGGTACCTGGGTGTTAGTCGACTGGTGTGGGTCGCATCCTGGGGGACAAGATTAAGGACCCCAATGGAAATAAGTTAGACAGTCCTCGATGACGCACTGACTTTCTTGGGTTATCCTGGGTGGCTAACCCTCCGGGGTTAAAAATCCGAACGAAATCTTATCTTATCTTATAATTGAAAGAATTAGAGGTAAGACAGAATGTAGGATTGCGGATGAGCAGGGAGGCTTCAGAGTGGGTAGGGGATGTGTAGATCAAGTGTTTACATTGAAGCATATATGTGAACAGTATTTAGATAAAGGTAGGGAAGTTTTTATTGCATTTATGGATTTAGAAAAGGCATATGATAGAGTGGATAGAGGAGCAATGTGGCAGATGTTGCAAGTATATGGAATAGGTGGTAAGTTACTAAATGCTGTAAAGAGCTTTTATGAGGATAGTGAGGCTCAGGTTAGGGTATGTAGAAGAGAGGGAGAATACTTCCTGGTAAAAGTAGGTCTTAGACAGGGATGTGTAATGTCACCATGGCTGTTTAATATATTTATAGATGGGGTTGTAAAAGAAGTAAATGCTAGGGTGTTTGGGAGAGGGGTGGGATTAAATTATGGGGAATCAATTTCAAAATGGGAACTGACACAGTTACTTTTTGCTGATGATACTGTGCTTATGAGAGATTCTAAAGAAAAATTGCAAAGGTTAGTGGATGAGTTTGAGAATGTGTGTACAGGTAGAAAGTTGAAAGCGAACATAGAAAAGAGTAAGGTGATGAGGGTATCAAAAGATTTAAATAAAGAAAAATTGGATATCAAATTGGGGAGGAGGAGTATGGAAGAAGTGAATGTTTTCAGATACTTGGGAGTTGACGTGTCGGCGGATGGATTTATGAAGGATGAGGTTAATCATAGAATTGATGAGGGAAAAAAGGTGAGTGGTGCGTTGAGGTACATGTGGAGTCAAAAAACGTTATCTATGGAGGCAAAGAAGGGAATGTATGAAAGTATAGTAGTACCAACACTCTTATATGGATGTGAAGCTTGGGTGGTAAATGCAGCAGCGAGGAGACGGTTGGAGGCAGTGGAGATGTCCTGTCTAAGGGCAATGTGTGGTGTAAATATTATGCAGAAAATTTGGAGTGTGGAAATTAGGAGAAGGTGTGGAGTTAATAAAAGCATTAGTCAGAGGGCAGAAGAGGGGTTGTTGAGGTGGTTTGGTCATTTAGAGAGAATGGATCAAAGTAGAATGACATGGAAAGCATATAAATCTATAGGGGAAGGAAGGAGGGGTAGGGGTCGTCCTCGAAAGGGTTGGAAAGAGGGGTAAAGGAGGTTTTGTGGGCAAGGGGCTTGGACTTCCAGCAAGTGTGCATGAGCGTGTTAGATAGGAGTGAATGGAGACGAATGATACTTGGGACCTGACGATCTTTTGGAGTGTGAGCAGGGTAATATTTAGTGAAGGGATTCAGGGAAACCAGTTATTTTCATATAGTCGGACTTGAGTCCTGGAAATGGGAAGTACAATGCCTGCACTTTAAAGGAGGGGTTTGGGATATTGGCAGTTTGGAGGGATATGTTGTGTATCTTTATATGTATATGCTTCTAAACTGTTGTATTCTGAGCACCTCTGCAAAAGCAGTGATAATGTGTGAGTGTGGTGAAAGTGTTGAATGATGATGAAAGTATTTTCTTTTTGGGGATTTTCTTTCTTTTTTGGGTCACCCTGCCTCGGTGGGAGACGGCCGACTTGTTGAAAAAAAAAAAAAATACATGTAATAAGGGACCCAGAATACTACCTTGGGGAACTCCACATTCTGTTGGCAGGGGTTCTGATTCTGTTTTGTTCATTTTGACAATTTGTTTCCTATTGCTAAGATAGGACTTAAACCAGTCTATGGAACCTGTGCCGATAGCTTGAAGTTTCTTACACAGTATATTGTGGTTGACAGTATCAAAGGCCTTTTGCAAGTCTAAGGTTACCATGCCTATGAGGTTCCCTATCGACATTTCAGTTCTCATGTAATCCATCAGATTAATTATGGAGGTGTCGGTTGAGTAAGAGCTCCTAAAGCCTGATTGGTAACTATGAAGAATGTTGTTGCCATTAAGATACATAACTACTTGACAGTACACCGCCCTCTCTATAATTTTGGATATTACACTGAGTATACTAACAGGCCTATAGTTGCTTTCATCAGACCTACTATTTTTCTGGAAGATAGGATTAACTCTGGCCTCCTTGAACCCCTCCGGTACGGTATTAGTGGTGATGGACAAATTTATTATGTGATCAATAGGGATTGGCAGTTCAGAGGCACCATCTTTTATGAACTTAGATGGGATATTATCAGGGCTGGTGTTCTTAGTTGGGTTTAACCTGCTTAGTTGATTGCAGATGTTCAAAATTCAGAGAGTACACTTGAGGTAAAAAATATGAAAAAAATATTACTGTATAAGAAAGTTTCAAAGGGAAGATGTAGACTGAATGAGAGAGCATTTCTAGTGTAGAGGATTATTCAGAGGTGTGCAAAGAGCATAAATCAAGGATAGTTTGGCAAGAGTAACTACAATAAGTTCATTATGTAAAAGACATGCAAATACAGATACTATACTGTTAAATATATCACAAGCATATATGAATATGTGTATGCCATACTGTACAGGGTCCAGTATGAATATTGTTATATGCTACATGTTTTTTTTTACTTAATGTCTTTCTTGATCTTGTTTCATCATATTCTTTTATTATCACTAAACATTCTTGTTTTCCTGTTTCAAGTGCTCCGTCACATCAATGACTGGGATGACGTATGTGGTTAAGGAATGTAACCCGGGTACCTTCTTTAACCCAGAAACAAACACATGTGATTTTGAGTACAATGTCATACTTGTAAAGCCAGAATGCATTGGTAAGTCTTAATTTCAAATGTTTGAATATGTCTTGTTTTACATATGAGTATAGATCTTTATTAATAGCTTCTAATTTTATTTCCACCATCTTTAGAGCCATCTATTTATTTTTAAGAAAAATATTATGATTATGATATGAGTGTGTTAGAGAGGAGTGAATGGAGACAAATGGTTTTTGGGACCTGATGAGCTGTTGGAGTGTGAGCATGGTAATATTTTGTGAAGGTATTTAGGAAGGAGGGGTGTTAATGTTGCAGTTTAAAAACTGTAGTGTAAAGCACCCTTCTGGCAAGACAGTGATGGAGTGAATGATGGTGAAAGTTTTTCTTTTTCGGGCCACCCTGCCTTGGTGGGAATCGGCCGGTGTGATAATAAAAAAAAAAAAAAAATATAATAATTTAGGGAATACCCTGCCTCGGTGGGAGACAGCTGACTTGTTGAAAAAAAAAATTAGGGAAACCAGTTAGTCAGACTTAAGTCCTAGAGGTGGGAAGTACAATGTTTGCACTTTAAAGGAGGGGTGTTGGATATTGGCTGTTTGGAGTAACATCTAAACTGTCATATCTGAGTGCCTCTGCGAAGACAGTGATTATGTATGAATGATGGTGAAAGTGTTGAATGATGATGAAAGTTTTTTCTTTCTTTCTGGGTTTTTCTTTCTTTTTGGGTCACTCTACCTCAGTGGGAAATGGCTGACGTTTTAAAAAAAAATTGTAATTAATTCTTTCTTTCATTCAACACACCGGCCATATCCCACCAAGGCAGGGTGGCCCAAAAAGAAAAACGAAAGTTTCTCTTTTAAATTTAGTAATTTATACGGGAGAAGAGGTTACTAGCCCCTTGCTCCCGGCATTTTAGTCGCCTCTTACAACACGCATGGCTTACGGAGGAAGAATTCTGTTCCACTTCCCCATGGAGATAAGAGGAAATAAACAAGAACAAGAACTAGAAAGAAAATAGAAGAATACCCAGAGGGGTGTGTATATATATGCTTATGTATGTATGTGTAGTGTGACCTAAGTGCAAGTAGAAGTAACAAGACATACCTGAAATTTTGCATGTTTATGAGACAGACAAAAGACACCAGCAATCCTACCATCATGTAAAACAATTACAGGTTTTTGTTGTACACTCACTTGGCAGGACAGTAGTACCTCCCTGGGCAGTTGCTGTTTACCAATTCTATCATAGTTTATTGTGGCTTTTCCTGTTAAGAATTATTAGTTAAAAGATAAGCACCTGGAATATTTGGTTATAAAATTGATAAACTGATGGACTCCTTAAAAATAAGGACAAATACATGAGCAAGAATGGTTAAGATTGAAAAACCTGCCTAGCATGGGTCAGTAAGCCTACTGCAATATTCCTCCATGGAGATAAATGGTATAAAGTAGCAACAAGATGGAAAAATAGACACAAAAGAAGCATAAATCAATCCTTTATTGACTACATTTCACCCACGGTGGGCTTTATCAAGTCACAAACAGAGATCTGTTTGTGACTTGATAAAGCCCACTGTGTGGGCAAAAAATGGTCAATAAAGGATCACATTATATTGCTTTGTGTCTATTTTTCCAATGTTCCTCCATCTTTGTGTTCTCACTCTGTGTTTATCACTATATCTGGTCTCCAATTATTAAACATAGCACCACAAGAGGAATTCCAGTAATAATGGAGTGCTAAGAAGTATATATATCTCTTACTTTGTTGGAGAAAAGGGAATTGTTAAATATGCTTAGAGGTAGTTAGTGCATGTGTGATGAAAAGTGCATTGAGTTTTCTGTGAATGAATAAACTGGTCTTTCAGTTAGAAACACTTGAGATAAAATAAGAGCTTGTGCAACAGGTAGTACAGATTGTCATTTTCTCAAAAGAATGTCAGTGGCTTAACAAGACAGAAAATTTCCTGAATGTGTGGACTGAGAGAAAAAAGAAAGATGCCCCATTTAGTGCTCAAGTAACAACACATGAAGTCTTATACAGTGGAACCTCAGTTTTTTTTTTTTAATTTGCTCCAGATGTTGATTCGACATCCAAATTCAATGACAACCAAAGCAGTTTTTCCCAAAAAGAATAATGTTAATAGAATTAATCAGCTCCAGACCCCAAATGACAATATAATAATATATTAATAATGTACTACTACTATATAAAACAATGTTTAAAATTATACAGCACAGGGGAACTGTAAAAATTAATACTAAATGAAAATTTAACTGGAATACTGTACAGTAAATGAAAATTTAGCTGCCTCTTACCTGTCACGAGAGCTAATGGCATACTGGAAGCAGGAGATGGAGGAGAGAAAGGAGTATGTTACTGCTTGGTAGGAGAGTCACCTTCTGTTAATATGTCAGGCAACTGTTCTTCTGGTGTTGTTTCTCTTCTTTGCCTCTTTGCACCAAAACTGCAAAATAACAAAAAACGTTCACAAGATGCACAGACAAGATGTTTACAGCGCACGAGTTATTGGCTATACTGACTCATCCATGCTCTGTATTCATTGTCCAGTGTCCATTCCGTGAGCACATTACCTAAGCTGCTTTGGCCCATTCTGTACGTGCAAAAATTGTCCATTGACAGCCAAGGGAACGTATGAAAGCCAGGACATTTATTCCTCAAACACTTCATTCAAAAACTGATTTATTCGACAAGTAATACAATCGACAACCGAGGTTTGATTGTACTATAAAACCATAGTGAGAAGGAATTTTTCATGCAAAGACAGATTGAAGCTCCCTCACCCACACTCTCTTGAAAAATATAGAATGAGGGGGACATATAACTGAAGTATACAGGTGGAAGATAGGTATTATAAAGGAAATGTAAATTGGGTGGTGGTGTTCTCAAAACAGTGTATTTAAGTTGGATAAATTCAGATTTAGAATATTTGGATTTGAATAAAATGTGTTAATAAAATAAATAAAATTTATAGAATTGTGTAGCATCAAGTTGCACATCAAAGGGATGGAGTAGCTGAGACTAATGTTATCTTCCATCATGTTCATCATATTGTGATTACATGTACAAGACTGTAATAACTGGCCATCTCAACATCTGAGTTTTTTTATTCCTTAGCTCTGTCATGCAGCATTTCACTGTGTAATGAATATAGAAATAAAAGGCTCACAGTTAACATCCTAAAACATACTGTATCTTCTCTAAATATAACTTGAAAAAATATGTTCAAATTGGGTAAGTTCCAATTTAAAAAGAATGTAGGAAAACACTGGTTAGGCATTAGAGTTGTATATGAGTGGAAAAACTGCAAAGTTTGAACAGGTACATGAGTAGGTTCAGAAATATTGTGAAAGAATAAGTCAGTCCTCTACATTTTACCAATAAAATTATCCTTAGAACATCAAACTTTACTTAAGAATATGAGATTAGCTATACTGTAGTAATTTTTACTTAGTACTGTACAATATAATTTCATATTTTTTCTTAGCAAATTTGGATGTATTTTGAGGGCAACTATTATTTCTCATATGTTCCCCATTTCATACAATGCTATTTTGTGTTTTATACTGATTTACAGGAAAGTAATGCATGTGTTATGAGAGAGTTCACTGTATTTTCATACTTTTGTGACCACTCTTGCTTTCAAAATGCAATTGAATTAATTGTTCTTTACTAAGCATAGTAGTATCTTCTGTGAACAATACCATGTAATATGCATTACAAGGATAAAATGTTGGTATATTGCTTATCATTTTACCCTACAGAGGGAGTAACGTCCAAAGAAAAGTTACATGTAACAACCACTACAGTTAAGGAACCATGTGCTGGCAACTACTGGACAGAATGGTTCAATGTTTCACACCCTAACACTGACTCTGGAGACTTTGAAACATTTGATAAGATCCGTGAGAAGGGCTTCAGTGTTTGTGAGGACATGCATATTATGGACATAGAGTGTAAATACAACCAGGTGGAGAGAACAAGTTCAGATAAAAAAGGTGGCTCTAAGAGCAGACGCAAGGGTAGTCGAAAAGGAGGTCGTAAAGGTCATACATTGGACAAGCTTGTACAAGTTTTTGCTGATTACACCGCCAGTGATGATATGAATGTTCAGTGTAACACACACTCTGGGTTGATATGTGATAATTACCAGCAACCTGGAAGTGGTAATAAATGTGAGGACTATGCCATTAGAATCCTCTGTTCTTGTGGTAAGTGACTATGCCATTAGAATCCTCTGTTACTGTTGTGGCTATGCCATTAGAATCCTCTGTTCTTGTAGTAAGTGACTATGCCATTAGAATCCTCTGTTCTTGTGGTAAGTGACTATGCCATTAGAATCCTCTGTTCTTGTGGTAAGTGACTATGCCATTAGAATCCTCTATTCTTGTGGTAAGTGACTATGCCATTAGAATCCTCTATTCTTGTGGTAAGTGACTATGCCATTAGAATCCTCTGTTCTTGTGGTAAGTGACTATGCCATTAGAATCCTCTGTTACTGTTGTGGCTATGCCATTAGAATCCTCTGTTCTGTGGTAAGTGACTATGCCATTAGAATCCTCTGTTCTTGTGGTAACTATACCATTAGAATCCTCTGTTCTTGTGGTAAGTGACTATGCCATTAGAATCCTCTGTTCTTGTGGTAAGTGACTATGCCATTAGAATCCTCTGTTCTTGTGGTAACTATACCATTAGAATCCTCTGTTCTTGTGGTAAGTGACTATACCATTAGAATCCTCTGTTCTTGTAGTAAGTGACTATACCATTAGAATCCTCTGTTCTTGTGGTAAGTGACTATACCATTAGAATCCTCTGTTCTTGTGGTAAGTGACTATACCATTAGAATCCTCTGTTCTTGTAGTAAGTGACTATACCATTAGAATCCTCTTTCTTGTAGTAAGTGACTATACCATTAGAATCCTCTGTTCTTGTAGTAAGTGACTATACCATTAGAATCCTCTGTTCTTGTAGTAAGTGACTATACCATTAGAATCCTCTGTTCTTGTGGTAAGTGACTATACCAATTAGAATCCTCTGTTCTTGTGTAAGTGACTATACCATTAGAATCCTCTGTTCTTGTAGTAAGTGACTATACCATTAGAATCCTCTGTTCTTGTAGTAAAGGTAACTATACCATTAGAATCCTCTGTTCTTGTAGTAAGTGACTATACCATTAGAATCCTCTGTTCTTGTGGTAAGTGACTATACCATTAGAATCCTCTGTTCTTGTGGTAAGTGACTATACCATTAGAATCCTCTGTTCTTGTGGTAAGTAACTATGCCATTAGAATCCTCTGTTCTTGTAGTAAGTGACTATACCATTAGAATCCTCTGTTCTTGTGGTAAGTGACTATACCATTAGAATCCTCTGTTCTTGTGGTAAGTGACTATACCATTAGAATCCTCTGTTCTTGTGGTAAGTAACTATACCATTAGAATCCTGTGTTCTTGTGGTAAGTAACTATACCATTAGAATCCTCTGTTCTTGTGGTAAGTAACTATGCCATTAGAATCCTGTGTTCTTGTGGTAAGTGACTATACCATTAGAATCCTCTGTTCTTGTGGTAAGTGACTATACCATTAGAATCCTGTGTTCTTGTGGTAAGTAACTATACCATTAGAATCCTCTGTTCTTGTGGTAAGTAACTATACCATTAGAATCCTCTGTTCTTGTGGTAAGTAACTATACCATTAGAATCCTGTGTTCTTGTGGTAAGTGACTATACCATTAGAATCCTGTGTTCTTGTGGTAAGTAACTATACCATTAAATCCTCTGTTCTTGTGGTAAGTAACTATACCATTAGAATCCTCTGTTCTTGTGGTAAGTAACTATGCCATTAGAATCCTCTGTTCTTGTGGTAAGTAACTATACCATTAGAATCCTCTGTTCTTGTAGTAAGTAACTATGCCATTAGAATCCTCTGTTCTTGTGGTAAGTAACTATGCCATTAGAATCCTCTGTTCTTGTAGTAAGTAACTATACCATTAGAATCCTCTGTTCTTGTAGTAAGTGTTTCACTCTTTAATATAAATTTTTATCAAATGCTCTTATTTTTTTAATGAGTTTTGACAGAGAAAAACATTTACAAAACGTTCATTCACTAATTCCTTTGAAAATAAAACTAAAATATAATTATGTTATATACATGACAAGACAAAAAGTTTCTTCGAAGTTGCAAAAAAAGAGAGAATAATTAGAGTACAAACTATAAAGCATTTATAATTTCGCATTTAAATATCTTAAATTTGTAAATGAACAACATTCAGCGGTACAGTGTAGTGGATATACTTATCATACTCCAAATTGAATAATTTTAAATTTTTATATCATGCTTTAATAATCTTTGGATTTTCTTTGTACAGTATTGTCTGCTATTTTTTTTTTCAAAGTAAATAGATTAAAATATTCTTATTCAGTAATAAAAAATTTGTTTTTTTATTGGAAAATTGAACCGTATTTTTTTAAGCACTGCATTTAGGATAATTGTATGTTTAAAGTGTGCATTTAGCATGATCAATAATATTTTTATGATTTTCCAGTGATTAGGTTTTCTTTACTGAGATAAATACATTTATGCTTGACAGGTGTACTTTTCTCTGTTTTCAATACAATTTTATGTTGTTTATTAATGTAAATTTTAAATAGTATAATATAGCAACTACATAGGTATGCCCTTAGGAATCCAACATTGTATAAATGCTTAGATACATTCATGGGTCATGCAAATATCATCTCTTGCTAGCTATATAATTATTGTTTTTGATTGTCATTTAGAACCTATGGGAATATTAATATGTTATACAATATTACAACATTAAAATATACTGCTTAGCTTGATTTCAATTAGAGACCAAGGATATAATAAGGAGCAATTTTGCTTAGTGACCTATTGTAATAGTTCTCATTATCAACTTTCCATACACAAAAGCAGTGAATAAAATTAGACAGTATGTTTACTGTATTGTGGTTTGTTTAAAAACATGAGATAATTTTTACTGTGCTTCACAGATGCAACCAAAACCACTCCAGCCATCCAGCCCTCCACTACACCTTACATCGATGTGCGGGAATCGACCATTCTCACTACACCTCATGTCATAGATACCAGTTAGTAAAAAAACTGCAGTATAGTTCTCTTCAGTAATTATCTGTTTGTAGCTACAGGAACAGAGCTATACTTGTGGTGATCCATCTTCATTAGTTTGCACATCATATATAAGTGGCTCTGATGTTTAATCATCCAGCAGGTTTGTGAGTTATATAGGAGTGAATAAAGACAAGTGGTTTTTGATAGTTGTGCTGTTAGAATGTGAGTAAGATATCCCATGTGAATGGATTCAGAAAACCTAATTGAGGTAAAATAATAAAAATAATAATATATATTTTCCAAGAAGATGCATTAATATTAACAAAGATAGACATACACTGCTTATTCCTTACATGGGAAGCCCATAACTATACAAAGCATTTTGGGCACACTTATCAGTAAGCTAGTAGTAATACTACTACTGTATGTACTACTATGCTATGAAACTCTGATCCCATACCTTTCACTTATTTTTTATACATAAATATTCTATGTTTTTATTAGTAATTGTAGTCTTAATCAGCTGGTGGTGCAATAATGTTTCATACACACAATTTACATAAGAACATAAGAACATAAGAACGAAGGAACACTGCAGAAGGCCTACTGGCCCATGCGAGGCAGGTCCAAGTCTCCTACCGGCTTAAGCCAAAGCACCCAACCTAGTCAGGTCAGGTCACATTGACTTAAGGGAGGAACACGGCAACCGACCTGGTAGCACAAGCTATCAGGTCTAACTCACACCCACCCACATCCACTCATGTATTTATCCAACCTATTTTTAAAGCTACACAACGTTCTAGCCTCTATAACGGTACTTGGGAGTTTGTTCCACTCATCCACAACTCTATTACCAAACCAGTACTTTCCTATATCCTTCCTGAATCTGAATTTTTCAACTTTAAACCATTGCTGCGAGTCCTGTCTAGGCTAGATATTTTCAGCACACTATTTACATCCCCTTTATTTATTCCTGTCTTCCATTTATACACCTCAATCATATCCCCCCTAATTCTTCGTTCTTTCTAGAGAGTGCAGATTCAGGGCCCTTAGTCTATCCTCATAGGGAAGGTTTCTGATACATGGGATCAACTTTGTCATCCCCTTTTGTACATTTTCAGAGAATTTATATCCATTCTGTAATAAGGTGACCAAAACTGTGCAGCATAATCAAAATGAGGCCTAACCAAGGATGTATAGAGTTGAAGAACAACCTGAGGACTCCTATTATTTATGCTTCTTGATATGAAGCCAAGGATTCTATTAGCTTTATTGCGAACACTTATGCACTGTTGTCTTGGTTTCAGATTACTGCTAACCAGAACTCCTAAATCTTTTTCGCAATCCGTAATATTAAGATCTACTTTATTTATTTTATATGTGGCATGGTTATTGTCCTGTCCAACATTTAGAACTTTGCATTTGTCTTATTAAACTGCATCTGCCAAGTCTCCGACCACTGCATCAGTCTATTCAAATCCCCTGGAGTGCTCGAATGTCCTCGTCAGAAGAATTCGACGGCCTATTTTGGTGTCATGGGCAAACTTCCCGATGTCGCTTTTTATGCCTCATCTATGTCGTTATGTAGATTGTGAACAGCAGGGGGCCCAACACTGACCCCTGGGAAACACCCTCGTGACACTTCCCCACTCTGATTTCTCCCCATTTATGCAAACTCCTGCTGCCTATTTGTCAACCATGCCTCTATCCGGGAAAAAATTCTCCTCCTATTCCATGTGTTTTAAATTTTTCCCTCAATAGTCTCTGATGTGGGACCCTGTCAAAAGCCTTACTGAAGTCCATATACAAAATATCATATTCATTACCATGATCTACCTCCTCAAATACCTTAGTGAAAAAAGTTAAAAATTCGTAAGGCAGGAACGCCCCTTTGTAAAACCATGCTGAGATTCGTTGATTAATTTATGCTTTTCAAGGTGGCTACGAACTGCCTCGGCAATTATTGATTCCATAAATTTCCCACTATGGAGGTTAGGCTTATTGGTCTATAGTTTGAAGCTAAGGACCTGTCACCTGTTTTTGAAAATAGGTATCACATTTGCCATTTTCCACTTATCTGGCACCATGCCAGTTTGTAGTGATATGTTGAAAGATTAGCCAAAGGTGTGCTAGCTCCTCTTACATTCCTTTAGAACCCTTGCATACAGTTCATCAGGGCCTGGGATTTGTTAGGTTTTAATTTATCTATTTGCCTAAGGACCATGTCACTTGTGACCCTAATAGTGCACAGTTTATTATCGTCCTGTTCTACATAATTTATCATTACTGGAATATCGCTGGTATCCTCCTGTGTAAAAACTGAGAGGAAGTATGTGTTAAAAATTCTACACATTTCCTTATCACTGTCAGTGAGCTGACCCGAGGAACTTTTGAGTGGGCCTATCTTGTCCCTGATCTTACTTCTGTATACCTGAAAGAATCCTTTTGGGTTAGTCTTCGATTCTCTTGCAACTTTAACCTCATAATCTCTTTTTGCTTTTCTAATTCCCTTTTTTATTTCTCTCTCTAACTGAATATATCGATTTCTCAATTGCCCCTCTCCTCTTTTGATTTGCCTATATATGCCTCTCTTTTGACCAATCAGATATTTTAATCTATTGTTCATCCATTTAGGATCATTTTTGTTTGATCTGATTTCCCTATTTGGAACATAATTTGACTGAGCAGCTAGAACTATGCCCTGGAAAGCATCATATCGGCAACCATCACCACCTACCTGACCCTTAGTCAGGTCATTCCAGTTCAGCCCACCTAAGTAATTTTTCAGTCCTATGAAATCAGCCAAGCGAAAGTCAGGGACGGAGACTTGATTGCCATTATTAGGGTAATTTCCATGATATATTAAAACTGAGTGATTTGTGATCACTTTCCCCAAGCTCATCATTAACCTCAAGATTATTAATTAGTGTTTCCCTACTGGCAAGAACCAAGTCAAGGAGGTTATTTCCCCTAGTTGGCTCTGTCACAAACTGTTTTAAAAAACAATCCTGGATCGTATCAAGAAAGTCACCTGACTCTAAATTTCCTGTCAAATTGCTCCAGTCAATCTGTCTATAGTTGAAATCTCCCCATTAGCACAACATTTTCGTATGTAGATGCCTTACGAATTTCGTCCCATAGAAGTTTACTGCACTCCCTATCAAGATTTGGGGCCCTGTAAATCACACCCAAAATTAGTTTTTCTCGGCCCTCGAGAAGCTGTAACCAAACAGATTCAGTGGCTGACGCTTCTAATTTAATATCTTGTCTAACACAACAATTTAAATTGTCTCTGACATACATCGCTACTCCACCACCTTTCCTGTTGACCCTGTCAGTGTGGAATAATTTATAGCCTTGTATGTGACATTCAGAGGGCATCCCTCTATCTTTCAGATTGAGCCAGGTCTCTGTTATAGCAATAATATCTATGTTTCCTGCACTTGCAATTAATCTTAGCTCATCTATCTTATTTCTTACACTCCTGCTATTAGTATAGTAAACCTTAAGGGAGCTAGTCCCTTGCTGCCCTCTGCTGTCCCCCTTTGTTTGCTGACCTGATCTATTGTCTTTATTTATAACTTCATGCTGAATGCCTTTTATACATTTACTGTTTCCAACCCAAGTGTTGCAACCTGCTTGTTTCCCACACACACCCATACCTCTATCTTCCATCAGTTTAAAATCATAGGCATTTCACCAATGGCCTTCTCAATCGAGTCTGCAAGTGCTACCACCCCAGCCCCAGAGAGATGTACCCCATCCCTTGCATACATATCATGTTTGCTGTAAAAGTTGTTCCAGTTGTCAATGAATGGGATTGCAAGTTCCTTGCAGTATCTGTCTAGCCAGCAATTTACACCAATTGCCCTAGACAACCATTCATTCCCTACTCCCCTTCTAGGCAAGATGCTACATATGATTGGGATCCCTCCCTTAGACTTAATGAAATCTATAGCTAACCTGTACTTATCTAGCAGCTCTTCTCTCCTACCCTTCCCAATATCATTTCCACCAGCACTGAGACAGATAATGGGCTTGCTCCCATTACCTGACATGATATTATCCAGCCTGTTGACAATGTCCCCAACACCAGCTCCAGGGAAGCACACTCTATCTCTCATCTTATTCCTATTACAAAAAGCACGGTCAATGTATCTTACCTGAGAGTCACCAACCACAAGAATGCGCTTACCTCCATTAGCAGGGGCAGTAGTACCCTTACCTTCACTGGCCACTGAAGTACATTCATCCTGAAGAACAGAGAAGCGATTTCCTACCTTCAGATCTTCACTCTTAACTTTCCTTACTCTGATGCGCCTTCCATTACTGTGAACTACTCGCCACTTGTAGCAGGTGCTGGGCTGCACCTCACTGCTGGTAGCCGTTGCTGCCTCCCCAACTACAGCCTCCTCACAGCGAGAGACAGACTGCACCTCGCTGCTAGAAGCCTCATTCCCCACAACTCCAGCCACCTCACACTCTCTCCCAGACCCATTGAGGTGGACCTTCAGCCTCCTAATCTCCTCCTGGAGAAGCAAGACCTCCTCCTTCAACTCTCCAACCTCAATTTTTAAAACACTGCAGAAGCAAGCCATGCTTTGTAACCGTCCACACTAATCCCCAAAGCAGCTCAGGGTCTGTGACCTCACGTGACGACTGACCACTGACCACTGACCAATTTATGTATGGGAAATATTTTTTGAGATTGCAAATAATCAGATAATTTTATGTTAGCTTCTCTTAAGAAAGAAAGAAAATTAGCTTTAAATTTTTTACAATCTATAGATTGCTGTAAATACTCGATAGACAGGAACAGGTAGGTTCACCAGGACTGGTACCGGCCCGGGTCTTCTCCATGCAGTGACCCAGCAGTGCTTGATAGAGTTCAGGATCAATATCACTATTAACCTTTTGAGGATCCATCAAGTAGTTTTATGGCTTTGAAGCCTGGGTCCAAGCCATTGTTCTACGCCATGAGCTCAGCTCACTCAGATAAGCTGTGAGCAGTAAATTTGGGCCTAGATATGAGAGAATGCATCTGTGTGGTACGTGTGCACCATATAAATCAAATCCTCTAGCATGCAGCGCATAATGAAAAAAAAAACTGTGACTGTGTTTTTGGATTAAAACAGTGACTTTGTGGTGTATTTTAATATGTTTTTTACAGTTGTATTCACGGTTTCTTGGTCTCATTTGATAGAAGGGAAGATATATTACAGAAATAGAATGATTTTGATTGGTTTCATTAGTGACAGTGGCTTGAAAGTGAGTTCAAAATAGTGGAAATGTTTGATTATTGCCGATGTTCAAGAGTAAACAATTGACGTCATGTGTCCAATACATGTTAGCTGGTTGGTCTAATGTGCATTCTCAAATGTGCTGATATTATTTACACAATTATTACAGTATTGCATAGCAGTAAATCTTCTGTTTTTTGGTGTGAATAAAATTCATTATGTGAATAAAAAATCAAAATGGAACTCACTTGTAAAGCCTGGAAACATTACTGATAAACAGAGGAAATGTTATTTTAGTGCCAGAAATGCCTGCATTGTTTATTCTGGACCCTATTTTGAAATTGGAATATTTTGAACTTTGTGTGAAATTGGTCAAATTATAAATTTCCAATCACTTTATTGGGTGGTTGAAATAGTTGATTGGGTAATTTCTTGTGCTCAGTCAATAAAATAGAAATAATACTAGCAAAATAACTAAGAATTTGGTCGACTAGAATAATGTAATTGGCCTAAAATGGGAGTCAAAGTGGGCAAAATCGCAGATGCATGAATATTGCTGACGCAGCAAAATTTGCAAGAGCGTAATTTCATAAATTTTCCATCAAACTTTGTACCTTTTGTTTTATTACTTTCAGAAAAAGATTCTTTACCATTTCATAAGAAACAAAAAAAATTTTTTAATATTCTTGGACCTAGTGGACAAGTTACAGATTGGGGGTCTGGAACCATAAAAAGGTTAATAGAAAGAAATGTTTATCTAAGAAATTATGATTTTAAGACTTGGACAAAACATCAATTAATAATAATCTTAAATTGAAACCTTGGGTAGAGTTTAAGATAACCAACAGTAGAATACAGAACAAAAAGGCACAATACCATGACTGGAACAATACATGAATAACCTGCACTCTGGAAAGAGAGGCTTATGACAATGTAGAATGTTGTTTTATTGTGATAAAGGAATAATGGCTCAGTGGTACACAGGACTAACCCTTGGACAAAAACAATGAAAAAAATTTATTTCTTTACAAAGGTTACAATGTGTAATTACATTTTTGATGTGTTAGGTACAAAGAAAGCCACTATCATGCCCGGGCATTTTGATGTGATGGTGTATTTATCATACAGATTTGGAAGTTAAAAAGAAGTTAATCAGTTAAGAATGTCAGTTAATGTGTATGAGGATTTTTAAGCATCTCATTCTGACAGGATATAGCCTACTGTAGTGTATTCTTTTTTTTTGTATTTTTCATCCACAATGTACAGTTTAATGGACAAAATTAGCTAACAGATGTCAGTACACAGTATATGATTTTAAACATACAGATATCGTTACTAGCTTTTTTTGGGAAGAATTGATACTGATAGAAATGAAGATAAAAATATTAGGAAATCTTTCATTGATAACATTAATTGTTTTTTATAACAGTTATGCATTTAAGAGACTTAAAGTTATGATTGTTAACAATATAACAATATAACAGTATAACTTCTTTGTGAATAAAGAATCTGATTATGAACCTTTATTTTATAGGATGTGAGCCTGGCCAGAGATATGAACCTCGAGCTATACGTTGTGACCGAATCTGTCTATACTATCAACACTTCCTGCGGCAGAATGGAGAATGTTTGGTAACCTAACAGTGTTTTGTAGTACAGTATTGAAATGTAATATAAATAATTTTATATTGTATGTGTTCTGAGAAAGGTAATTTAATGTAGGGATAATGTGAATGATGGTGAAAGTTTTTCTTTTTTTGGGTTACCCTGCCTCGGAGGGAGACATCTTGCGTGTTAAAAAAAAAATGTAATTCTCTCACTTTTTTAAAATATGTAAATAGACTGTAGAATAGATATTAATATTAATTATAATAGCAGACACAAAAAGCTTAAAAAATTGTGGTTAATTGCAATTTGTATCACATGTACCAGACTGCAGTAGGGATATCTGTGTATTTCTTGAAACAGCTGGAAAATGATTAATATAGATGTATTGGCTTCTTTAGGTCATCTTCCCTTGGTGGGAAACAGCTGATGTGTAAAAAAAAGTAGAAAAATGTACAAGCTGTCTTGATCTTAAACTTCAGATGTTGATGCAGTACCCTAGTGTGTATGTTTTTTTACCTCTTTATTCACTAGATTAAAATGTTACTGTCATGTTTTCAGTTGCTCCTTTAATGCTGTGGATAGAACAAATTTTATGATGTACAACATTGGAAAAATACAGTACTGTATGTTAATCTTCTAATGTACTGTATATCATGAGGACAAGATGCATATGTGAATACAATCTCTAAGATATTATAAAGTATTTTCTTAAATTTAGTATACAGCAGTCTGAAGTTTACTTACATTCTTGCATTAAAGAAATCTGCAGTAACCAGAGATAGCAATCAATATACTATGCCAAATAAAATATTTTTTGTGTTGTATTTAGAAAACAAATAAAACATGAGCATGTCTCAGCATTCTGCAACTAATCCACAAGCTGGAGATAAAAGTAAGAACATTTCAGTGTATCCTGGATAATTATCAAACATGAGCTGACAATAGTTTGTGATAAATGTTGTCTTACGTTCATCTTTAACTTTCTGGTTACTTGTGAACTTTACAGGTATGATACTGTGGCTTGATTTTTAATTTTTCAGCATGATGGTCAGTTTGCTCCAGGGTGTGTAGATATTACCACTGGTGTGGCCTGTCCTGGTAACCATTACTTAAGGGACAAGACAACATGTGTTGCCATACACGACTGTAACTGCCGCCTCCCTAATGGCATGGCAGCACCGGTAATATAATTTGACTATCTTTAATTTACAGTATAAATTATTGTTTTTTCTAAATTTTGTGCAGGTCATTTCCTTTAGTTGTAGACAATATAAAATTCTTTGTAATATTTGACATGGGTTGTTGCCTTTCAGGTGATGTCCTTTTACTTCACTTACTTGCTCAGTATTAATTTTTACTAATTTTATCTGATATCTTTGCATTTATAATACAAGAAATGTAATTTTCTTGTGCGTTACACAGTTGCAAAATAAACTGAATTATTTTATCATGTATTTTACAATATGAGTAGCTGAAATAACATATCCTCTAAACAGATATGACATATGGCTGGCAGGGCCATACATGGTAGGCTCTTTCAGCAGTCCTGAAATATATATGTATTCCTCAACCTAAAATATAGAACAGCAAACGAGATAAAAAGAAAACTAGCCTTGTTTGCTATTAAAGTATCATCCTTAAATACACAGTACTGTATGTAAGAATACCGCAGTGAAAATAGGAAATAAAACCTGAACGATTTTAGGGGCTTACACATATGTAAGCACATGAAAGTGCTCAGGTTTTATTTCTAATTTCACTGTGGTACTTTCACATGTTTGCAATCATGCATTTTATTGTGATTTCTTCCACAGTATTTTATATCTGTATCAGCCTCTAGAAGATATGCAGTTATCAGTTTTAAAATGTACAATCTCTGAGATGATGTTGATTCAATGTTAACCCGTAAACAGTCCAAGCAGATCTACGTTCACATGTGTAGTGCTACAAAAGTAGATCTACGTTCACATGTGTAGTGCTACAAAAGTAGATCTACGTTCACATGTGTAGTGCTACAAAAGTAGATCTAAGTTTTTTTTACATATTTTCAAATATAACAAAAAAAAAAAAGTACATCAAAGTTTTTTTACACATTTTCAAACGTAGAAAAACAAAAAGAAGATCTACTTTTCTTACGTATATATGTATACGTTTGGACCGTTTACGGGTTAAAGTCAGTGTTCCAGAGAGTTGTCTAATCGGGCGTACTTTCTTATGCATAACTACTGTTGATGGTGACTGCACACATTCATGAGGAGGAAGAGATAAATGAAGCTATGAGTTTATAATATTAAAAACATAATTTTATATCATACCTGCTTTACTGACATGTATACCATTATGTTGGGTATGCTTGAATGTGCGTGGATGTAGTGCGGATGACAAGAAACAGATGATTGCTGATGTTATGAATGAAAAGAAGTTGGATGTCCTGGCTGTAAGTGAAACAAAGCTGAAGGGGGTAGGGGAGTTTAAGTGGGGGGAAATAAATGGGATTAAATCTGGAGTATCTGAGAGAGTTAGAGCAAAGGAAGGGGTAGCAGTAATGTTGAAGGATCAGTTATGGAAGGAGAAAAGAGAATATGAATGTGTAAATGCAAGAATTATGTGGATTAAAGTAAAGGTTGGATGCGAAAAGTGGGTCATAATAAGCGTGTATGCACCTGGAGAAGAGAGGAATGTAGAGGAGAGAGAGATTTTGGGAGATGTTAAGTGAATGTATAGGAGCCTTTGAACCAAGTGAGAGAGTAATTGTGGTAGGGGACCTGAATACTAAAGTAGGAGAAACTTTTAGAGAGGGTGTGGTAGGTAAGTTTGGGGTGCCAGGTGTAAATGAAAATGGGAGCCCTTTGATTGAACTTTGTATAGAAAGGGGTTTAGTTGTAGGTAATACATATTTTAAGAAAAAGAGGATAAATAAGTATACAAGATATGATGTAGGGCGAAATGACAGTAGTTTATTGGATTAAGTATTGGTAGATAAAAGACTGTTGAGTAGACTTCAGGATGTACATGTTTATAGAGGGGCCACAGATATATCAGATCACTTTCTAGTTGTAGCTACATTGAGAGTAAAAGGTAGATGGGATACAAGGAGAATAGAAGCATCAGGGAAGAGAGAGGTGAAGGTTTATAAACTAAAAGAGGAGGCAGTTAGGGTAAGATATAAACAGCTATTGGAGGATAGATGGGCTAATGAGAGCAAAGGCAATGGGGTCGAAGAGGTATGGGGTAGGTTTAAAAATGTAGTGTTAGAGTGTTCAGCAGAAGTTTGTGGTTACAGGAAGGTGGGTGCGGGAGGGAAGAAGAGCGATTGGTGGAATGACGATGTAAAGAGAGTAGTAAGGGAGAAAAAGTTAGCATATGAGAAGTTTTTACAAAGTAGAAGTGATGCAAGGAGGGAAGAGTATATGGAGAAAAAGAGAGAGGTTAAGAGAGTGGTGAAGCAATGTAAAAAGAGAGCAAATGAGAGAGTGGGTGAGATGTTATCAACAAATTTTGTTGAAAATAAGAAAAAGTTTTGGCGTGAGATTAACAAGTTAAGGAAGCCTAGAAAACAAATGGATTTGTCATTTAAAAATAGGAGAGGAGAGTTATTAAATGGAGAGTTAGATGTATTGGGAAGATGGAGGGAATATTTCAAGGAATTGTTAAATGTTGATGAAGATAGGGAAGCTGTGATTTCGTGTATAGGGCAAGGAGGAATAACATCTTGTAGGAGTGAGGAAGAGCCAGTTGTGAGTGTAGGGGAAGTTCGTGAGGCAGTAGGTAAAATGAAAGGGGGTAAGGCAGCCGGGATTGATGGGATAAAGATAGAAATGTTAAAAGCAAGTGGGGATATAGTTTTGGAGTGGTTGGTGCAATTATTTAATAAATGTATGGAAGAAGGTAAGGTACCTAGGGATTAGCAGAGAGCATGCATAGTTCCTTTGTATAAAGGCAAAGGGGACAAAAGAGAGTGCAAAAATTATAGGGGGATAAGTCTGTTGAGTATACCTGGTAAAGTGTATGGTAGAATTATTATTGAAAGAATTAAGAGTAAGACGGAGAATAGAATAGCAGATGAACAAGGAGGCTTTAGGAAAGGTAGGGGGTGTGTAGGCCAGGTGTTTACAGTGAAACACATAAGTGAACAGTATTTAGATAAGGCTAAAGAGGTCTTTGTGGCATTTATGGATTTGGAAAAGGCGTATGACAGGGTGGATAGGGGGGCAATGTGGCAGATGTTGCAGGTGTATGGTGTAGGAGGTAGGTTACTGAAAGCAGTGAAGAGTTTTTACGAGGATAGTGAGGCTCAAGTTAGAGTATGTAGGAAAGAGGGAAATTATTTCCCAGTAAAAGTAGGTCTTAGACAAGGATGTGTGATGTCACCGTTGTTGTTTAATATATTTATAGATGGGGTTGTAAGAGAAGTAAATGCGAGGGTCTTGGCAAGAGACGTGGAGTTAAAAGATAAAGAATCACACATAAAGTGGGAGTTGTCACAGTTGCTCTGTGCTGATGACACTGTGCTCTTGGGAGATTCTGAAGAGAAGTTGCAGAGATTGGTGGATGAATTTGGTAGGGTATGCAAAAGAAGAAAATTAAAATTGAATACAGGAAAGAGTAAGGTTATGAGGATAACAAAAAGATTAGGTGATGAAAGATTGGATATCAGATTGGAGGGAGAGAGTATGGAGGAGGTGAATGTATTCAGATATTTGGGAGAGGACGTGTCAGCGGATGGGTCTATGAAAGATGAGGTGACTCATAGAATTGATGAGGGGAAAAGGGTGAGTGGTGCACTTAGGAGTCTGTGGAGACAAAGAACTTTGTCCTTGGAGGCAAAGAGGGAAATGTATGAGAGTATAGTTTTACCAACACTCTTATATGGGTGTGAAGCATGGGTAACGAATGTTGCAGCGAGGAGAAGGCTGGAGGCAGTGGAGATGTCATGTCTGAGGGCAATGTGTGGTGTGAATATAATGCAGAGAATTCGTAGTTTGGAAGTTAGGAGGAGGTGTGGGATTACCAAAACTGTTGTCCAGAGGGCTGAGGAAGGGTTGTTGAGGTGGTTCGGACATGTAGAGAGAATGGAGCGAAACAGAATGACTTCAAGAGTGTATCAGTCTGTAGTGGAAGGAAGGCGGGGTAGGGGTCGGCCTAGGAAAGGTTGGAGGGAGGGGGTAAAGGAGGTTTTGTGTGCGAGGGGCTTGGACTTCCAGCAGGCATGCGTGAGCGTGTTTGATAGGAGTGAATGGAGACAAATGGTTTTTAATACTTGACGTGCTGTTGGAGTGTGAGCAAAGTAACATTTATGAAGGGGTTCAGGGAAACCGGCAGGCTGGACTTGAGTCCTGGAGATGGGAAATACAGTGCCTGCAGTCTGAAGGAGGGGTGTTAATGTTGCAGTTTAAAAATTGTAGTGTAAAGCACCCTTCTGGCAAAACAGTGATGGAGTGAATGATGGTGAAAGTTTTTCTTTTTCGGGCCACCCTGCCTTGGTGGGAATCGGCCAGTGTGATAATAAAAAAAAAAAAACATGTAATAGTAATTGAGAGATCATAATTGCCAAATTAAAAATGAGTTATGAAACTAGTATCATATATGTTTTAGCTAAATGAAAACTCTTTACAGTGTTGCAAGAATATGGAATAGGTGGTAAGTTATTAAATGCTGTAAAGAGTTTTTATGAGGATAGTGAGGCTCAGGTTAGGGTGTGTAGAAGAGAGGGAGACTACTTCCCAGTAAAAGTAGGTCTTAGACAGGGATGTGTAATGTCACCATGGTTGTTTAATATATTTATTGATGGGGTTGTAAAAGAAGTAAATGCTAGGGTGTTCGGGAGAGGAGTGGGATTAAATTATGGGGAATCAAATACAAAATGGGAATTGACACAATTACTTTTTGCTGATGATACTGTGCTTATGGGAGATTCTAAAGAAAAATTGCAATGGTTAGTGGATGAGTTTGGGAATGTGTGTAAAGGTAGAAAGTTGAAAGTGAATATAGAAAAGAGTAAGGTGATGAGGGTATCAAATGATTTAGATAAAGAAAAATTGGATATCAAATTGGGAATAAGGAGTATGGAAGAAGTGAATGTTTTCAGGTACTTGGGAGTTGACGTGTTGGCGGATGGATTTATGAAGGATGAGGTTAATCATAGAATTGATGAGGGAAAAATGGTGAGTGGTGCATTGAGGTATATGTGCAGTCAAAGAATGTTATCTATGGAGGCAAAGAAGGGAATATATGAGAGTATAGTAGTACCAACACTCTTATATGGGTGTGAAGCTTGGGTTGTGAATGCAGCAGCGAGGAGATGGTTGGAGGCAGTGGAGATGTCCTGTCTAAGCGCAATGTGTGGTGTAAACATTGTGCAGAAAATTCGGAGTGTGGAAATTAGGGGAAGGTGTGGAGTTAATAAAAGTATTAGTGAGAGGGCTGAAGAGGGGTTGTTGAGGTGGTTTGGTCATTTAGAGAGAATGGATCAAAGTAGAATGACATGGAGAACATTTAAATCGGTAGGAGAAGGAAGACAGGGTAGGGGTCATCCTCAAAAAGGTTGGAAGGAAGGGGTAAGGCAGGTTTTATGGGTGAGGGGCTTGGACTTCCAGCAGGCATGCATGAGCATGTTCGATAGGAGTGAATGGAGACGAATGGTATTTGGGACCTGACGATCTGTTGGAGTGTGAGCAGGGTAATATTTAGTGAAGGGATTCAGGGAAACCGGTTATTTTTATATAGCCGGACTTGAGTCCTGGAAATGGGAAGTACAATGCCTGCACTTTAAAGGAGGGGTTTCAGGATATTAGCAGTTTGGAGGGGTATGTTGTGTATCTTTATACATATATGCAAAAACAGTGATTAAGTGTGAGTGAGGTGAAAGTGGTGAATGATGATGAAAGTATTTTCTTTTTGGGGATTTTCTTTCTTTTTTGGGTCACCCTGCCTCGGTGAGAGACGGCCGACTTGTTGAAAAAAAAAAAATTCATTTCTGTTTCTTTAACTTAGTTTCTTGCCATACAGGAGCACAACTTCTTAAAATTCTTTTCTTCTTCGTCTTCTTGTATTAAATGACCTGCATGGCATTAGTACTTCTCATAAATAAATAAATAAATAAGTAAATAAATAAATAAATAGTCCAAACATAAGAATTATTACAAACCCCTGATTAATTGTGACTTAGCTATTGATATAATGAACACATGACTGAATATTAACAGTTTGGAGGGATATGTTGTGTATCTTTATACGTATATGCTTCTAAACTGTTGTGTTCTGAGCACCTCTGCAAAAACAGTGATAATGTGTGAGTGAGGTGAAAGTGTTGAATGATGATGAAAGTATTTTGTTTTGGGGGATTTTCTTTCTTTTTTGGGTCACCCTGCCTCGGTGGGAGACGGCCGACTTGTTGAAAAAAAAAAAATGACTGAATAAAAAATTATGCCTGTTTTTCTGATGTTAGATAATTTTCATTATTCAGCCTGGGCAACCCTTCCTTGTAGCAGATTGTGAGATGTGTCAGTGTGTTAACAATCTCTTGAGGTGTGACTCCACAACTTGTATCTCAACAACTCTTCCTTCAATAGAAATAACTGGCAAGGTAAGCAATGGATATACATACTAGTATAATGTAATAGTGCAATATTTATCTTCTAGTGAGTGTTTTGAGCATACATGATCTGTTAAGTAATGAACTTAAAGCAGTAGTTAGGTTACGCACGAATTGTAGGGAATATTTAATTTATGGGTAATTTTTTATGTATGCAATATATGGAAAAATAGTATTTGAATGAATGATGGTGAATATGTTTTCCTCTTTGAGTCACTCTGCATTTGTGGGAGACAGCCATTGAGGTAAAAAAATAATACTTGTATATGGATATTTATAATACAGTGGACCCCCGCATAACGATTACCTCCGAATGCGACCAATTATGTAAGTGTATTTATGTAAGTGCGTTTGCACGTGTATGTTTGGGGGTCTGAAATGGACTAATCTACTTCACAATATTTCTTAAGGGAAAAAATTTGGTCAGTACTGGCACCTGAACATACTTCTGGAGTGAAAAAATATCGTTAACCGGGGGTCCACTGTATCTGAATTCCAATAAATGACTGGGCATTTAAATGCAACTGTAGGTGAAGTAGCAGTAAGATGGATATAAAAGTAATGTAAATATATTGGAATAAAAAGTAGATTTGATTAAATCATTATTTTTCATACCAAATAAGGATGAATAAGGTAGCTAGGTAACACTGTTTAGGATGCTAAATGTGCCTCATGCAATAATATTAACTGCATAACTGAACAGTGATTAGTTGTGCATGGTCAGCATTTGTTCATCACTTATAACAATTCTTAAACTTAGCTTGCATTAATATAATTTTTTTTTTACTTATTTTGATTTTAGCTTGTGAAGCAGAGCACATTGTTGTCTTCGTCCACTGGGTATCTGTTTTTTTCTTACAACCATTCGTTTATTTCCTATGATACAGCTCTTGGCTACATGGCTGTGTTCAGCATAGCCTTTGCAAGCCAAAAAATACCAGTTACTTTTAATGAAAAGTCTAAACCTAGCGATCAGTTTAGTACTTTAATATACTTCTCTTAAATTATTTGGGTAAGCAAATTTTCCTGTTATCCATGGCTTTAGGAGTCATGTCACCTCCAGGACATGAACCCTGTGAGTTATGGTGGTCTGCTGTAGTTTGAAAGGTATATGGTAGGATTGTGAGTAATCTTACATAATATAATTTGTTCATGATTTTAGCCATGTATAAACGTAGGTAAGTAAATTTACTTATTTACATGATTCATTACCTTTGTAACTTGTGAGTTCATTAACTTTGTACCTAGTTCAGCTGTCAAAGCTTTGGGGGTCCAGTCCCTGGACCCATTATGTACCTCGGTAATCTTTTGACTACCACCCACAGGTTGGGTATGGGGTGCATAATTAATATATTAAACTAACAACTACATATTAAATTAAAAAGTCTTTATAAATGAGTAAGAAGGAAACTTTTTAAAAGTAAGAAGAGCAGAGCTTGTGACTTTTTAAGGAGGTTATAGAAAAGTACAAGACAAAAAAGTGCATATTTTTGTATTATTAGAAAAGTATTTAACCAAGTAAGTCCTTCTGTGAATTTCAGGTTATTTGTTGTGTTTGTGTCTGAGTTGTTTGTTTTTGTAATTCATTCATTACCTATACGTACTTAACTTGAGTTAGAAAGTACATACAGTATACACATACTATTATGTGTGTTGTTGCATATTAAAGTTATGGTGTCTTTCTTATGATACATATAAAGAGAACATCTGACTTGACTGTCATTTCATTAGAAAGAAAATTTTCATTTTTGTCTTAACAGCCTTTGCAATATCTCACTCTTGTGTGAGCGAGATATTGCACATTCTCTGCCAAAATGTAGCCATGAGTTTTGTTTCTGCAGTGAGTTTCTCATGTATTTTATAATTCACATTCCATTTTGTTTATCCTAGCTGCTTGTGTATTGACAATTAGTTATGAATATTTTAATGTTCAGTTAAAATTCCCTTATTATTTTTTTTAACTTTAAATAATAGCGCATTTGATATGATTCAGTATTGCTTTTTCAATCTTTATTTTAATACTTTTAATTTGATTTTTATTTACCAGCCTGTGTTTGAATGTAATAAATGGAGTTCTTGGTTGAGTGAATCAGTTCCCAGTCTGGGAACTGAGATGGAGCTTCTGTCTGACCTGCGCAGTAAATACCCAGAGTTGTGCTCAAGACCACGATATATTGAATGTCGAGTGAAAGATAGTGAGTATTTCTCTTGTATAGTGAGTATTGCTCTTAGTGAGTGTTGAGTAATAGGGAGCATTACAGTTAAAATTGCTGAATCATTCATACTTATTCATTTTTCACTTTTATAGTCAGCATTATTGTTCTTATCAGCAAGTAGTATAGAACTTATTCCTATAGATCCTTGTTCTCTAGCTACCTATTTGTAGTTACTGTACTTATTTGAGGTTGCCATGGAGAGGGGGCTAACTCCAGCTTTTTGTTCCCACCTTTTAATTTTCAACTGACTGATGTGCTTAAACCCTGTCATACCTGTTTATTTAATGTAAAGTGTGTTTGTTTGTGTGTAATGACATACTTTTGGCTACAGGGGTAGACATACTATCCTGATGTCTCATCTTCAGTTTTTAATATAGAATTATTTTTAAACTTTACAGTAAATATTAGACCTCTTCATTACCCTCCTGGAGTTCACCCCATTAATCACTAACTATAATTTTCTAAGGAAGTACTTTCATATGATTTCAGATTGAGTTCCCTTATTATTTCCAAAAAATTTCCAGTCTGTTTTTTTTATAGCCTCTCATGAGCATAGATGGTTGTCAGATCTTTTCTTTTATTTCCTTCCAAGGAAATTAAATTGAGTTGATTCATTCTCACTACATTGCTCATTATTCTTGATTCTGGAGCTCATTTTGTTTTACGGGTATTATATTTAAACTATTTTTGTTTTATATTTCTTTAAATTTGAGCAACATGAAAATTGTGTTCTATACTATATGTCCAACATACCTTATAAATATATGTAATATAAATTTGAAACATTGTTAGAGTAAGCACTAACTCTTTAGGCGTCCTAGTAGTGTCATTACCTATTTAAGTTTACAGTGAAGGGGGCAAACTTTGGTTGCTCTGCTTAACTTTCAACTGACTCATGTGAAATTTCCCTGTCTTACACACTTTTGAAATCCTGTAATAGGCATGCTTCCTCTGTGTCATTGTTTATTTACAAAGATCCTGTCCTTGTCTGTGCTGTCCATGTTCCAGATTACTTTGCTCATCATGTGAGGTAGTGTGATTTCTTATTTGTAGTTACGAATGCAGAGCTCTGCTCAGTGTATCCCGTCTGTTGTGTTTAGTTTGTTAAATAATTTGGTAAGGTTTCCATTGATTGTAGCACATACTGTACTACCTCCTCTTGTATCCTATCCCAGTTGTCTGTCACTCTGCCACGAGCATTAGAATCTTTAAAATAAATTACTGAAGGCTGTGTACCTGAAATGTAGGTTTACTCTTGTAGTTACATATAGGCAATTATGTGTACATGTTGTTTGGTTAGTTATGTTATGGCAAATATATGGATCAGTGACATTATTGACAGACCCTTGCTCAAATTCAAACCCATTTGCTTTCTCCACCAGCCCTTGAATCACCAGAAGCTGCAGGACAGATAGTGACTTGCCACAAAAGGAAGGGTCTTGAATGCTTGAACTCAGAAAATACTGAAAGCTGCAAGGTGAGAGAAAAATGAAGAGCAAATTCAACAGTATATCTTATTAATACTTGAAAAAAATTAAGTGAAAAACTTCTTTTATAATGTAGTTCTAAACAAATTTAATTCTAGGGATCTACAATACATATTGTAATATATAGAGTTAAAGGAAAGGTATGTTTTGAAATGTTATTTCATTGTTCATCAACAATTATTGCAACAGCAGCCAGTTGGTAAGTTTCTTATTTTAATGGTAATCAATATTGCACTCACTATTTACCTAATCTGTCTTCCAGCTTTCTTCTTCACTCATGTGTCTTTCCAAAAATCTTAATAAATTGATACAATATTTATTTCTTTATGCTGTACATATAATGTAGTTTACTTGTAATATAGCACTGGTAGACACAAAAGAAAACCACTAATTTTGCAATGCATTTTGGCCAAATAATTCATGGTTCACTTCCAGAGAGTTTTGAAGGCTTAGTTCCCAGAGATGTAGAGAACTTTCAGGTTTGGCCTTCAAATGCATTCCACATGTGCATGATGTTTACTTTCATAATTCTGTTTCTTTGCACACCAGTGTGAGAATATGAAAGCTTCACTTGTTTTTTTTTACTTATTTCAAGAAAAAACCAGTATGCACCCACCTGAGATTCTGTACTTTACTTTCTCTGAGAATGTTGAGGTCAATATTTCAACTGATAATCCAGTAATGGAACAGAACACAGTACTAAAATACATTACTGAATATACATTATGCATGCAACAGCTAAACTCAGTTATAGATTTGTTTATTCAGAATGAGATCTACTTTTTTAATGTCTTCACTAGTTATGCTTGACAGGTCATAGAATCAACATTAATAAGAAATTACTCAACAGTTTGAAGCTTCATCAGTCAAGGAGGATCTTACCTACAGTGCTCTCATCCTTTCATGAGATACTTTTAGTTCCTTTCATCAGCACAATAAAGGATCTTCCAGAAAGGTCTTACTCCTTGTAGATCACTTAATCACAAAGTTTAAGACATTTTCAACCCAAGGATTTCATTTTGCTCCATAAAACAGAAAATGTCAGGACACAAGGAGCCACTGATAGAGATCCAGAGGATTCCTTCAGAGAGTTTCACATCAAAATACAAGTCATGAGGGAAACATAAGAGAAATGGCCACTTTAACTTAACCAGCATAGGTGACTTTTGCCCTGTTGATCACTCAAGAGATTTTACAGTTGTTGTTCATTGGAAAGTTACCTCCCCCACACAGTTTGAGAGCTTTCAGGATTGGAGCTACTCATCTATATGTGGCTGCAGAGGTCGTATCTTAGCTCCTGGTCCCACCTTTCAGTTTCTGCTTGCCAAATTCACTCTCTCATAGCCTCATAGGCCCTATTTTGCCTGCTCATAAAGCTTTGTCTGCCTCCATTTTTTCACCAAGATCATTCCCCTTTCCAACCATCCTGAGACTGAAGAAATACTTTATGACCTCCCTGTGGCTCATCTGTCTTAACTTTCACCTGTGTCCCCAAGCTCCCATTTCTCACCTTTTAAACAGCCTGTTTCTGTCTATCCCATCAATTTTCCTGAGTATTTTGTACGTTTTTATCATATCTCCATGAGCTATAAGAGGCTAATACAATTTTGTTCTGATAATTAAAGAAGAGCATTAACAGAGTACAGGAAACAACTGTGTGTACTTTATTAACAGTTTTTTTTATCATCTGTACTAATATATTTTTGTTTTATAAAATATTTTTATTTCATACCTTGAATAATAGATGTGCTACAATTTTTATTCTTATGTAATCACTGCTTACAGGATTATGAAGTACGTTTCTTCTGTGAATGTGGTGATTTATCTAAATCAGACGAGGAAATACTAACAGAACCTACAACACGTAAGTCAACATAAATGCAGTATGGTTATCCCTTTAGAATTTGTGAGAGTTGTATTTCAAGAAGTTCTGTAAAACTAGAAAGTAAATACGTAGAAAATTATGTCAGCATAAAATATTTTGTTTTGCATTTTGGTTCATGTTGTGTTTCCAAGGCCACGTCTCTGATATATCACTAGTGAGGCACTCATCACAATTTGAATGAAATCATATGATTAGTTTTTTACTAGAGGTCATGTAGCAAACCTGATAAAAAAAATGTTGAGTGATCAAGACTAATTACAGGCTGCTCAGCTGTAAAAATATTGGAAAATGAAGCTTGCTAATAAGAAAGCTAGCAAATTTTTAGGGACAGCTGTACCTTAAAAGCCTGTAACAATTAGCACTCAGGACTGAGACCATGTTGCTGTCTAAAGAATTTGGAAAATACACTGTTATCTTGAATATATTGCTTAATCAGTTTTTAAATTAATTTTGATACCTTTTAATATTAAGTATTTTTTCATTAACCCTTTCAGTAGCGAAGGTCCTTATGTAATCTGTTTTGACCACAGCTTCCTCAGATGAATTGTAAGAAGTAAATTTTGGCCTAGATATGAAAGAATTGGTCAGCATAATATAAAAAAAATCCTGTCCCACATGGTGCATGATGGGTAAAGTAAAATTCTTGACCATGTGTCTGGATGACAATAGCAACTTTGAGGTGTTATCTAGGTTGGTTTTTATGGTTTTATTGGCTGTTTCTTCAAATAAAAGGATAGAATGGAAGATATACTAGTACTGAAATAGAGATGATTTTGAATGGCTTCAAGGTAGGAAGTAGCTCGAAATTAGGCTTAAATTAGCAGAAATATTCATTTTTTGCCTATTTTCCTGTATTATGGGTTTTTAATACATAAGAACATAAGAATGGAGGAACACTGCAGAAGGCCTACTGGCCCATGCGAGGCAGGTCCTTATCAAAACGACTACTACCTAAAGCTTCCCTAGAAATAACTCCTGTACCCAATGACACCAATCAAACCCAGCCCCTCCCACTCATATATTTGTCCAGTCTCTTCTTAAAGCTACCCAAGGTCCTAGCCCCTATCACCCCACTGGGAAGACTGTTCCACGCATCTACAACTCTGTTAGAAAACCAGTACTTACCTATGTCCTTTCTAAATCTAAATTTATCCAACTTAAATCCATTATTCCTGGTTCTTACCTGGTTCGACACCCTCAGTACTTTATTAATATCTCCTTTGTTTATGCCCGTCATCCACTTATACACTTCAATGATATCTCCCCTCATTCTACGCCTCTCCAGAGAGTGGAGATTTAAGGCTTTGAGTCTATCTTCATACGGGAGGTTCCTTACACAGTAAATCATTTTAGTCATTCTTCTCTGTATGTTCTCTAATGAGTCTATATCCATCCTGTAGTAAGGGGACCAAAACTGAGCAGCATAATCTAAATGAGGCCTCACTAGTGATGTATAGAGCTGTAAAATAACTTTTGGACTTCTGTTACTTATACTTCTTGAGATAAATCCAAGTAATCTGTTGGCCTTGTTGCGCACACTAAGGCACTGCTGTCTTGGCTTTAGATTTCTGCTTACCATGACTCCCAAGTCTTTTTCACATTCTGTATGATCAAGCTCTACTTCACCTAGATTATAGCTTCGAGGGTTATTTTCATTACCAAGGGCAAGTACATTACACTTATCCACATTGAACTTCATCTGCCATTTTTCAGACCAAGACATTAATTTGTCCAAATCGTCCTGGAGTTCATTGATATCCTCCTCAGAGTGAATTATACAGCCTATCTTTGTATCATCAGCAAATTTACTCATGTCACTCGTAATCCCTTCATCAAGGTCATTAATGTAAATTATGAACAAGAGAGGGCCTAAAACTGATCCTTGTGGAACGCCACTAGTGACTAATCTCCATTCAGATTTCACTCCATTAATGGTAACTCTCTGCTTTCTGTTGGTAAGCCATGCCTCAATCCATGCTAGATCTTTACCTCCTATACCATGAGCTGCCACTTTTCTTAAAGAGTCTCTTGTGAGGTACTCTATCAAAGGCTTTACTAAAATCCAAATAAACAATATCATATTCCTTATCACTGTCAACTGCCTCAAATGTTCTATTGAAGAACGTCAGTAAGTTTGTCAGGCAGGAACGACCTCTCGTGAATCCATGCTGAGATTCATTTATCAAGTTATGCTCTTCAAGGTGACTTCTGATAATGTCAGCTATAATTGATTCTAATAACTTGCCCACTATAGATGTCAGGCTTATTGGACGGTAATTTGAAGGAGAGGACTTATCCCCTGATTTGAATATAGGAACCACATTAGCCATCTTCCACAACTCTGGCACAACACCGGTAAGGATGGACGCATTGAATACACTCGTTAATGGCTGACTAAGCTCCATCTTGCATTCCTTAAGTACCCTGGAAAACAACTCATCGGGTCCCGGGGACTTATTTTGTTTCAGTTTGTCTATCTGTTTAATAACCATGTCCCTCGTGACAGTAATATTAGTTAACTTAAATTCATCAGGAACTAAATAATTGTTAATTACTGGAATCTCATTTACATCTTCCTGTGTAAAAACTGACAAAAAATAGTCATTAAATAAGGAACACATTTCCAGTTCATTATCCGTCAGCTGTCCATTCCCAGTTTTCAGAGGTCCTACTTTTTCCTTCACCTTCGTCCTATACACTTGAAAGAACCCCTTTGGATTAGTCTTTGATTCATTAGCAACTCTAATTTCATAGTCACGTTTAGCCTTTCTAATCGCCTTTTTTACTTCTCTTTTAAGCTGAACATATTGGTCAGTAAGGTTAACCTCTCCTCTTCTGATGCGCCTATAAATTCCCCTTTTCTCCCCTAATAGATGCTTTAACCTACTGTTAACCCATTTGGGATCATTATTATTAGACCTAATTTCTCTCTGGGGAATGTATATACTCTGGGCACTGTGTACATTATTAAGAAAATAATCATAAAAGCAGATCCCTTCATATTCATAAGTATGATTATCATCAATAAAATGATTAGCTAGATAACCCCAATCAAGATTAGACAGATGTTCCCTAAGTCCATTATAATCGGCAGAACGAAAATCAGGATATAATCATTGGGATACTGTAAATCAAGACAAATTGTTTCATACCATGGGCAGGGTTTGAACTCGTGGCGAGTGAATGATCTGTAAAAACTTGCATTTGTGGTCACAGTGGGACCTGTGCTAACCTCTCTACGGTATGTAAACATACCTAGTTGGATGAATCTTATTGTAGCCAGTTGGCCCAGCGGCTTACGCGCTGGCCAGGAGTTTTATGACTCATTCGCCAAGAGTTCAACCCCTGCCCGTGGTATTGTTTGTTTGCAATCGTGTCATTACGATTTCGTGAGTCAAGACCAGTTTTTCTTGGTTATATTTTATTAACTGAGAAGTAGAGTAAATTTTTTATTTTTTGTGTGATGAATTCAAAATGGAAGGCAAGTGTAATGCAGAAAAGGCCTGGGGACATAATTAATGAAAAGAGGAAATGTTCTAGTGCCTGGAATGTGTACAATCTTTATTTTGGACTCTATTTTTAAATTAGAAATTTTTTATTTTGTATAAAATTGGCAAATTACTTACTTCTGTGCACTTTATTAGGTAAGTTGTGATAGTTGAAGGGGCTGTTTCTGGTGCTTATTTGATAAAACAGAAGGAATGATAGTGAAATAGCTAAGAATTTGACTGAATGGAACAATGAAATATGCTTGATAAAAGGGTTCAAAGTGGGCAAAATTGCCAGTGCAATTTTTAACAATTTTTAGTAACTGTGTACCTTAAAAATGAGCACATTATTGTTTGTAGCAGAAATTTTGCAATTTACATTTTAAATTTAGATACAGTATTAATAGCATATGTCTTGACACAGTGAAGCTACACTGCTGTTATGAAGTAAATAGTTGATGGTTTAATAATGTAGCTACTTTAGGCCCAGAAAATATCAGATAATTTAATTTTATTGTGTATTGCTGTGTTGATACATGCTTCTTGTTTTATAACCACTGTATGTTGTTGCAGCATCCTCAACTACTTACCATGATGTATCTACTACCAATGTAACCACAGAGATCCCAATGTTAAATGATCGTAAGTTTATACTGGTACTTTTTTTTTCTGTTGTGTTATACTTGGGCCCATATCTCATTATCTTGGCCCTAGACATTCAGAATTGCAGAAATTTTAGGCATTTATAATTTTATACTAAAAGTATTATCCAGAGGGATGAGGAGGGGTTGCTGAGGTGGTTTGGACATTGAGAAAGGATGAAATAAAATAGAATGACTTGGAGGGAGTATAAATCTGTAGTGGAAGGAAGGCAGGGTGGGGGTTGTCCTAGGAAAGGTTGGAGGGAGGGGGTAAAGGAGGTTTTGTGTGTGAGGGGCTTAGACTTCCACCAAGCATATATGAGTATGTTAGATAGGAGCAAGTAGAGGCAAATGTTTTTTATGACTTGACGTGCTGTTGAAGTGTGAGCGGTATAACATTTATGAAGGGACTCATGGAAACCAGGTAGCCAGACTTGAGTCCTGGAAGTGGGAAGTACAGTGCCTGTGTTCTGAAGGAGGAGTGGAGATATGCCACAGTTTTTGAACTGTAGTTGTGCCGCTGGCAAGGCAGTGATGGAATGAATGATGATGAAAATTTTTCTTCTTTTTCAGGTCACCCTGCCTTGGTGGGAAATGGCCAATGTGTTAATAAAATATAAATAATTTTATTACTCTAAATGCCTATAGATACATTGATTCATGAGAACTCAAAGGGTTTTTATAGATCTTAAAATTATGTTGTATAGATGAAATGAGAATTTTTCTTATTTTATTGTCTGAGTTCCATTAGCTAAGCAAGTTACAGTGGTAATAAGCATAAAAACTCTACAACTATGTAGTTTTTTAGCTTTAAGTAACTTAAGTCTTAGTATGCCTAAAATTCTGTGCATGCTATGAACTTTTACTTTATTTTACCAAATATGCACAGTATTATGAATTGAAGTACTAGGTAACTATTATTATTATTATTATTATTATTATTATTATTATTATTATTATTATTATTGTCATTATTTTTTGGTATTGTTATCTGCAAGAATAATGTGTAGTATCCAACAGGGATGGGACAATACCTAAGTGTTTATTAATACCAATACTAAATTTTAGGCTGATGTCGATACTGAAACTCAAACTTGAGTGAGTACGTACTGATACTATAAAAATTAGCTGATACTGATACCATCAGAATTAGCCTATGCCCACAAATACTGATTCTTTGGCACACCCCTTGTACAGTATTCAGTTACATTATTAAAGGGAGTTGGTAAACATACTAAGAAAGAATAGGTACCAAAGGGATGCAAGAAACTAAGAAAATCTATGATAAATTAATACAAAAAGGCAGAACACGACAAGCATTGTTCTCCTGTATGAAAGGATAGATAATTACAGTACTATGAATTAGGTCACATAAATGCTACTACAGTGGAGTAAATTTAATATGTTACAGACATACTGGTCTAAGATACAGACAGTGGTGCTCTGTTAATTATGCAAATTATATTAGCTGTCCAGCTTAAAGGGTTGGGGGTGACCTGAACCAATCTTACTTTCTGTATCTCTTTTTTTTTATATAAAGGTTAGTTTAGTTAATAAATGAAAAGAATGTAAAAAAAAATACTTTATTTTGTTCAGTATATTGAACAAAAAGGCACAATACCAGGATTGGAACAATACACAGATAACCCACACATAGGAGAGAGAAACTTATGAACTGTGATATCAACACTTTTTTGGAAAATTAGTAATTTAATGAATGATGGCAAATGTATTTTCTTCTTTGGGTTACCTTAATTTGGTGGGAGATCCATTGATGTAAAAAAAAATCAGTAAACAAGTAGCATTAATAACATACTCATAAAAACTTTGGTTTTAAACATTAAATCTTCAGGCCTCAGTAACTGCAAATTTTTGGATTATTTCACTTATCTCTAATCCTTGGTAATGGTTTGTTCATTTGATATGGTTGCCAACACTTCAAACCAATTTTGTTTCATCAAGGAATGGAGATAATTTGGATTAAGTTAATATCTGAAAAACACCATTCTGCACTGACCACTGATAATAGCAATTTAACAATAATTTTCTGAACCACAACAGCACATGAAGTGGAAGATTTCATTGGGGAATAACTGTCTTCTAAATGATTCCACAAATATTTTAAATCTTTTTATAAGTTAATGTCAAAGATAGTCTTTCTGGTTATCTTGTGTAAGCTGAATCCTAAATCCATACAGTTCTTGTGTAGCTTATTGTCACTCATTTTGTTCCATTGTTTAGATTTTATAGAAATTGGATTTATTTGTTATGGTTTGTAATTAACCCAGACCCATCTTATTTTCTGTGTAAACTGTTCACGTTTTTCCTGTTGATTAATACCAATACTGAATTTTGTATTTTTTTTTCTGTCACTCTCTTGATATTTAGCTGCATTTAACTTGTGCCCTGAGACAGCATCTTGTTGGGTCACCCTTTAAGTCAGTCCTGTAGCTACTGTATTATTTATTTACAGTAGGTAAAGTTACTGCACTTTTCTGGTATGATAACGCAAAGGTTAATTTGAAAATTATGATTTAGAGATTTTTCAAACTAAAATTTAGAATGCCTGTTCTTATTTAACAAATTTTCTCTGATCAGTAAAGAGGCTTCGGGATGTGTAGATTGAATCAAAAGTTTTTTGAACACACAAGTTAATATTTTGATCATTATTAACTTATCTCTGGAAGGTATCTATATTATTTTAATATTGTCTTAATTGGAAATATGTTGCTGTTGAAGTGATAATGATTCAATGATACAATGTTCATTACAGAGTGTCCCTTGTCAATGACATATGAACAGTGTGCAATGCCCTGTGAAAGGATATGTATGTACCATCAGTCAGTCCTTCGACAGCATGGTGAATGTTTGGTAAGTAGCTTTGTCTCTTGACTGATTTTATTGTCATATTCGTGGCGATGTGTTAAATCTGTAGGGAGTCATGCAGTGCCTGGGAATGAAAAGTAATATGGTTTGTTTTGAGGAAGGGGAGGGTTACTCAGATTCCTTGGATCAAGAGCTCTTCATAATTATGGCAAACCTTCTCCCTGCCCTTCTTTTTTGAAGGAACTCAAATAATAGCAATAGAATCATTTAATTCTTTCAAAAACTTGATTGTTTATCAAAGAAATACTGGGGAAATTTAATGAAGTTATTTGGAACCAGAATTGAAAAGTAGACAAAATTTTTTGGGACAGGTAAATAATTTTGAAAAAACCCTTATAAAATCGGGTCATTTTTTTTTGCTTAATATTTTACTACTGATTAAGCATTACAGTATCCATCCTGTAAGATAAACAATTATTCTTCTTCTTTTAAATCAGTGAAATAATTAGACAGCCAAATAGACAAAACAATAATATTAAAAAATTACTTTTTTTAAAACAAAATATACATTGAAATGTTTTTTAATAAGTATATAAATTTTTTTTTGGGCCCTATTTCAAAATTTTTAGGCTCTACCTAAATAAATGTAAAAATTTTAGAAAAACATCACATCTATGAACTTCTGTAATAATTTGCTCATTTTTTTTTTTAATTTACACGACCAATTTTCGGGTTAATGTACCGTATGGTACTTTTCAAAATGTTTAACAAAAGGCTACATGAAAGACTACTGTATTCTAATTCTAATCCATGGGACACTGACAAAAGTTTGATGTCTATAAAACAATGTTAGACCAGAACTCTTTATAAATAGAGGAGTAAATCTAACTGGGAAAAATGGGGCTGCAAGGATAGCATGGGAAACCCAAACCTTTTTGATATCAGGGAAATTCTTAGCTTATAGGTCATTTATTTTTAACTTACAAAACTGTTGTTTGTATAGAAATCATTTTTAAAAAGGGTGGTTTTTGCTTACACATTTCATATGGACTTGGGAGGTCAGTGTGTATAGTACATAACATATAACTGTACTAATACAGTACTTATATAAAATATACTTTTGAACATTAAAATGGTAAAAATACCGACAGGTTTTTTAGGGGAAGAAACATATGCAACATTGGTATCTTTTTTCAAAACGTTCGCCCAAGTAGGCTTCTTTAGTCGAGTACAGAAAAGTTTATAGAAGCAAAGATATTTGAAGACGAGAATCAGCCATCACCCTTAAAAGTTTTGAGGTGGTCAGTCCCCATCTGTATCGACTGAAGAACCACTGGTTTGCGAAACGTTTCGAAAAAAAGATACCCAACTGTTCTATGTGTCTTACCCAACAAAATATACTTTTTATTTGTCACTGACAGTAATTGGAAAATTAATTGACTGCCAGATGCCCCGTTTGTAAGTACAGATGCAGCAACATGGAAAGTTTTGGATCACTACCTGTACATATGTCCTTTTTTTTAGTAAAAATATTTTGAGCAGTGTTTTTTAGACTTACAAGGGTACTGAAATTTTAAGAAAAAAGTGAAAAGTTTAAAAAAACTCATGCAAAAAAGACCTACATTTAAATTCAGATTCAAAAATTTAAATTCTTTTTTTTTTTATTTCAGTATACTAATATTTAAGTACAAATAAAAAAATATTGTAGGCACAAAGAAAGCCACTAATATGAAGTGCATTTTGGCAAACTATCCTAGTGCTTAAAGACTTACTTAGGAAATTTTTTACAAAGATGTCAGTGGACCCTCAGTTATTGGCAGTAATCCCTTTTCCGGGAAGGGTAGCCTAAAACGAAATGGCCGATAATTTTAAAAAAATTATTCCCCAAGAATTAATGTAAAAAATTAATGCATTCCAGACTCCCCCAAAAAAAAAAAATTTTCACAAAAAAAAAAAAAATTCGAGATTTATTATAGTTTTACATACTCAAAAACAATGAGAACTAAATAAAATGAATACATGAACAATTAAATCAGTACAGTATTACATACCTTTATTGAAGACTGTTGTTGGCTTATGGAAGATAGGGAGGAGGAGAGTATTGTTTGGAAGGGGAATCCCCCTTCATAAGGCTTTGGGGTATTAAAGCCCTAATCTGGGGGTTACTTCTTTTCTTTGTCTTTTAATGCCACTAGGACCAGCTTGAGAGTCACTGGACCCCTGTCACACAAAATATCTGCCCAGAGAGCTCTGCTGCTGGCATCTCTTCAAGATTTCCCTGAAGTGGGACAAGGTTCTGTCACTGAACCTGTTGCAGATGTAGCATGTTTCAGTTTGGTCAGGGTGATATTTCTCAGCAAAAGCTTGCACCCTAGTCCACATTGCACAAATCTCCTTAATCTCCAAAGAAGGCACCTCCTTCACTCCCTCTTCCTCCTCCTCTGAAGCAAGTTCCTGAGCTGTGGTCTTGTGCTGTTCCAGATGAAGCTCTTGCAGCTCTTCAGTGGTTAACTCTTCCCTGTGGTCATCCACCAACTCTTCCACATCCTCACCACCCACTAACCTCCAACCCCATGGACTTGCCCAGAGATACAATGGATTCCACAGTAGGCATGGGGTCCTCAGGGTCAGCCCCAAACCCTTCAGAATCTCTCTCTTGGACACATTTTGGCCACAATTTTCTCCAAGCAGAGTTCAAAGTCCTGGAAATCACTCCCTCCCAAGCCTTACCTATAAGGCTTATGTAATGGAGGATATTGAAGTGATTCCTCCAGAACTCTCTTAGGGTCAAATCTGTGTCCAAGGTTACTTCAAAGCACCTTTGAAACACTGCTTTGGTGTAGTTTTTTGAAGTTAGAAATGACCTGCTGGTCCATGGGCTGGATGAGAGGAGTGGTGTTAGGAGGCAAGAACTTCACTGTGATGAAACAGAATTCCACAGACAATAGGTCTACCAAGTTTGGAGGATGAGCAGGAGCATTGTCCAGTACCAGGAGGCACTTGAGTGGCAATGTATGTTCCAGGAGGTATGTTTTCATACTCGGGCCAAACACAAATTTGCCTTGTGACCCATGCATTATTGTTAGCCCTCCACATCACAAACAATTTACTCTTGAAACCATTGTGCTTCTCGAACACTTTGGGATTTTCAGAGTGATACACCAGTAAAGGCTTCACTTTGAAATCCCCAGTAGTGTTAGCACAGAACAAAAGAGTAAGCCTGTATTTCATAGGCTTGTGTCCAGGCACGGTCTTTTCCTCCTTCGTAGTGTAGGTCCTCTTTGGCATTTTCTTCCAAAACAGGCCTGTTTCGTCACAACTGAACACTTGTTGGGGAGGAATCCTTTAGCCTCTACGTACCCCTTGAAATCTTGCACAAAATTTTCAGCCGCACATTTATCAGAACTGGCAGCCTCTCCATGCCTTACCACACTGTGTATGCCACTACACTTCTTAAATCTCTCAAACCATCCTTTGCTGGCCCTAAATTCACTAACAGCAGCACTTGTTCCAAGCATTTTATTTACAAGATCCGCATACAACTGCTTTGCCTTCTCACAAATCACTGACTACAGTACACTATCTCCCGCTAATTGTTTTTCCCTGATCCACAACAATAATAACTTTTCTGTATCTTCCATTATTGGTGACCTTTGTTTCATTATCACATTTACTCCTTTTGCAACATCAGCTTCCTTGATTTGTTCTTTCTTTGTTAGGATGGAAGTGATGGTAGATTTGTTTTTCCCATACATCCTGGCAAGTTCCAACACTTGCATACCACTCTCAGATTTTCCAATCACTTCTCTCTTAAATTCCATCATGCTTCTCACTTTCTTTACCACAGTAACTTTACTAGGAACTTTCTTTGGGGTCATGCTTACTTATTTCGCAGTTGCACTTAATGAATAACAAAGAAAAACACTGATTTATAGCAAAATGTTTGGATGAATGAGCAGAAGCTTCCTCACTCAGCCAACGACACAGCTACACAGACTCAGGAACGCGAGACCATCGCTGGCTGATAAGCGAAATAACGTCCGATAACTAGAAGCCGAAAAATCTGCTGATAAGCGAGTTGGCCGGTAGGTGAGTTGGCCGATAAGCAGAACGGTTGATAACCGAGGGTTCACTGTATCATACAGAGATAAATTGATGGAAACTGAATGACTAGAGTTTTAGTGGTAATAAAGTACTTAAATGTTTTTGAGATTGTAACTCCATATTATATTGTCTTAATTAGCTATATGATGAAATTGTAATATACATAAATTGACTGTAATATATTTTTTTTGTGATGCAACTGTGCCTGGTGTGATCTTTGTAATTTTTTTGAGCTTCTGCTCATAGGATGACCATGGGGTTCACATAAGAAGAACATAAGAATGAAGGAACACTGCAGAAGGCCTACTGGCCCATGCGAGGCAGGTCCAAGTCTCCTACCGGCTTAAGCCAATGCACCCAACCTAGTCAGGTCAGGTCACATTGACTTAAGGGAGGAACACGGCAACCGACCTGTTAGCACAAGCTATCAGGTCTAACTCACACCCACCCACATCTACTCATGTATTTATCCAACCTATTTTTAAAGCTACACAACGTTCTGGCCTCTATAACGGTACTTGGGAGTTTGTTCCACTCATCCACAACTCTATTACCAAACCAGTACTTTCCTATATCCTTCCTGAATCTGAATTTTTCCAACTTAAAACCATTGCTGCGAGTCCTGTCTAGGCTAGATATTTTCAGCACACTATTTACATCCCCTTTATTTATTCCTGTCTTCCATTTATACACCTCAATCATATCCCCCCCTAATTCTACGTCTTTCTAGAGAGTGCAGTTTCAGGGCCCTTAGTCTATCCTCATAGGGAAGGTTTCTGATACATGGGATCATCTTTGTCATCCTCCTTTGTACATTTTCCAGAGAATTTATATCCATTCTGTAATACGGTGACCAAAACTGTGCAGCATAATCTAAATGAGGCCTAACCAAGGATGTATAGAGTTGAAGAACAACCTGAGGACTCCTATTATTTATGCTTCTTGATATGAAGCCAAGGATTCTATTAGCTTTATTGCGAACACATAAACAATATGAAATTCACAAATGGTTAAAAACCTGTCAAATGCTGTTGATATTTGGTATAAACCTTTTTTTTTTTTTTTTTTTGACTAAAGTGGACATGTTATTAATGTGTGAATACGTAGCTTCCTATTACTCTTTATTCCCTTACTCCACCCCTAATGCTAACTTTGTGTTGGCACAACCAATCCTCCTTCGTCCACATAATCTTGTTAGTGGCTGAAATCTTTGTTGCCATGGATCTTCTATCAGAACAAGTAGGACTGTGACATTACTAAAGAAGCTAGTAATTAGTACATCCTGTAGGAAGACTGCAAACTTCTATCAGTAGCAGGTTGAAAATGTGGTGCAGAAGTTAATATTTCCGAGGGTCACATTAGTCAGTAATGTCTATTCCCATCTGGAACACAGCTAGAAAGTGAATGACTGTCAATGTGTTTTTTCTTTGGATCATCTTACCTTGATAGTAAACAGCCAATTATGTACAGAAATAAGCACATACTGTACATGTTTGTTTTCTAGTAATATACAGTGGTAAACTGTACAGTAATAAAAATGTTCTTTTATTTATGTACTATAAGAGAAATCAGTAGTTTTTCCATTGCAGCTTGATGATAACTGTGCACCTGGATGTGTTGAGAGAACCAAGACAAACACCTGTCCACCGGGCTTCTTCATGATTAACGAAGCAAGATGTGTTGCCATAGCAGACTGTAACTGCAGACTTCCTAATGGACAGGCTTTACCAGTAGGTTTCCAATATATAGTCAGAAAAAGATTTAAAATTACTAACCATTGTATTACAGTGAATAAAATGCTTCTTTGGTTATCCATTGAATGGATATATAATGTCTTTATATGTACTGTACTACATTGAAATAATATTGCTAACACTTCTTGATGTTTGTTGGGCATGACTTGCAGTATCTGATTTATTTAAGCTTTATACCTATCCTTGATTTTGAACAGAAACTAATGAAACTTACACTTTATACAGTTTAGAAAGCAATGGAATAAATTACTTTGCATGTTCTTGAGCAAGTAATAAGTTAATAGGAAGGAAATAAGATAGATTACTTTACAGGCTATTGAACAAAGAATGAGTTAGTAAAACTGAAGTAAGATAGATTACTTTGTATGCTGTTGAGTAAGTAATAATTTAATAGAAATGGAATAAGATAGATCACTTTATATGCTATTGAGCAAAGAATCAATTAGTCTACCACATAAACACTGTAGAGTGTCTAGTTTTAACCAGTCTGCATTATTTACCATTGCAAATTCTTTTTAAAGATATAGTAATTCATGTTTAAATTGTACTTAGTGAAAAATATCTACTGGCATGTGCACTAGATTATTCATAGTACTCACAGTATCTGTGAGCTATGTAGATTGTGCTGCTCTTTAAGTTACCAATGTATAGATAACTAAGTCATAATTCTAGCTATATTTTGTCTGAACGAAACAGGCTGGTATATGGTATGATGTATCTACATGTGAGCGCTGCATGTGTCTTAACAACAATTTGTTGTGCAGTCATTCCGATGAGTGCGTTGACCTGCCTACTGAACCCACTCTTGTCACCAGTATGCTCCCTACCATAAAACACACACCAAGTTTTTCAACCACTTTTAATCCCTATGATCATATTGAAAGCTCTGTAAGGTATGTTATTGTGAAATTAAATTTCTACTCCATACTCCCTGTGTATATGTGCAACTGTACTCAGAATTTTGCTTTTGCCTGTAGCCTTATTTTCTTATAATTTGTTTGATGTCTGTAACTTGTTTGCTTTTGAGAAAAATTATTGTTAGTCATTTATTTTCCCTGGGTTTTCCCATTATACTGCAAATTGAATGATTTTGCAAATTACTTGATTTAGTAACCCTTTAACTGTCCAAATGTAGATCTATGTTCTTACCGCTAGCGCTCCAAACGTAGATCAGCATTTTATTTTTCATGATACCACTGGTAGTGTCATCCTGCCAGAATGTCTTATAACCTATGCCCTAAGTAAAGAGAAACAATTCTGGAACATGTGTAATACGTGTTCGGCAGGCCAGCTGGCTGGGTGGCCGCCTAGCTAGCTAGCTGGCTGGCTGGCCGGCTGGCTGGCCGGCTGACTGATTGACTTTGGCTGTCTTTATCTCCCTCTGTCTGCTCTATCTCTGTCTCTGTTTTTCTATCTCTGTCTCACAGGTACACATAAATACAGTTATTATTCATAGTGTAAATTACCTAGGATAACCCAAAAAAAATCTGGACAAAGTGCTATACTGTACTTGTAGATATAAGGCATAATAAGCATGACTGGCAAGTAATACGCATTTTCACTTGTTCAGGAATCAGATGTGATGACTCTGCATCTCTCTCTGAGACAGAAAGAGAGACAAGCAGAGACAGGAAGACAGATAAGCAGAGACAGAGATAAACAGAGACAGAGCTAGACAGACACAGACAGACAGGGAGATAGACAGATACACAGACAAACAGATAGACAGGCATGTTTATGTGTAGCAGTGAAAACAAATAAATCCAAGGCAGTGCGTGATTATCAAACATCACTCCACTCCTGCACTGTCAGCAGTGGAGTGACACTCGTCTTACACCATGCTTCAAGGAGTTTCATATATACTCCAGCATGTCTAAATCATTGCTGGGACCTATAAATACTTTGTATGTATATATTTCTAGACAATAGTATGTGACCAAGGCAGGTGGAAATGTTCACCTGTCAGTGTGGCTGTAACTATTTGAGTGAGATTTCAGTGTCTAATATTAGTGTCAGAACAAACATTGGCTATGAAATCACAAGAACTACTTCAAATTTAATTATCAGAACATAAAAATTATATAAATTAAAAAAGAAACGAGGAAAAAAGGTATATCGGCAACACTTCTGCAAGCAGCAGGGCTCCATGTTGCCGTCAGGTGAGCATCCAGCACCTGCTTCGCGGCCTTATATCTCAGTAAGAACTAACCCTAAATTTTTTTTTTTTTGGTTTTATTACACACAGAAAACTGACCTCTTTAATTTTTTTTTTTTCAAAATATTCAGAACGCTGGGCAAGAGAACCTAGATCTGCATTTGGACAGTTAAGGGGTTAAGAGTTTAACAAAACACAAAAAATTAACATTTTTGCATGATAAACTTGCTCTTCATTTAATGTGCAGGAAAAGCATTCTAAGAAAAGGCAAGGACAGTCAGCTACAGCCTGACAGGCTGCTGCAATTAGCTGGAGGAGGTTTTAGTCTTCACCAGTCCTTGTGCTGAAAGACCTACACAGATTCAGTACTTCATGAATTATGTTGCTCTCTGAGAAAAGGTGTTTGATGATAATTCTTGCTACACGAACAGAGTTGTCCAGGGTAAATTTTTTCTTGTATTATGAGAGGGCTGAGTGTACTTTGTATCCAAACAAGTGTTCCCACTATATTTACTATTACTTCAAGCAATATTTTTGTGTCTGTATACATCCTACTACATCATACTATGCTACTGTTCAGTAGCATAGCATCTGGAGAGTTGTGTATTTATGTCTATTTCAATAGTTTACCATTTTATACAGAATGGCATTAAATCCAGAAAATATTTCCATCTCTGTTTACTCATTTATTTTACTATGATACAAAATATCAAAGCATATTCAGCATATACGTATTTGTTGTTTTTGTTAAGGCAGCTCTTTTTTTTATTAACACACTGGCCATTTCCCACCAAGGCAGCTCAGGTTATGTATATATATACTGTATTTGCTCTTTTACTGGGAAGTTATTAAGCTACTTAGTACTGAAGAATGCATTTTAACTTTGCACTACAGTATTACATTAGTATAAATGTAGTTAGTAACTGATCAGTTCAGTAGGTCTCTTGATATTTATGACTTTATAATGGCTTTATGTATTGCTGCTACAAGTGATTAATAGTATTGGTAGTAATGAGCATGTGAAATTATGTTACAATAAAGTTGCTCTACATTTAATATATACTGTTCTGTATATTGCCAGATGTAATGACTGGTCACCCTACTATAAAAAAGAAGAGAAGGAGAGTGAGGGGTTAATTTTGAGTTTGGATATGCTTCGCACTCGCAGAGAATTTGTCTGTGAAAATCCAGTTAATGCAACCTGCAGAGAAGTTATTAGTAAGTATCATTTTTAATAATGCACTTTGATTATAGCCTTCAGTTACATATATAGGTAGTAGGTTGGTAAACAGCAACCGCCCAGGGAGGTACTACCGTCCTGCCAAGTGAGTGTACAACGAAAACCTGTAATTGTTTTACATGATGGTAGGATTGCTGGTGTCTTTTGTCTGTCTCATAAACATGCAAGATTTCAGGTACGTCTTGTTACTTCTACTTGCACTTAAGTCACACTACACATACATGTACAAGCATATATATACACACCCCTCTAGGTATTCTTCTATTTTCTGTCTAGTTCTTGTTCTTGTTTATTTCCTCTTATCTTCATGGGGAAGTGGAACAGAATTCTTCCTCTGTAAGCCATGCGTGTTGTAAGAGGCGACTAAAATGCCGGGAGCAAGGGGCTAGTAACCCCTTCTCCCGTATAAATTACTAAATTTAAAAGAGAAACTTTCGTTTTTCTTTTTGGGCCACCCTGCCTTGGTGGGATATGGCCGGTGTGTTGAATGAAAGATTTATATTTCTGAATTAATCATAAAATATGTAATTACTATATATATTAGGTCTATTTACATAAAGCTGTTCTCAATATTCCTCATCCAGTTTTTCTTAATTTTAACAAATGCAGTAATTATCATTAAGTAACCCCAAGTCAGTTTTGAGTAGCTATTTTATAAAAGCACTAACACACAATATCCTTCCACAGCCAAGCTTCCTGCTGCTGCTCTTGGACAAATATTAACCTGTGATGCAGTGGAGGGTCTCAAGTGCTTGAATTTAGATAATGACAAGGACTGTTATAACTACGAAATCTCATTCTTCTGTGAATGTGATGAAACAACCCCTGTGTCAACAACTGTTGTCAGTAAGTATTGCTAGGCTCTAGATATATTTTGGGAAGACTAGAAGATTAATGCCTCCATTTTGTGCTTTAGTGACTTACAGGAAGTGGTTTCAAATATGAGCATGATTAGTGAAGACTTAATTAACACGATAAACAAATGCACCCTTGGAGATGTGCTTTCCAGAATGAGATTAGATTACAACAAAGTTAAGCTTTCACAAACATAACAATTGCATCCCTTCTCTGGGAGTCATTCATAACACATGGTCATCGGTAAGCCTGTTGACAGTATTGAGTTTGCAATATAAGCAAGAAGCCTTCAAGAACTTGCACTGCCACAGCTAACAGCGAAACACTTAATATATAGCCTAACCCATTACTGTTTTGATGAAAAATAATCAAAGCAATTTTGGAGTGGTGTATAAGAAAATTTTCATTTGGACCACTGTGGTAATGAAATTCTTAATCTGTTTTTCAATGAGTTGACTCATAGTTCCTATAGCAACTATTGTACTGGGTAATCACCTCAGAAATGCACATGGTGATCTAAACCAGTCATCTAATACACCAAATATCATGAACATTTTATACAATAAAATAATATATATATTTTTAACACCTCCTCACCTCCCACCACCAAACACCTCCTCACCTCCCACCACCAAACACCTCCTCACCTCCCACCAAGACAAGGTGACCTAAAAAAAAGGAGGGGGGGGGGAACACATTCACTGTCATTCACCCAGTTGTTGTCTTGCCTGAAGTGCTGACACCATATTTCAGATGACCCTTAACCCTTTGAGGGTTTTCGTCGTACTAGTACGTCTTACGCGTAGGGGTTTTTGACGTACTAGTACTCATAAATTCTAGCGGCCTCAAATCTAGTGGGAGAAAGCTGGTAGGCCTTCATATGAAAGAATGGGTCTATGTGGTCAGTGTGCACAGTCTAAAAAAAATCCTGCAGCACACAGTGCATAATGAGAAAAAAAAAACTTTGACCATTTTTTTTTAATAAATCAGCGACTTTGCAGTGTATTTTCGTATGGTATTTATTGTTGTATTCTAGTTTTCTTGGTCTCATTTTATAGAATGGAAGACATATTACAGAAATTGAGATGATTTTGACTGGTTTTACAATGAAAGGTGCCTTGAAATTGAGCTCAAAGTAGCAGAAATGTTTGATTTTTACCAAACTTCAAAAGTAAACAAATCGTGCCAAGCGTGCAATACACGTCAACTGGTGAGTCTAATATTCTTTCACAAGTGCACCAATAATATTTATACCATTTTTTACACTAATGCAGTAGTCTGCATAACAGTAAATCTTATATTTTTTGTGAAAATAAAAATTCAAAGTGGAAAGCAAACGAATATAAGAGGGGCCTTGAGACGTGACTAATGACTAGAGGAAATGTCATTTTAGTGCCAGGAATGTCTTTCTTGTTTATTCTGGACCCTATTCGGAAATTGGCATCTTCTGAAATTTGTGTGAAATTGGCAAAATTGCTAAATTCTGACCACTGTACTGGATAGTTGAATTTCATAAATGAGTGGTTACTTGCACCCATTCGATAGAAAAAATGGAGTTCTAGCGAAATATTCATGTTTTTTGTCGACTAGTACAGTGAAATTGGCCGAAAATGGGGCTCAAAGTGGGCAAAATCGCCGATGCGTAAACATCGCCGAGACCGCTAACTTTGCGAGAGCATAATTCCGTAAGTTTTCTATCAAATTTCAAACTTTTGGTGTCTTTATGATCGGGAAAAGATTCTCTATCTTTTCATAAGAGAAAATAATTTTTTTTTTTTTTTAAATCTGGCCGACCCTGAGAACGAGTTTCGGAGAGGGCCTGTCGACCCTCAAAGGGTTAAGTCTGATGTTCTAGCCCCTAGCACTCAAAACTTCCTTTACCCCCTCCCTTAAACATTTCCTGGGATGACCCCTACCTCTCCTTCCACCTCTTATTCATTTTGTTTTGGTACATTGTTTCTAAATGCACAAATCACTCCAACAACCCCTCCTCAGCTTTCTGAGTATTACTTTTTGGTAACTCCACATCCTCTTTTAATACCCACGCTCTGAATTTACTGCATAATATTCACATCACACATCACCCTCAAACATGACATTTCCAATGCCTCCATCTTCATCCTCGCTGTAATATTCAGTGTCCATTCTTCACACACATATAACAGTGTTACCACCACTATATTCTGGTACATTGTGTTCTTTTTGCCTCCATGGATATAAGGTTCTTTGTCTGCACAGATACCTCAACACACCACCCACATTTTTTCCCCAAGCCAGTTCTCTGGTTCAGTGCCTCTTTCATAGACTCATCTGATGACAGATCACCTCTCAGATATCTGAATACATTAATTTTGTCCATACTCCCTCCCTCCATTATAATATCCACTCTTTCATTTCCTAGATTTTTTTTTTGTTTGTTACTCTCATCACCTTGCTCTTACCTGTGTTCATTTTTAATTTCCTTTTTTTTATATACTCTCCCAGATTCATGTACAGTATAACTTTAACAATGTCTTGTGTGAACTTAGAAAACTAGTGAAGAATCTCTCTTCATGGTTACATGAATGATTAACCAGTGATTCATTCATGTGTATAACAGTTCACATCTAGAAATTTAGGGGAAGCAGCTGGTGTTTTAACCCTTTGAGGGTTTTCGTCGTACTAGTACGTCTTACGCGTAGGGGTTTTTGACGTACTAGTACTCATAAATTCTAGCGGCCTCAAATCTAGTGGGAGAAAGCTGGTAGGCCTTCATATGAAAGAATGGGTCTATGTGGTCAGTGTGCACAGTCTAAAAAAAATCCTGCAGCACACAGTGCATAATGAGAAAAAAAAACTTTGACCATTTTTTTTTAATAAATCAGCGACTTTGCAGTGTATTTTCGTATGGTATTTATTGTTGTATTCTAGTTTTCTTGGTCTTATTTTATAGAATGGAAGACATATTACAGAAATTGAGATGATTTTGACTGGTTTTACAAAGAAAGGTGCCTTGAAATTGAGCTCAAAGTAGCAGAAATGTTCGATTTTTACCAAAATTCAAAAGTAAACAAATCGTGCCAAGCATGCAATACACGTCAACTGGTGAGTCTAATATTCTTTCACAAGTGCACCAATAATATTTATACCATTTTTTACACTAATGCAGAACTCTGCATAACAGTAAATCTTATATTTTTTGTGAAAATAAAAATTCAAAGTGGAAAGCAAAAGAATATAAGAGGGGCCTTGAGACATGACTAATGACTAGAGGAAATGTCATTTTAGTGCCAGGAATGTCTTTCTTGTTTATTCTGGACCCTATTTGGAAATTGGCATCTTTTGAAATTTGTGTGAAATTGGCAAAATTGCTAAATTCTGACCACTGTACTGGATAGTTGAATTTCATAAATGAGTGGTTTCTTGCACCCATTCGATAGAACAAATGGAGTTCTAGCGAAATATTCATGTTTTTTGTCGACTAGTACAGTGAAATTGGCCGAAAATGGGGCTCAAAGTGGGCAAAATCGCCGATGCGTAAACATCGCCGAGACCGCTAACTTTGCGAGAGCATAATTCCGTAAGTTTTCTATCAAATTTCAAACTTTTGGTGTCTTTATGATCGGGAAAAGATTCTCTATATTTTCATAAGAGAAAATAATTTTTTTTTTTTTTAAATTTGGCCGACCCTGAGAACGAGTTTCGGAGAGGGCCTGTCGACCCTCAAAGGGTTAAAAAAAGTTAATGACATAATTTTTTTTCTGATGGTGCTCATTCTAGATTATGAAAAATTTATAATGCTCTGCATTATATAAATCAAGTCAGACCCCAGACTCTCATCTCATTTTATGCTGAAATACCTTATTCTATTTTAGACAATACTGTATTAATTTGAGATTCTCCATGAAAGAGAAGTTTATGTAGAGTACATATATTTATTGACTATTCCACATTCATTTTGTAATTCAAATTGTAATTAGAGTGTACTCCATAATATCAAGTACAAAATTTGTTTTCCCAGTAGTTTTACTTGTGTCAGTGTGCAAAATTGTGATGTGTCTCAATAATGTAAATAATTTCTCTTGTTTATCTGTTGTGACTGAGCAGCTCTGGGATCAACTACTACTCTGGTACCATGTGATGCCTGGTCACCATGGATCAATGACATTAAACCCTGGCAGGCAGATGGTGATACTGAATTCAAGACTTTACAACAGCTGCGAGACAATTACCAGTTTTGTCTGGAGGTTAGTATATGCTTGCCAACTTAAATTTATAATGTTTCAACTTATCAAAGAATCATTTGTAACATTGAAACTATTAGCTTTTATAAGAAAGCAATACCAAGTATGATCATGTGTCAAGTTTTTAAACACAGATACACTTTCACTAAGCAATTATTTTATCACTAGTAATATTTTTTTTGACCTCATTCATATATTGGGGGTCCCAGTGTTGATTTTATCCTCATGTCATAGTATGGAAGCTGTCACATACTACTGACTTGATTACAAATCTTTTTAACCGAAACATATGTACAGTTAAGTAGAAAATGGACACAAAAGAAAATTATGTATGTTTTCTAGTTTCATTATCACCAAAAATGTTTTGTCATTTTTGCATTGATATATTAATTTTCCAAAAGAGTGCAATATGGACAGCTATTCAACATATATATCAGGCACTTCTTCAACAGTCTTTGTATAATATCCTTGACATTTTGTTGGGAGTGACATCTAAATTGTCATATCTGGGTGCATCTAAAAAGACAGTGATTATCTGTGAATGATGGTCAGAGTGTTTCTTCCTTTTTTGGGTCACCCTGCCTCAGTGGGAGATGGCTCGTGTGTTGAAAAAAAAAATGATCTCTTGTACAGTACATGGAAAAAACATAGTTATGCAGTGCATTTCAAACGGACTTATTAAATTTATAATAAACTAACTATAAAAAGTATATTACATAGAAGTGCATGAGAATTTAATGAAGTGACAAGGCGGTAGGAGAATGAAGTACAGTAAGTTTTCTTCTTAGTGAAAAGAGGAAAACAAATACAAAATTAATTAATTGGTGGTATGTATGTAGTTTGTCATGAGAAATATGAATATTTTTTCATAGTTTGAGACTTAGTCATATGATGATCTAGGAACCATTTTGATTACTAGACTAAATCCTTTCACTGACTCACCAGTCATCCTTATAACATATTAAAAAACAACTTCATAAAATGTAATAGTAGGTTTTTTACCCCCATACAAAAATCAGCGGATCACCACATAGATGTTCCTACAAACTGCTTTTCTCTGCTTGTAGGTCCCTGTTCAAAGCTGCTACATGGCCTCTGTGTTGCAGCTCTTTTTGTAAAATTGCTTTGTATTCTTGCACAATAAACCTTCACCATGGTTGCTCACTATATTTATAGATGGAGCAGTAAGAGCAGTGAATGCTTGGGTGTTGGCAAGAGGTGTGGGGTTAAAATATAAAGAATCTAACACGAAGTGAGAGTTGTCACATTTGCTCTTTGCTAATGACACTGTGCTTTTGGGAGATTCTTTGGAGAAGTTGCAGAGGTTGGTGGATGAGTTTGGTAGGGTATGTAAAAGAAGGAAGTTAAAAGTGAAAATAGGAGAGAGTAAGGCGATGAGGATTACAAAAAATTAGGTAACGGAAGATTGGATATCAGTTTGGAGGGAGAGAGTATGGAAGAGGTGAATGTGTTCAGATATTTGGGAGTGGACATATCAGCAGATGGGTCTATGAAGGATGAGGTGAATCATAGAATTGATGAGGGGAAGAAGGTGAGTGGTGCACTGAGGAGTCTGTGGAGACAAAGAAATTTATCCATGAAAGCAAAGAGGGGAATGTATGAGAGTATAGTTATACCAACACTCTTGTATGGGTGTGAGGCATGGGTTGTGAATGTTGCAACAAGGAGAAGGCTGGAGTCAGTGGAGATGTCAAAGGTGAGTGGTGCACTGAGGAGTCTGTGGAGACAAAGAACTTTATCCATGAAAGCAAAGAGGGGAATGTATGAGAGTATGGTTATACCAACACTCTTGTATGGGTGTGAGGCATGGGTTGTGAATGTTGCAACAAGGAGAAGGCTGGAGGCAGTGGAGATGTCAAAGGTGAGTGGTGCACTGAGGAGTCTGTGGAGACAAAGAACTTTATCCATGAAAGCAAAGAGGGGAATGTATAAGAGTATAGTTGTACCAACACTCTTTTATGGGTGTGAAGCATGGGTGATGAATGTCGCAATGAGGAGAAGGCTGGAGGCATTGGAGATGTCATGTCTGAGGGCAATGTGTGGTGTGAATATAATGCAGAGAATCCTTAGTTTGGAGATTAGGAGGAGATGTGGGATTACCAAAACTATTATCCAGAGGGCTGAGGAGGGGTTATTGAGATGGTATGGACATGTAGAGAGGATGGAACGAAATAGAATGACTTTAAGAGTATACAATTCTGTAGTGGAGGGGATGTGGGGTAGGGATCAGCTTAGGCTAGGTTGGAAGAGGGGGGTAAAGGAGGTTTTGTGTGCAAGGGGCTTAGACTTCCAGCAAACATGTGTGAGCATGTTAGTCAGGAGAGAATGGAGACAAATGGTTTTTAGGACTTGACGTACTGTTGCAGTGTATGCAAGGTAATATTTATGAAGGGATTCAAGGAAATCTGCAGGCTAGACTTGAGTCCTGGAGATGGGAAATGCAGTGTCTCACTCTGAAGGAGGGGTGTTAATATTGCAGTTTTATAACTGTAGTGTAGGCATGCCTCTGGCAAGACAGTGATGGAATGAATGATGATGAAAGTATTTTTTTTTTTTGGGGGGCCATCCTGCCTTGGTGGGAAACATCCAATGTGTTAACAAAAAAAAAATAATTTTAAGCACATAATTTTATTAACCTATGAGATTTGCAGTAATTATGAAGAAGTTACTGGTCACTCATCTTTTGGTAAAGGAATATTTTAGCAACATGTCATAATTTAGTCATGGTGAAGGCAACATACATTGATATAGTGTAAAATATTAACACAGAAAACATGCATAATAATTTGTAGAAATAATTAATAGAGGTGATGATAATATGGCAGGAGCATTTACTGTTTTACATATGTAATAAAAAGTTATAAAGTAACTGATGTAACATTGAATGATAGTATGACAATTAGAGTCCAACTGAAGTAGTGGAATGCTCTGCATAATTAGTGTTTTCCAAATAGCTTGTTCCTTTATAATTATACATAACTATTACTTGTTGTATTTGGAAATAAAATTTGTTTTTATTTTCATTTTCATTAAGAACCATTAAATGTTTTCTGCTTTATTCTTTGTCTTTCTCTAGTTGTTTTTCTTTATAAAATAAGAATACCTCTTTCTCCCAAATTCAAATATTTCAATGTCTATGTTCTGTAATTAGGAAAAGGTTCATGCAATTATTGGCATGTTCAGGTGCTGTCTGGTAAATTTTATACAAGTTATTCCTAATTATGCTCTCCACGTGATAACTTGAGAAGACCTCTTCTGATTAGCTTCACATTTTCATCACTGGTGTGTCCTACTTTTAAAAAGGTTGGGATTGTTATTCGAGTGCGTTGGCACCCATCTCTTAATTTTATTTTTAAAATGATCTAGCATTTTTTCCTTTATGGAGATATGGGGATATCTTTCTTGCAGCAACCAAAATGCATCTAGTTACAGTACTGTATTGTCATATTTATGAGTAAGTGCAAAATCCATAGAAATCATACGGAGCGTGTAGCTTCAGTATTGTAGGAATTCTGAAGGCAGTGATGCTTTGGGATTGTACTGGTTCAGCTGGGGCAGGAACTATAAGGTAGAGATGCTACATAATTGTCCTGATTCATTTGTAAAACTCAGAAAATGTTTTGGGAAGAAGGAAGTGTTACAATCAGAAAAGATGAGTGGGAGGAGGTACACATAAATAATAGTTAGTATATATTGGATCTCTCCTGGTTTAAAGTACAGTATAGAAAAATGTATTGCTCTTTAAGTATTCATCTTTATTTTTCCTGTACACTTGGAATTAAAGTGCAGTATTTTATTTTATAAGATATTTTTTTACCACATTTTTATCAAAATGGCATTCTTCCTAGTACCGTCATAGAAGCTAAGACGTTTAGTTTTAAAATTAGGTTGGATAAATACATGAGTGGGTGTGGGCGGGTGTGAGTTGGACCTAACTAGCTTGTGCTACTTGGTCGGATGCTGTGCTCCTCCCTTAAGTGACGTGTCTGACCTCGTTAGGTTAGTGAGCTTAAGGTCACTAGGTCAGTGAGCTTAAGCCGGGGGGGGGGGAGAATTGGGCCTGCCTCACATAGGCCAGTAGGCCTGTTGCAGTGTTCCTTCTATCTTATGTTCTTATTACTATACTTTTAAAATAAGCTATTTTGGTAATCCACTGTAGCAGTTGTTTCTATGGCTGTTGTCTGGTATGATGGTTAGACTGTATATGCTCAGACATAATTTTATAACCATAGGGTCAACTGGCAGACATTGAGTGTGTGGAGACAGCCACCGGTGTGAAAACTGCTGCAGATAAGGGCACTAGCTGTGATGTTAGATATGGCTTCCGATGTACTAACGCTGACCAGGAGCGTGGTAGCTGTCTTGACTACAAGATTAGATACTATTGTTCATGTGGTAAGATAACATAAGAATTTGTTTTATTTTATTTTTTTTTTTTTTTGCATTTTTATTGCTAAGAAGTCCACGTGTTTTTTTCCTTTTATCATATTTTATATATATCTTTCTTTCAACACACTGGCCATATCCCACTGAGGCAGGGTGGCCCAAAAAGAAAAAGAAAAGTTTCTCTTTTTAAATTTAGTAGCATATACAGGAGATGGAGTTACTAGCCCCTTGCTCCCAACATTTTAGTCGCCTCTTACAACACACATGACTTATGGAGGAAGAATTCTGTTCCACTTCCCCATGGAGATAAGCTGAAATAAACAAGAACAAGAACTAATAAGAAAATAGAAGGAAATCCAGAGGGGTGTGTATATATATATATACAGTGGTCCCTCGCTTTTCGTAGTTCTCGGCAATCATAAATTTCGCCAATCATAGGGGTATTTTCGTATAAACATGGACTCGCTTTTCATAGGTTGACTCGCGAATAGTAGTTCGCCCAGGATGCTTACGCATGGTGTGAGCCGGGGAGGCCTCCCTACCCAGCCAGTCTGGCATTGTTTACCAGTGAGTGAAGGTCCCCTCAAGTGCTCCTACGAAATATTTCATAATATGCCACTCATTTTAGTGCTTGCAAGTACTAAATAAGCTACCATGACTCCAAAGAAAGCTCCTAGTGCCAAGCCTGTGGTAAAGAAGGTGAGAAATATGTACAGTGACAAAGTCTTGTACCATTTTAGGGAAGTGTTAAAGAGACGCCAGAAACAGAGCTCTCTCCACAGTTACTTTGCGAGACAGGACTAGAGTGACTCTCAAGGTGGTCCTAGTGGCATTAAGAAACAGAGAAGAGAAGCAGCCTCAGAGAAGCAATTGGTACCTGAGGTGTTGCTGGAAGGGGATTCCCCTTCCAAACTGTAAACAATCCAATCTCTCTCCTCCTCCAGTCTCCCATACACTAAGAATCTCCAATAAAGGTAAGTGTTATGCTGTTAATGTTTCATTCATCATTTCCCATTGTATTGTTTATGTACTACATGTATATTTCATGTAAAAAATTTTTTTGTTTTAATACTTCTGAGTGTCAGAAACGGATTAATTGTATTTACATTATTTCTTATGGGGAAAATTGATTCGCAAATCGTAAATTTCGTTTATAGGAGCTCCTCCAGGAACGGATTAATTACGAAAAACGAGGGACCACTGTATATATATGCTTGTACATGGTTTGGGATATTGGCAGTTTGGAGGGATATGTTGTGTGCATCTTTATACGTATATGCTTCTAAACTGTTGTGTTCTGAGTGCCTCTGCAAAAACAGTGATTATGTGTGAGTGAGGTGAAAGAGTTGAATGATGATGAATGTATTTTCTTTTTGGGGATTTTCTTTCTTTTTTGGGGTCACCCTGCCTCGGTGGGAGACAGCCGACTTGTTGAAAAAAAAAAAAAATGTATCCTTCCTTAATGAAGTGGGATTAATTAAGCACAATGTAAGAAAACTCTCCTGTTAACTCAAGTGTAGTATTGTTAGATGTATGTACAGGAATATTTTTTGCATATTACTACATCCTTGTATCATTTATGGGACATAGTAATATAATTATTGAATAGATAGATAACTCATATTGGTCACACATACATATAAAATCACCCAGGATCAACACCCGGCTGATTTTCAGTTTTTCCACTGTTGAGTAACTAAATAATAATAATTGTCATATCAATGATCTAGTTTTCTGAATATCATATACAGTGGCAGTTTTTTAATTTAGTTGAAGAGCAATAGTAGCATTGCTAAGTATATTTCATCACAGTAATGATTAATAGACACATTATTATGTTTTATCATTAATATAATTTCATGCACTGGTCAGGGAGGTATACCATCTTTTAGGAGTGAAGAAGAGCAGAATGTAAGTGTGGGGGAGGTACTTGAGGCATTACGTAGAATGAAAGGGGGTAAAGCAGCTGGAACTGATGGGATCATGACAGAAATGTTAAAAGCAGGGGGATATATAGTGTTGGAGTGGTTGGTACTTTTGTTTAATAAATGTATGAAAGAGGGGAAGGTACCTAGGGATTGGCGGAGAGCATGTATAGTCCCTTTATATAAAGGGAAAGGGGACAGAAGAGATTGTAAAAATTATAGAGGAATAAGTTTACTGAGTATACCAGGAAAAGTGTATGGTAGGGTTATAATTGAAAGAATTAGAGGTAAGACAGAATGTAGGATTGTGGATGAGCAAGGAGGTTTCAGAGTGGGTAGGGGATGTGTAGATCAAGTGTTTACATTGAAGCATATATGTGAACAGTATTTAGATAAAGGTAGGGAAGTTTTTATTGCATTTATGGATTTAGAAAAGGCATATGATAGAGTGGATAGAGGAGCAATGTGGCAGATGTTACAAGTATATGGAATAGGTGGCAAGTTATTAAATGCTGTAAAGAGTTTTTATGAGGATAGTGAGGCTCAGGTTAGGGTGTGTAGAAGAGAGGGAGACTACTTCCCGGTAAAAGTAGGTCTTAGACAGGGATGTGTAATGTCACCATGGTTGTTTAATATATTTATAGATGGGGTTGTAAAGGAAGTAAATGCTAGGGTGTTCAGGAGAGAGGTGGGATTAAATTTTGGGGAATCAGATTCAAAATGGGAATTGACACAGTTACTTTTTGCTGATGATACTGTGCTTATGGGAGATTCTAAAGAAAAATTGCAAAGGTTAGTGGATGAGTTTGGGAATGTGTGTAAAGGTAGAAAGTTGAAAGTGAACATAGAAAAGAGTAAGGTGATGAGGGTGTCAAATTATTTAGATAAAGAAAAATTGGATATCAAATTGGGGAGGAGGAGTATGGAAGAAGTGAATGTTTTCAGATACTTGGGAGTTGACGTGTTGGCGGATGGATTTATGAAGGATGAGTGGTGCGTTGAGGTATATGTGGAGTCAAAAAACGTTATCTATGGAGGCAGAGAAGGGAATGTATGAAAGTATAGTAGTACCAACACTCTTATATGGGTGTGAAGCTTGGGTGGTAAATGCAGCAGCGAGAAGACGGTTGGAGGCAGTGGAGGTGTCCTGTCTAAGGGCAATGTGTGGTGTAAATATTATGCAGAAAATTCGGAGTGTGGAAATTAGGAAAAGGTGTGGAGTTAATAAAAGTATTAGTCAGAGGGCTGAAGAGGGGTTGTTGAGGTGGTTTGGTCATTTAGAGAGAATGGATCAAAGTAGAATGACATGGAAAGCATATAAATCTATAGGGGAAGGAAGGCGGGGTAGGGGTCGTCCTCGAAAGGGTTGGAGAGAGGGGGTAAAGGAGGTTTTGTGGGCGAGGGGCTTGGACTTCCAGCAAGCATGCGTGAGCATGTTAGATAGGAGTAAATGGAGGCGAATGGTACTTGGGACCTGATGATCTGTTGGAGTGTGAGCAGGGTAATATTTAGTGAAGGGATTCAGGGAAACCGGTTATTTTCATATAGTCGGACTTGAGTCCTGGAAATGGGAAGTACAATGCCTGCACTTTAAAGGAGGGGTTTGGGATATTGGCAGTTTGGAGGGATATGTTGTGTATCTTTATACGTATATGCTTCTAAACTGTTGTATTCTGAGCACCTCTGCAAAAACAGTAATAATGTGTGAGTGTGGTGAAAGTGTTGAATGATGATGAAAGTATTTTCTTTTCGGGGATTTTCTTTCTTTTTTGGGTCACCCTGCCTCGGTGGGAGACGACCGACTTGTTGAAAAAAAAAAAATTAATAAAACATGCACAGTAGACCCCTGGTTTTTGTAATTAATCCGTTCTAGAAGGTTTGCCCAAATCCGAAATGGCTGAAAACCGAAGTAATATTTCCCATAAGAAATAATGTAAATCCAATTAATCCATTTCAGACACCCAAAAATATTAACAAAAAATACATTTTATAGAGAATATAGTTTTACGTACAGGAAAAAATGAGAAATAAATATAAATGACTAATTTTAATGATAAATGAACATTACATACCCTTACTGAAGACTTGTTGGTGAGCAGTATTTATTTGTAGTCCCAGAGGGACTACATTGCAGGCGTATACCTACTGGCTACATACACTGCGGCCTACAGCCATATTATTACCATCAGCATACCATGTTCACTGAGTAATCGTTTCTAACAACTACCTTTAGATGTCATCATAAACAAAGGGAGAGGTAATGAATAATTCATGCCACGAATTGTAAACAAAAGCCTTATGTACTGTTAAGGGCGGTTGGTTACTGGGCCAATGCAGATTCATACATGTTTTTTCTGAAGCTGGATCAGAGAAAACATAATGTTTACCCTCCACCTGACCCCCACCCCTGAATAGCATATAAACATTGCATGTTTATATGCTGTGTAACATGTTTCTTATACAGTTACTGGCTGTAATCTGTTCCAGAAGCTCAGCCTAAGACTGAAATGGGCAAAAACTGAAATAATATTTCCCATAAGAATTAATGGAAATACAATTAATCTGTTCCAGACAAAAATATTAACAAAAAAAAATTAACAAATATGTAAATATTTTTTTTTTTCAACAAGTCGGCCGTCTCCCACCGAGGCAGGGTGACCCAAAAAAGAAAGAAAATCCCCAAAAAGAAAATACTTTCATCATCATTCAACACTTTCACCTCACTCACACATTATCACTGTTTTTGCAGAGGTGCTCAGAATACAACAGTTTAGAAGCATACACATATAAAGATACACAACATATCCCTCCAAACTGCCAATATCCCAAACCCCTCCTGTAAAGTGCAGGCATTGTACTTCCCATTTCTAGGACTCAAGTCCGACTATATGAAAATAACCGGTTTCCCTGAATCCCTTCACTAAATATTACCCTGCTCACACTCCAACAGATCGTCAGGTCCCAAGTACCATTCGTCTCCATTCACTCTTATCTAACACGCTCACGCACGCTTGCTGGAAGTCCAAGCCCCTCGCCCACAAAACCTCCTTTACCCCCTCTCTCCAACCCTTTCGAGGACGACCC